CGACGAACCTCGGCTAACTTCACGCTCTGAGTCGATGTCTCACCCAACCAGGAGGGCGCAGACGTCGAAAGGGGTGTAACTACGGCGTACTTCGGCGTAGTTACTCTAACTAGGGTTTTGTTCTACTGATGGCGATGTAGCTTGATTTATAGCTATCTCTATCTGTCTTTCACTACTGACAACAATCAAGGATCGCTGAAGAACTTCAGCGATCTTCTCAGCTAATATTATCTACTCCTCCTAGACGTTCATCCAACCCTCTCGCGCTTTGACGTACTTCAACGCACTTCGTCCAACTTCCCCGAGCCCTCGGCCATCCTCTTCCTCCTTCGACTAACTCCGCCTAACATCGCCGCACTTCTGCTCCCATTGTCCCTACTTAGCCTAACTCCGCCTAACATCGCCGCACTTCTGCTCCCATTGTCCCTACTTAGCCTAACCCCGTCTAACTTCGCCGTACTTCTGCTCCCATTGTCCCTACTTAGCCTAACTCCGTCTAACTTCGCCGTACTTGGTGTCAGAAGTCCTGAGTTACGTGTAGAGTAAAGAGGTTAAGGCGTGATGGGGTTTTGATGGCCAAAGGAGGGTCATTGTTGGTGGAGTAATCGAGGTGTCACGACGTAGTTCGTGACATTCGCCAACTTTGAACTTTGGTCAACTCGTCTTGGAAAGGTACCAGATGCAATGAAAATCGCCTCAGCCATACAGGGCCTAAAGGAAGATCTACTGAAGGTAGTAGTGGTAAATAATACAGACCCTCGAACCAAATCGGACTGGATCTACTTCAAACAACATGTGATAGGAACCGAGGAGAACCAACGCATGGCTGAAACGATGATTGCAGCCAATCGATGGGCTGCTAGGCGCAAGAATGAGACGACCTGGCTTCCCCCTCGATCGAACTCGGTGCGAATGGATACCAATCCGCCCAACCCGGTAGAACACCACTCACAATCGACCGGTAGAGGACCTTTGCCAGGTGGAAAACCAGGGATGATGAACTTTGGGTTACCAAACGACCCCCCGGTCACATGGACTGAGGATGGAGGGCGTCTCAGCGAGAACGAAATGAACTGGAGAAGAGAAAACCGACGCTGCCTCAAATGTAGAAGTCCAGAACATTATGCCAACAACTGTCCAAATGGAGGAAAGGCGAGAAACAGTATCAGGGGTTCTCCGAATCCGCACAACTCACCAATTCCTAGTGGATCGAACTCGATCCCAACTGGATCCAAAGGGCCGTTGGTTCGAGGAATGGCGGTGAGCTTCGAAGAAGAGGGAAACGACTACCTGGCCTAAGCAATGCGACTGTTTGCGGCCAGGATCTAACAGGATCGCAGAAAATTCAGATACCAATAGATCTCAGTAATGATCAGGCCATGATATACATAAAAATACAAACAAAGGAAGATACCATACAGATTGGAATGTTAATCGATACCGGAGCAACAGGAAGATATGTGCAGCCGGCCTGTCCATTATATCATCTGTTCCCAAGGAAACAATATCAAGTGCCAAGGAAGATTAGGTTCCTGGACGGAACTACCGCGAGTTTAGTGACCGAATATGTAGAAGCAGAATTAGATCTAGGAAAAGGACTCAGGATTGCAACTCGACTGGATGTTATGGCATACGAAGGACCAGAAGTACTAGTAGGACTAGATTTCCTGAGACAGTTTAGGGCGAGAATCAATTGTGGAAGGGGACTGATTGAATTCGACGGAATTGGACGAGATACTGGTTGGAAATATCCAAGATTGGAGGAAGGATTGGTAAGAGGAGCGACACTGGAAAAAGGGGAGGAGGAAATGAGTGAGGAGGAACTACGACAAATCATTCCAACACAATGGCACCAGTATCTCGAATTATTCAAGGTAGAAAGAGCAAGAAGACTACCACCAAGAAGAGAATGTGACCACGAGATCGAATTAACACCAGGGGCTGAACTGAAACCAGGACCAATCTACCAACTGGACGAACATGGGGATGCTTTCCTAAAGCGGTGGATCAATGATGGGCTAACCAGTGGACATTTGCGAAGAAGTAAATCACCCTATGGGTCCCCAGTATTCCTGGTCCCCAAGAAAGGAGTCATTCCCTATCGAGTAGTTACAGATTACCGGGCACTTAACAAGGTAACCGTCAAGGATTCGTACCCAATGCCACTTATCTCGACATTACTCGATCGACTTCAATTGGGAAAGGTGTTTACCAAACTCGACCTGAAAGGGGCCTACCAACTAGTCAGAATAAAAGAAGGAGATGAACATAAAGCTGCCCTACGAACACGATATGGTAGCTTTGAAAGCACTGTTCTAAGGGATGGATTATGTAACGCACCAGCCACATTTCAAAACTTCCTGCAAGATATGTTTCACGACCTGTTAGATGAAGGAGTGGTAGTTTACATAGACGACATAACGGTATACTCAGACACAATCGAAAACCATCAGATAATCGTCCAAAAGGTATTAGACCGATTACTTGAAAACGACTTGGTCATTAGTCCGAGGAAGTGTGAATGGAGTTGCGACGAAGTGAAGTTTTTGGGGTATGTAATCGGACACGAACGAATCGAAATGGATCAAGAAAAGGTGAAAGCCATTCTAGAATGGGGAGAACCCATGACAGTCCGAGATACTCAAGTTTTTCTAGGATTTGCCAATTTCTACCGAAGATTCATCAAAGGATTCTCACACATTGTGGGTCCTCTTACCCGTCTGACCAGGAAGGATCAGGCTTGGAATTGGACAGAGGAATGTCAAAAAGCTTTTGAAAACTTGAAGAAAACTTTCACGACAGCACCGGTACTTCGACATTTCGACAGAACCCGACCAACCTGGATCGAAACTGATGGATCTGACTGTGCTATAGGTGCGATAGCGTCCCAAAGGTTCGCTCACCCATCAATAAAGGGGACCACGGAACTCCATCCGGTTGCGTATTGGTCTCGAGCAATGACACCCTGCGAATTGAACTACACAGTGGGAGAAAAGGAACTACTAGCCATTGTGGACTGCTTGGTAGCATGGAGACCATACTTGGCGAACAGTAGTGATGTCATAAAAGTCATTACGGATCACAAGAACCTGGAGTACTTCCAAAGTAAGCGACAACTGAATCGAAGACAAATGAGGTGGCTGGAAATATTAGGAGACTTCAACATAGAGATCACTTATCGACCAGGTAGCAAAAATGGGGGAGCAGATGCGTTAACAAGACGAGGGGATTATCACCCGGGAAAAGGGAGTAGTAAGGACCCAGATCTAAACAAAGGAAACTGGCCACAATTGCTACCAACATACGAGAAACATGGATCGAATTCGATAGACTCAGAAACCAGACACATAGTAAGAGGAGCAATCCCAGAAGACTCATTATTTGGACTCATCAAAAACGGACTCAAAGACTCAGAAGACATAGCAAACATACGACGACTAGGACTACAATTGACACAGACACATAGCACACAGGACACACAGACACATAGCACACAGGACACCCAGACACATAGCACACAGGACACACAGAAAACACAGATTAGCAACGAGACACCAGTGGTATCATGGACTCAAAGCGGATTGCTCTTGTACAAGAATAGAGTAGTCATACCAGAGGGACAAGCAAGATTAGAAGTAATGAGAGCAAGACACGATTCGATATTAGTAGGACACCCAGGAAGAGACAAAACCATCACTATGATCAAAGAGGACTATTATTGGCCCCATTTGGACGATTATATCGCGCAGTACGTAAAAGGATGTGAGATCTGTAACCGACATAAGACTCATCGACACCAACCATACGGACATCTAGTCTCATTGCCAGTACCCACACTTCTGTGGACAGATATCTCGATGGACATGGTAGGACCTTTGCCGAATTCGACCGAATTCGACGCAATTCTAGTAATAGTGGATCGATTAAGCAAGATGGCTCGATTTATTCCATGTACAACCGGACTAACAGCAAACAAGGTGGCTGACATATACATCAAAGAGATCTTTTCAAAGCATGGAATACCTCAAACAATCGTATCAGACAGGGGAACCCAGTTTACAGCAGAGGTTTGGAAGGAAATATGTCAATTCCTGGGAATAAAAAACCTATATTCAACTGCATATCATCCTCAAACAGACGGCCAGACTGAACGAGTAAACCAACAGATGGAAATCCTACTTGGAATGTATGTGAACTACAACATGGACAATTGGGATCAACTTCTACCAATTGCTGAGTTTGCTTATAACTGCTCTCCACATAGTAGCCATGGGTTGTGTCCGTTCGAAGCATGTTATGGCTATGTGCCACATTACGACATCCATTCGCACGACATTCGATCAAAGTCGAACAAACTGGAGAGAAAATGGAGGGATATGGGAGAATTACATACAGCTGTTCAAGAACAAGTCAGAATGGCAAACAAAATTAGTGGGGAATATTACAACAGGAGGCACAAAAGCATTCCAGAAGAATTCAAAGAGGGAGAACAAGTACTACTAAGTACAAAATACCTGACTACAGAACGACCTAGTCGAAAATTGGAGGCAAAATATGTTGGCCCTTTCAAAATTATAAGAAGAGTTGGGAGAAACGCTTTCGAATTGGATCTACCTCCATCAATGAAGGTGCACAATGTCTTCAATGTCACGCTGTTGGAACCATACCCTAAAGACATGATACCAGGTCAACAGATACAACCCCCACCACCTGTGGTGATTAACGGCCAGGAGGAATTCCATGTGGAAGCAATTGTGGACAGCAGAATTCGACGAGGGAAGGAAGAATTCAAGGTAAAATGGTTAGGATACACAGGAAATGCGGCCTATGACTGGGAACCGCGAGAAAATGTAGAAGAGTTGGCCGTTTTTGGTGAATTTCTGGAAAAAAGAAAAAAGGACCCCAGAAGAAAGTGAGAATTCGATCAAAATTAACAAAATTTAGTAGGAAATAAGTGCATACACAGGAAATATAGCTACGTATAGAGAGATATAAAAACACTAGAAGTTGGAGGCGGTAGAAGTGGCTCGGGGACGACGGGCCGAAGCAGGAATACGAATGACATTGCGGGGGAGAGGAGTATGGGGAGAAGAGGAGGGACCGGCGACTGGTTGGGAAGAAGTCAATCCGGTAGGATCAGCAGCAGAGGTGAGATGATCCAAGGTTTCAGAAGGAGAGGGAGGGGTGTAGTCGGAAGGAATGAGATGGAGAGATTTGTAGAGACCCAGATGTACTGGGGGAAGAGGAAGAAGGAGAGAGGAAAAGAGGTGGATGTAAGCGGAGAGTTGGGTGAGGGAAGAGGATTGATCCTGGGAGGAAAGGGATCGATAACGGGCCGAGACAGCACAGAGTTCATGCTCCAGGACGAAAGTAACCTTGGAGGTGACAGTCTGGACCCCGACGGTGACACCCTTGACATCAACATCGATCAAGTTCGAAGAAAGAAGATAGATACCTCGCAAAATTTGGCCTTGGGATTGTTGGTTTTCACCGAACACTTTGAAGTTCCCTTGGCAGAGCACTCTCCACAAACACCACCAACTGAATGGCATCAATATCGAACAGGAATCAATAGAAGACTCACGAGGGCCGATACAACAGACACGAAAATCTTCTCCACCATCGAGGCGACGCTGGCAATCCGAGCAGAGCTCACCCTCGAGACGGACGACATCACCATTCTTGTTGCGAAGTCGCCAACCTTGGGCCAAGCGATTGAGCTAACAGTTAGAAATCGGTAGAATTCGGAAAAGAAACAGCTCACAGCATTCCTAAACCATTTAGCAGTAAGATTAAGGGCGCCAGTCTCGCAAAAACGATCGAGGGCTTCGTCCTTCAGAGCGATACTAACAGAGGAAAAGGACATTTTGGCCCAGAGAGTGGCTGACAAGTCAGAAACGCACAGAATTCTATAGAGATCTCACCAATTTCCGAGTCTTTTCGAGCGTCCAGAGCCTTGGCAAGTTCTTCATTAGCGGAAACCTTGCGAGGAGCGCGAAAAATGATTTCGAGTTCGGGGGGAACATCGTCAAGCCCGTCTAAATGTTCAGAAGGTGGCACAGGGGACTTATTACCAGGAGAATTTTGATTCTCGACGATGGTACCGTGTTCGGATTCGACGGACTTGGCGGGAGATGGGTTCTCACCAGTGGCAGATGGCCCTGCCCCACCTTCGAAGTCGAGGAATTGCTCGATGATCGCGTCATCGAGAGGAGGCGATTGTTGAGCGCGAGAAGGACCGGATTGATATCGATCCTTAATGGTGTCCAGAGCCCTACGAGAAGCATCAACCAATGGAGGTTGAGAAGGGGCTGGAGCTTGAGAGGAGATCCTCATCCTTTTCGTATGACGCATAAGGAGTTTGGGGTCGACGTTGGGAAGAATGGCCGCAGTAGAGGCCCGAGTTTGACGAGAAGAGATAGAAGAGGACAACTAATCTCGTCAGCCAGTGAGAAATAGGAGGAAATACATCGAATTTGAAGAGAATTGCTTACAGTACGCTTAGACATGCTCACGAACAGGAAAAGAATTGATGGATTCTCTAAGAGATGAATAAGATATGGATGGATAATGATAGATAAGTAAAAAGAACGACGAACAAGAGGAAAAGAAGGAATGAGGAGGAAAGAAGAGAAAGAGGACGGGGAAGAACTTGGTCAGTAATTTCTCGATCACATTGGAGGTCCGTGCGGGTGACGCGTTTCATGGCAACCACTAGCGTGGGTGTGACGTAAGGGCGCAATCAAAGGTGTCTCAGAACAATCCATGTGAATCACCTGGTTACAGGGCTCAGGATCCTCGGCGAGGATCCTTGAGACAGGGGGGGAAACTTGTTACGGAGTAACACAACTCGAGGGACATCCATCGAACTCGACGGATTAGGAAGGAGAACGGCGAGAGTTGGAGGCAGTGCTGCAGTAGGTAGGGACGGGTTTTCCCTTTTCGAGATTTCCCCACTGGGTTTGCTCAAAAGCGGTTTTTCACCTGTCCGAGTATGTACATAGACGCTTGCAGTAGGACTGAGAGAGGACACGAATACCTGTAGACAAGTATATAGTACAATCAGCAAAGTACTGTCACGGCCGTCGAACAACTATTTCTTAATAGACCGACGGTCGACGAACCTCGGCTAACTTCACGCTCTGAGTCGATGTCTCACCCAACCAGGAGGGCGCAGACGTCGAAAGGGGTGTAACTACGGCGTACTTCGGCGTAGTTACTCTAACTAGGGTTTTGTTCTACTGATGGCGATGTATCTTGATTTATAGCTATCTCTATCTGTCTTTCACTACTGACAACAATCAAGGATCGCTGAAGAACTTCAGCGATCTTCTCAGCTAATATTATCTACTCCTCCTAGACGTTCATCCAACCCTCTCGCGCTTTGACGTACTTCAACGCACTTCGTCCAACTTCCCCGAGCCCTCGGCCATCCTCTTCCTCCTTCGACTAACTCCGCCTAACATCGCCGCACTTCTGCTCCCATTGTCCCTACTTAGACTAACTCCGCCTAACATCGCCGCACTTCTGCTCCCATTGTCCCTACTTAGCCTAACTCCGTCTAACTTCGCCGTACTTCTGCTCCCATTGTTCCTACTTAGCCTAACTCCGTCTAACTTCGCCGTACTTGGTGTCAGAAGTCCTGAGTTACGTGTAGAGTAAAAAGGTTAAGGCGTGATGGGGTTTTGATGGCCAAAGGAGGGTCATTGTTGGTGGAGTAATCGAGGTGTCGCGACGTAGTTCGTGACAAGTACCACCTTTGCTGATTCTTCAATATCATTCTTTGGCTACATCGATTGCAGAGGAGACACGATCCATTAGCACCAGAGACACATAGATTTCTACGAGAGTTCCATCGACTTCGACCCAACCTGCAACCTAGTCATCGTGTTTCCAGTACCGTTACATGAAAGACAGATAGAGATAGCTATATACAAATCGAGATACATCGCCATCAGTAGAACAAAACCCCAGTTAGAGTAACTACGTCGAAGTATGCCATAGTTACACTCCTTTCGACGTCTGCACCCTCCTGGTTGGGTGAGACATCGACTTTGAAGCGTCAAGTTAGCCGAGGTTTGTCGAGCGTCGGTCTGTCAGAGAGTGGTTGTTAGACGGCTGTGACATTTGTCGACAGTTGGTCAGTAGAGAAGAAAAAAGGACGTTTGTGACACATTCTTTGGCTGCATCGATTGCACAGGAAACACAATCCATCACATAGAACCAGAGACACCTAGATTTCTACAAGAGTTTCATCGAGTTCAACCCAACCTGCGACTTAGTCATTGTGTTTTCAGTACCGTCACACTATACCCTTCAGTACCCAAGGCAGTCCCTCTGCTATTGCAGTCTGCCCCCAGGCGTGACATATTGTCACCTAGCAATATTAGAAAGGCCAAGTCCTGTCCAGGTTACTTCCCACGAAGTTATTGGCCATTGGTCATGGGAAGCAGACAAGGGTTTTACCCTGTGACAGCTTGTGTCACGGTCATCGTTTCTTCTTCTCTACTGACCAACGGTCAACAAACCTCGGCTAACTACGTCGTACTAGGGCGTTGATGTCTCACTGAGACAGGGTACTCGTCGGGGGAACTACAGCTAACTTCGCCGTAGTAATACGTTGGTGGTAAACAATAGGGTGATTGTCGATGAACTGCGGCTAACTTTGCCGTAGTGCGTCAAACTGCTCGGTGGTAGCTCTCCCTAACTCAATGGTTGTAGCTACTGAATATATCTCTCGCTACTGACAACAATCAAAGATTGCTGAAGAAGTTCAGCAATCTGTAAACTATCTATACTTCTCCTCTCTTCTCATAGAATGTCCTTCAACCCCTGCACAGCCTCACACTCAGTCCTCCTTGCTCAACTTTGCTGTACCTCGCCATATCCCCAACACTCTACTCCACTCACTTCGACTAACTTCGCCTGACTTCCCCTACTCTGCTCTCCCTCGGTTACCGTCTCCTAACTTTGCCGTAGTTCCCCGTTCGGCGGGGTTGTTGTGACAAATAGCCCCTAGGTTCTTGTAACCTCGTCGTAGTCGGTCTCAGTGGTTGTTACGACCTGAGAGCTAGGCAGTGACCAGAACCTAACTTCAGAGGACAAAGACGATGAAGGACAAAGTGATAGCGTAGAGTGGATTGGACAATGATGATGAAGAGCACCGCAATGGTGAGGAAGGGTTGTATCGGAAGTCACTTAGTGTCACGACCCTGCAACCTCAGTCGTGACATCAGGTTATAACCGGATTGCAATCATAGGGCTGATTGCGATATTGTGCCTTTTAGCGCAGTGGCTTAAGATGTCACATGCATGGCCAGTGTATGGCCTGGTGCTGGTTAGCCAGGTCGTAACACTTAGACAAAGTGCGCGAGTGTAGCGAGCGCAAAGAGGATTGTGAAAAATGAGAAGTTTAGAAGTGTAACTTTTGAGAATTCATCGACAAGGAAGAGGGCTCGCAGAAGGGGTATTTATACCCTTGTGCCTCCACCTTGCCTCCACTTTCTAAATGACTAGTGTTCAGGCTTAGCCTGACCTACGGTATATAATTCTAACCAATGTGTCCAATATGAGCAATGTGTCCAAGTTGAGCAATGTGTCCCACTATGATGTCATTACTGACAAAGATGACCAGTGTTTAGGCTTAGCCTAAACAGTGGTGAAACATTGATAACCTAGGTTCCTATTTGCCACCCTAATGCCACATCATGTTCTAAAGTCCCTGATACTAATTCTAATAATGCCACATCATTGTGTATGACCTGCCTCTGTGCAGTGTCATACCAGTGGTTCAGGTTATGGTGGTTGATGGCGGATGGTGCTTCGGTGATGGTGAAAGGAGTGTCGGTGGTGGTTGTTGTCAGGGATATTACGACACGGTTCGTGACAGCTTGACTATTTTGGTCAGGGACTGATCCAATAATATCCCCATCCGGAGTGATAAGTTTGAGCTGGTTGGTATCAGCTCTCAACTCAGGCCATTTATCAAGGACGGACTTCTTTAGAGCTTCGTATTCCTGGGGTGATATTGCATACACAGCTTGTAGAAGACTGATACAAGAACCGGTCAAAGCATCAGTCAGAATCTCCCTTCTGCTTCTTTTTTCTGGTGTTGCTGCTCCTTTCAATGCTTTGATCAAGTTGACACTGCTTCTCACCCATGGAGGTGAGTGTTCCCATGTTTTGACTGTGGTCTGACCATAGTCATTGACCAGCCGGTTAACTGTGTCCACAATTTCTGATATGTCAGTTGAGAATATGATTTTTGGATCTGTCAGTGGTTGAACCCCTGTTTGCATTATTTGGTTACCATAATACTCATCAAAGATTCTAATTTCACTTAAATCCCTTACAGCATCGGCAAAAGCTTTTGGTGCACCCGAGGAACACATGTGCCTTGCCCATAAGTGTGTCATGTGGTAGGTTGCTGTCTGCACCCTGCCACACAGTAGATTTTTCCACTTTCTGTTTTCTGAACTTTTCTTGAGGGATGCAACATAGTGATCATCACCTGTGGAGTTCATCTCCAGATGGGCTGAGTTTGTTGCTTCCTCCAGCAGAACTGTTTTGATACTCATAGCAAATTTTCTTGTACTGTCATTAGTAAACAACCCACTTCATATAACTCACCATGAATGTCGCAGGTAAGGCTGCAGATGGCTCAATGACCCAAGAATGATATCCATTTCCTCAGGCCAGTTCCCTATCAAGGCATGAGCTGGTGTCCCTTTTCAAATAGAAACACCCACCCGCTATGATTGACCTAGCCTCTCCGGGGTCTAAAGGTGGAGTGCTGAAGTCAGTTTTGTCAAGGCTAGTGTGGAATTCAACTGGTATGTGGGCATGCCAATCATTGTTGGCTGAACTACCAATCATGAAATGAGCTGCTTTGTAGACATGCAGGCCCCATTGAATATCTTCAATTGACGGCAGGCCCCATGGAATATTGTCAACTGACGGCACTGTCTCTTTGTTGACTGAACTCATTTGATCTGTGATGGTCAGTAGAGTAGGTAGGTTTAGTGAAGTGAAGAAGGAGTTGAACCTGCTTACATAGACAGAGAGTCATTAGGGGCTGGGTAGAGGGTGGGAAATGGGGCGGATCGTGGAGAACGAGGGTGCAGAGCGTCCCATGAGCCCTCTCGCGGCCTGCCCGTAGAGACCCATGGCCAGGCTAAGTCATCTATCAAATTCAGCTAGATGCTTGTACAGCTTTCTTGCATGAAAGACAATGGAGATGTGGGAGCATACAAATCATGCTTACTAATCTGGCTCACACATCGGGTGAAACCGTGGGTTTTACCACTCGGTCGGTCATCGAAAAGACGTTGTCTCCGAAGAGCAGCGTTCGTTGGGGTGTAATGTCTGAATGTTACGCCTCGAAACTTGATGGGCGGCGGAGTAACACTTTCGTCCAATGGGAGGAGGGTTGCTAGATGTCTTCAACTCCAACAAAGGATTCGTGGGAATGGGACAAAACACTTTGAAGGCTGTGTAATTGAATGATGATTTGCCTATTTTGGCTAGATACTTGATTGGGGGGTGGGAAGAGTTCGAGGTAGAGGACGGAGTATCAAAAGGAAAGATATGGGGCTAATCGGTCGTCAAAACTGGTTGGGAAATGAGTATGATCAACGAAGGTGAGATCAAAGCATGAGGATGAGTGAATCGTTAGTCGGTGTACCATGATTACCACGTACATGTCATGATCCTCCATATACCACATTCCTATCGTCTAGATAATGCCAGCATTCACTCGAGACCTTCACCTTCCTTGCCCTCCCATGAACTGGTTGGCCCTGTTTATTTAGCTTTCTTTGGGATCTCGCATGTCGGTGGACTCACATATCGCGTAGACTGGGATCACTGGCCAGCTGCGTAAAGTCAGGCATTCCACCTCCATTCTGCATGTTCTCCGCGACGTTCCTCATGGCCGGGTTCTGCATCAATCTCTCGAGGCCGCCGTTGGCCATCATTTGTTGAGCCCTGCCCATCAGCGTTTGACCCAACAAGAGTATCACGAGGAAGCCAGTCGTTGTCATCCTTCCACAGACAAGCAGATGGCACTGGATGGTGGAAAAAGTGTGAAAGAAGATAGGGACAAGTGACATTCTGGGTTATGGAGTACTGACATGGCCATCATTTGAGGGTTACGCAAAAGAGAAGCCATATCCGGCATGCCACCAGCTCCTTCGCCGCCACCGCCACCACCGAACATGCTGGCCAGCGCCGAGAGATCGGGCATACCACCAGGCGCAGCAGGCCCGCTCGGTGCAGCTCCACGAGGGACTTCTCGAGTTCGAGCAGCTTCCTCTGCTTCACGAGATCTAGCGGTGGTCAAAGCTGTCTTCATGTTGTTATTGGAGGGATCGAGCTCCAGACCGGATTCGTAAGCTCCAATAGCTGCAGAGTAATTACCAATAGAGAATTGTGCGTGACTGAGTGGTCAGCTCTTATACACTTCGCCAAGTCCCCGCGGTACATGAAGTCTGGCTCCGTTGAAAAAGAAAAGATGACCTGTTGTTTTGGACCTCATAACATTATTCCTTTTGGTCTGTGCCAGGACCATTGAGAGGTAGAACCACTCACCCTAGTCTCGAATACGCTTTGGCAAATTTTGGATCCAACTCCAAGGCTTTCTCCGCATCTTCCACCGCTTTCTCATGCTTCCCCAGAGCTCCCCATGCGGCAGCACGATTACTATAATAAACGGCGGTCGGATCTAGCTTGATAGCCTCTGTGTATTTCTCAATCGCAAGATCGTACAATTTCTGACCCATAAAAGCGTTCCCATCAACTTTATATTGATCTGCCTTGATTCTATCTCCGTCATTTGGTTCGGGCTTGCCGGCCTGTTGAGCTGGTGCGGGTGCGGAGGAAGAAGAAGGAGCAGGGCCGGTTTTAGCTTTGGTTTTGAGGTAGACGTCGAGGAGGGATAGGAGAGAGGTGGGTTGGATGGAATATTGAGCTTGTTGTTCGGGTGAGTCGGGGTCAACACCGAAGGATTCGGCGATGCATTGGACTGATAGTCAGAGGGACGACCTCGCATCTTCGTGAGAAGGGAAATGACTCCGGGAGAGATCGAAGGCATCAGAGTTCGCGAGTGAGAAGAGTATGATCACGAAAGAGTCACGAGTGACAGGCCAAGGGTGATGATCAACCCACCAGCAACTTCTAGACTCTCCTTGTCATCTTCCTTGACAGTCCCATCCGCCGCTGAAGCACGGAGGAACTCGATACTTTTCGTCAGCCAATTGCACTGATTATGAGACGAATACTGACAAGTTGAAGACCAGCTGTTTCTTCTTGACGTCTGCCATAATGATGCTAAGGTGATGCGATTAGATGAACGCGATGGTAAGTGTCAGAGTTGCTAGTTGCTTGTATGGAATGGACCAGAACGTGAAGGAGGGATGTCAAGAACACGTGGCAGCTTTCCCACGGATGCAAACTTCAAGACACCAAGTCTGACTGGGGAGGTTGATATGATGCATGCTATGAAAAGATGTGCAATGTCCAAACCCAAGAGATACAATTGTCCAAAGTGTCTACAATAATGTCCATATGCTCCATATCCCACACAACACCGTACCTAGCCATAAATTCCACATTCTCCGAGACGGTGAAGCCGCCGATGTGGCCGAATAGGAAACGAACGTTGATCCGCAGGCTGAGTTGACACTTTGGACGGCGGAATTGACTATGGTGGAGTTGAGTGTGGGGGTGGAAGAGAGGGAAGATGTGTATAGATTGAGTAGTTGGGCCGAGCAAGCCGAGCAAGTGGGCCGGGAAGTGGAAGGGAGGCTAAAATATCAGCGACGATCTCTCCATCCCTTCTTTTCACGGCTCGTCCGTTGAAGGACCCTACCGATGTCACTGAAATGCCCTGAGGATATGGACAGAACTGCGATGGACACGGTCCGAGGGTCAAATTGATACGAGAGGAGAGTATGAGGGACAATGAGACAAAGCGGGTAGATGTGTATGATTTACTCACGCTATACCAGCAGGTAAATTCCACAAATACAAATCATCCGGTCTCCCATCCGCCACGGCATCAAGATAACAAAACCTCCCGGAAGAATCCAACAACCCCTCGGCTTTCCTAAGCAAAGCATAGTTCCCTATCCCGACCAGTATCTCCAACGCCACAGCCTTTCCCATCCTGATATCCGATAGACAATTCCCTTTTCCCGTCAAAGCACTAGCCACTCCGGCCATGTAAGCATCACATTGTTCTCCTGATGGTTGAGGAGAATGTGTATATCCCACCAGCGCATTGAGGTACGTATAATTTCCCGTCGACATGGCATCGGAAAGCATGGAAGAGTAAGAAGAGCTCGAAGTGAGTAAGAGGGAGAAAGGTAAACAAGTGAGGAATTCAGCTGAGGAAAGGAGAGTACCGAGATACATCAAACAAGAATCTGATAAAGCGTAAGAGATGGAAAGGTCTAATGGTGTTGGTGTCGGTGAAGGAGGATATGAAGGGATGAAAGCGGGTGCAAGAGGTATGGAAGTTTCGTTTGTATCTGCTCGAATTTTATGTCGTGTTGGATCCATTCTACCAGTCACTGTTGAAAGAGTGTCGACGTTGACTCTAGCCATGACGAAAGGAATAGGGAAAGGCAGGGTCGCGATGGTAAAGAGAAGCGATAGGAAGATGGAATTAGGGATCATGTTGTCGATTGAATACCTTGCCGTTTGTCAAAGACTTTCTCTCTTCTAAATCGATGATGAAAGGGTTCACTCTTCGTTGTCTAGTACCCCCCAAGGGTCCAATGGCAAAGCAGATATTCGATCACCACCAACACACCGTACACCGAAGAACGTTGTCGTCGATTTATGACTCGATCGTATCGGAAGAGACTCTCAATTGATTATGACAGATGATATGGCTTATGATTTATTGTATCGCAATAGGAAAGAAGTAAAAGAGTGTGGTGTCGCAGTTGGACGGATGTGTGTATGAAATGAGATTAAATGCTGGAACGGATCAGTAGTGTGTGAGGTCAACAAGAAGAGTGACGAGGGAATTCGCAGGTTTACTCTTGTACGCTGTGCTGAAGTTCACGTGGTAGGCGGCTCGTGCGAGAGGCACTGGTCCAGAGCAAAGTCCCAAAGGATATCACAATGACCAAAGAGGGAAGAATAAGGAAGAAATACGCTCGGACTCACCTTTTTTCATTGATAGGTCCCATCAAATGATCTTTCATGACCCGGGGATCCTTCCGTCTTTTCCCTGTCACGTTTGATGGGCCGGGCCCGACGGTCGTGCCCAAGGTAAGCCCTTTTGGATCAATCACAGACCTGCTCAGTGAGCAGTGAAAGTTGAGTGTAGAGAGTGTGGTGATACATGAAGACGAACGGGAAGATACAAAGTCAACCCCAGAGGACACTCTGACTACCCATCCGACGAGACGAGACCGACGATTTCCTTTGCCGACACTAAACATTCAGTCCGACAATCAGGGACGAGGCACTTGAACTAGTACCGAGGCCTAGACGCACGGCGTTCTCGGACCCATTCTCCTCGTCTACCCAAATGACGACTCTTGTCTGCAAAGACCTTGTATGCGACAGTATGTACAAGTCAAGAGCTACATGCTACATGTTCAGATATCGTCAGATCATCACTACCGTCCCAGCGGCAATTCACCTGTTCTATATACTTTCACCCTCCTCACCCTCCCTTCTTCAACTATCAGGCAGACCTGCCTCGATGCTCGGTTCATAACCAGCCAAACTCTCATCCGTTTCTACGCTCTGTCCTGCGTTGAAAGGTTCTGGGGCGCTACCCTCTGCTGCCGTAGCGGCCGCTTCAGCCCTCAAGGCGCGATCGACTGGCTCTGCACCGATCCCACTACCCCCGGGCTCCACATCGCGACCCTACCACGTCAGCATCGATCGATGAATTACATTACTGTTTCACCCCCCGCCCGCCCGGCGGCCGGCGAGTCCATAACACGACATACGGTAATCGTCAAGAACCAGGGCACGCGCCCGACAGACGTTGAGAGGAGAAGAGGGCAGAGTACAAGCTGTATCAAACTCACGATGAGTTCCCTCATTATATCGCTCAGACTGATGACTCCTACCAACCGACCAGGCTGAGGATCATCGGGACCAGCAACCACGACCAACCGATGCACCCGTCGTATCCGGATCAGCGAAAAAACGGCAGAGAGAGAATCTTTGGGAGAACAAGTGACAACACCGGAGAAGTCGTGTGAGCGTTGTTTTAGCGCTTGGGCTATGGTCAGGTCAAGGGCTTGGTAGGCGCCATTCCGTACGAGGGTCTGTCCGTTAGTCTGATTCGCCACAAGATCAGTGCACGAAGACGAGGAGTATGACACGATGTCGATTGACTGTGAGTGCAAGGGCAAACTCACGATGACATCGACCGTCTCATACAGATCCACCACCTTCCCATTGTCGTCAACGATGGGCACTGCCGAGATACCCTTTTCGGAAAACATATGGACGACGTCGAAAACAGTAGTCTGTAAGGTGGCCGTGGCAAGCGGCGCGAACACATTCCCATCCTCTGGACTCTGCACATAGGTGCCTATACCGAGTTCTTGGACTCCGCCGGTGAGAAACTGTGTAATTTCTCGACACTACATGTCAGCAGAAACTCGCCTGTGGGCACTATCACCGCGGTAGAGTATAAGATAAGAGAACTCACATTCATAGCGATGAACTTCAACACCCGATATTGCGTCAAAACGCTGATAACAACTTCTCCTTGTGTCTGACCATCGATATCGATCAGTGGTAATCGTCTAGCATGGGTGCGGATAAGAAAACGACAAGCATCGTATAGAGGGCGAAGTGGATGGACCGATAGGAGTGGAGGAGGTGGGACCTGAAGCATCTTTTCAATTTCTTCATATCAGCTCAAGACCCATTACTCGAAGTATTGCGACAAACCTCGGATGCTGGCTAAACGAATAGCTTCAACGTCGGCGGGTGCGGCTTCCCAACTAGAAGTATGATAATAGTATTGGATGAGATGTATCACATCCTGCACTGTGAACATTCCTACGTCGTCAGCTTCTACTCCGGCACGAGGGGGGGCTCACCTGCGAACTTTGCCATCTCCGTATTCCATAAAGGAGCAGAGACCACACCTATTCATATCAGCTTCCGAATGTAGGATACCGGTAAGGCTGAGACGTACCATATAAAAGCATCACATCTAGAGCTTTCTTCACTCTCAACTGTACGTCCAGAACAATCAACCGAAAGCTGACAGGGAAAACATCGTAGCTGCTTCTTTCCCTTAGGAATTGCCGTAAAGCTTCTATGGCTTCGATATGAGTGAGCTTGCTGGGCGGGGGGTGTGAGGGACGAGAAGGACGTCGATGAAGTGTTGAACCAGGTATAGAAGGTCGACGAGAAGAGGCAGAACGGGTTTGAGAAGGCGCTCGGGTGATGGATGCTGGGGGTGCGGGAGAAGGGGACACTGCGACTGGGGAAGTCCCGGACATAATGGTAGCGTACGGACCAGTCTAGGTTTTGATATGATATCTCTTCGTCTTGGGCCTTTTGGAAGCACACGAAAACAGATCCCTCAGGTTGATATGAGATCACACGAGGTAGTGAGAGTTGCAGAGAGCTGTGAGGAGTGACAGGGGTGATGCAACGTAGAGATGTCGGCGAGACTTGAGTGACGTGGGTATACGGTGTTCGGTAGCTTATCACTGATCACTGACCGCCGGCGTGTTCCGGTGCGGGCAGAATCGGCTCTCCCAGCCAACCACGACTCTTCTCTTTCATCTCAACTCTTATCTCATCCCCCACGAGCAACACTCACTCGCTTATCATGTCGGTCACTGTCTCTCGAACCCTGCTCAGGACAGCGCGTGGTGAGATCTGTCCCTCTGAAAGATGAGAGAAGACAGACTGATTGAAATAGCTCCACAATATGTCCTCAGACTTTCCTCGCCTGGTCTCTTACTAGCTCAACGCAGGTCAGTCAGCCGAAGCGTCGTGTTGTGCTTTCGTAGCTCATCAAGAAGATTCGCATCAACACAACCTGTCACCCCGGCTGATGAGATTGCTATACTCAACAGTCAGAGAGAAAAGAGACCGACCAGTCCTCATTTAGCGATTTACCAACCTCAAGTGGGTTTTTCTTTCATCATCTCGGCACCCTTTTCTCTCCACAAAATACTGTCCACGTCTACGGACCTTTAATTCCTCCCAATGTGGTATGAACGCCCGACTGTTTCCCTTCGACACCTGGTTCACACTCACGGAGGATGGTCCCGTATCCGTGACTGGAAAGAATGAGGCAGAGATTGACGGGAAGTTTGAGGCAAGAAATAAGACTGACTTTACAGCTCACGTGGATCGCATCGGGATTCAACAGACTGACAGGGGTCGCCCTTTCTGGAGTGCTCTATGGCGCTTCTTTAATATACCTCCTCCATCCAGTCTTCCCCGCTATCGACTCGGCGCATTTGATCCAGTTGGCACATGATATGCCAATCTGGCTCAAGGGAGGAGTCAAATTGTTATTTGCTATACCTTTTACTTTCCATACGTTCAACGGGATGCGTCATCTGGGGTGGGATATGGGCAAAGGTGTGTTATCTTTAATGGCACCTCCCCTGTCTTCCCCCATGCCTTGTCCACTCCTTCGTTCACTTTCCCCGTCCCTTCCCCTTTTTCACACCTCTTCAGCCCCCCGGTCCTTCTACAAGTCTCCACTCACCCGCCATCGGATAAGATTGAGTCATTGATGGAGGAGGTACTCTCAAGAGGATGATTGAGACTGCGTAACAATGCAGTGGATTTCTCTAATCTGCAGGTCTCACACTTAAGGCAACCTATGCTACAGGCTACACGGTCCTTGCTGCCACCGCTGTCTCTAGCATCTACCTCGCCTTCTTCGTCTAAGTCTTTCCTTGTTTTAACGTGCGTCGTTTTATGAGATGAGAGTGCGGTGATTTGTAGGTTCAAGATGCATGTGATCCTTCCTTACTTCCTTCTGATGAGGTGTCAGTTGTTCACCGATTACCGGAACCAAGCGTTCACTCCTATTCCCGGTCCATCGATTCCCTCTGCGCTATGCCACCATCCTTCAGGTATCAAGACACTTTCTCCTGCGTTCAAAACCACCCGACACGCGCCGTTCATTTTGATCGCTTCTAACAACAGCCGCCTGTAACGATGTAAGATATTCGGAGGTACATCTTCTGAAGGGGTGTCTGAGAGTAACCTGGTAACAGGAAGGGGGATCTGAGAGGTATTGGTGTAAGGTGGATCGGGCGAGATGTCGAGAAATTGTCGTGCATCTGGAGGAAGCAAGAAGAACCTTTTCCTTCCTATTACTGAGATTCAGCGCTGCTCGAACTTATCCCACCTTTGATTATCTTCGGCTCGCACCATTCAAACTGATCCTCCTCCTTCGGCTTCAAAACTATCCGCCTCATACTTTGGACCTTTTCCTTTGCAAAGGACGGGTGAGCGAGGGAGGGACTTGAGGTTGAGTGAAGACAAACCTACAATGAGTATATAAACCGATATAAGGGTCTTTATGAAAGGGTGTGAACGTCCCATCTGGTCCGATCCATAGTGCTCGACGATAATTTTGACATCGAGGTCCGCAGCTGAAATGTTCTAATTCTGGCATGGCTTTTGATAATTCTGAATTGTCTATGTCACTTTGAGCCAAATAGGCGATAGGAAGGTTCGGAGATGTATTGGGGATTTTGTCAAGGATGAAAGCGTCAAGGAAAAGGCCTTGAATCAGTCTACATCTATCTTCTGATAAAATCCACCATCGTGCTAGCTTTCATCCTTCACTGATAACACTCTGTACATACGGTGGGGGAAGATCCACAAGTTTGAAACGTACAGTAAGTCAGATGTTGCGAGTTTTCTGGAGCACAAAAAGCGTTCGACGGGGAAATTGAGTGTTTGGTGAAGCGTGGAGGATACTCACCAAGCCCTATTGAGACCCTCTTATAATCTTTATCCAAGTAACCTCTTCCTCTCGGACCAAACTCCACTTCTACCTCCTTATCCTCTCCTATTGCCTCTTTCAATTCTATCAGAGGTAATTTCCAACTCGACGCCTTCCAGTGACTCACCAGACCGGGAATGTGCAGAGGAGTCGGATGAGATTGGGAGAGATGAGCTCGGAGGGAGTTGGGTGATAGTTTGGGAGCTGATCTTGCGTTTGGGATATGAGCGAAGAACGACATGGGATAGTAATTTGCTTGACTAACTTAACTGGACACTTTTGAGATCTCCGAATTTCGAATTTTGATCATTAAAGGTGCTGGACAAGGATCGGTCCGATCATGGAGTGTCTCTTCTGCTTAGGGGTTATCAAGCCAAGTTGTAGTCATATGATCAATGGACAAATATCAGTGAAGCAGATCAAGCGATGAGAGAGACGAGTAGAATTTCATCTGTAAAGCTTTGGCGCTTTGGACTGGAGAATTGCCAGAGTGGGGGTAAAGTGGGGGAGGCTTCACCATGTCGAGAATATCAAGGAAATATTCTCTACAGATCCCCGTCCACTTCATCTTCGTTACTGTTACTTACACTACGGTCGTACGAAAAAATAGTTTCCTCAAGGATGAACCTCACACCTGATCAAGCGAGAGCCCTGTTCGAAGCAGGAGGCTTCCTCATTGTCACTGGTCTTCCACCTGGTTCTTCTGTCTCCCTTGATGGAAGGTGAGTCTTTGTAATTGCTATTTTCAACCATTACAACGCTCACCTTCCCTCTTATTCGCATTGTTTTCTCTTTCTCATATCACCGAAGTCCTATAAATACACTGGTAGTCTGGCTTTCAATATAAACAAGACACATCAACAAGCATCCGTGAATCTCAACTAACCTCACTCAGCTCAAACGTCATCTCCAACTTCTCAGGCTACAAATTCCTTCCTCCGGGTTTACATCTCTTCACCTACTTCCCTTCTTCTTCTTCCCAAACTTCAACCTCCCAAGTCGACATACCTCCCATTCGTTCCGCTTTCATAAGAGTTTGGTCCCCTCGACAACGTATCATAATATCTTACTCTCCCAAAACTGAGACTATATCTCCTTCCACCACCGAGACCGTGATTTTAGACGATCATTTGAAAACGTTAGATCCTCATCTGGCAGGATACGATTTCTCTCATTTCCCATTATGGCGTTTACTCACTTCTGAAATCGATCAAAGGGTTTTGGATGATGTCATCGGGTCTGATGGACGGGTGGATGGTTTGACTTTGGTAAATGGTGAGACCGACGATTTTCCAGAGCTCGCTGGTCCTTCGAGACTCCAGAAAGGGTCGGATGGTGAAGGACAAGGAGGGATCGGAGGTGAAAGAGAGAAGGGAGAGGAAGTTAAGGAAATGGAAGAAGTAAGGAAAATGAATTTTCCTATGTTTGACCTAAGGAGGAGTTGGAAAGATGGGGCTGTTGGTGAAGAAGTGACGAGGTATTCAATGGACAAAAGTTGGCTTCTGGGGAATGTGATCAGACGGGTAGGAGGAGGTGAGTGTCTTCTTTCACTGGCTCGCATGCTGTCCAACCTTCAGCCAAATCCGTTCCATTCTCCGACTCCCTCGCTCTCTCCTCAGTCGTTCATTCCCTTGCTGGGTGAACTATCTTCATTTTGGAAACTGAACGCACCCTACATCGCTTTTCAATTACGAATACTCATCTGACATACGTCTGACATGCCCCTTCCTTCCCACACGAGGTTGTTGGAAAGTCAGCCTTTCATCACACCGGACTAACTTGAGCAGACCCTATGACCCTCCTCGCTCACTTTCAATTATCTTTCATTCTTTTCTTACATATCTCAAGTTATTCCTGTTTGACAGTGTATCGACGTCTTCTCTCCCTTTTCTGTCGTTCTTCCTCTTTCTTCATGACACCAGAGATATATCTCCTCGACCATCATACTCAGCCCTCTCCGATGACCATCACTACCACTCACTCTCCCTCTTTACCATCGTCTGTCTCATCCCCCAAACCCTCAACTTTAGCGAGACAATTCGCCCTCACTCTCCTTTCTACCCTCTCTGCTCAGTTGAAAACCTTACCTCCAGATGTGTTTCAAACTGAGCTTCCGGACATGGACGTGGTTTATCAAGACGAGCTTGCTCAATTGCATAACAATCTGTGCGATAGTTTGGGACGAGGGACGTTGTGGAGTAAGGAGAGTCATAGGAAGGAGTTGGAGACAGCTTGGGAAAGACTGAGAGATACGTGTATGCGCAAGGGTTGGAGTTTGGGTCGTTTAGATGAGGATGAGAAGGAAGCAGAAGAGGAAGAGGAAGAAGGAGAGTATGCTCCTGTCGTTGTTGATATCTGATGTTATCCTGGGTCTTTACTGCATCTACGGAGTTGGGTGACGACGATTTGGGTTTCGGTAACCACGATGTCTTTTCGTCCACTTAAGACTGACTTTGATGACGGTCGAACATCAGCTATATCTCATTAGCCTTCACTATTCACGATGGATGAAAGACGATGACAGGTACACTCTTAAAAGTTGCATGAAGATCCCAAGAGAGCTGATCATAACACCCATGGTACCACAGCCCGTCGTTTGATAGGATATCGTACCCCAAACGTATCGTGATACCATCCATGACCTCTCAGTGCTCTTGGTAGCATTGCGGAGATCTCAAAGATTACGAACATCCAGGGTGGGGTTAACAATTTTGCTGGCCAAAAGGCGGTTGGACCGGGGAGATGGGAGCGTTGTGTGGGTGACAAAGATAGAGTGAGTGGAGCTGATGCCAGAGCGAAAAAAGTCCACTCTAACCTTGTATACTCAGCACTTATTCGACACACATATCAACTGACAGAATAAAGCAGAGACACACCACTCGCAAAGATAGTTAGGAAAAGAAACAAATTCAAACAATCCCCCACGTGGAATCATATATCTACCTTTTCCCACTTTTTTGTCTTCTTTCTCATTCGTGAGTTCTACGACGGAAACAAGACGCTTGTCTGCTGGACGCCGGAGATCGTTTAGTAATTCATCATGATACACTGTTGATCAGAGTCCGTACACGAGATACTGAAGACTACACCGGGTGTGGTGATCTGTTAGGGAATCTCGGATCTAGCGGGGTCTAGGGTTTCAAGAGTAATGCGCCCATGATACGATGAGTAGGGACACCTTTGAACGTATATGAGTGGTCAGAGGGAATAGAGAACTGACCATTGCCCAGGAACCCTAATGTCCATCCGACGCAGCATGACATAAATTGCCATCTGGGGATCGTGGAGGGAGAAGACGAAGTGGTAAGATATATAGCGAGGAGATATGCATTCCTACATGTCAACAATAATCCTTCCTCTTCTTCGCCTGTCCTCTTTCAACAATTTCAGACAGTCCACGGGAGCGAATTTTTCCTGGCGATGAAGAGACCAATCATTGTCGGAAGGGATACGGAAGGGCAAAGTAGATTCTGGTAAGGTTTGATAAAAGCTAGAAGTGTGAGATATCAACTTACAGCGCATTGTACCCCGCAGCGATGAGAGGTACGATGATATGTAGTTTACTCCTTTTTGGAGAAAGTATCAAAGGCGACAACACGGCTCTATGAGCGTAATGTATCAGATACATAATCTATTTTCTCAGCATACTCCTTCTTGATGATTCTCAGACTTTGTCAAACTGATAAGAACCGAACCAAACTCTGTTCAGTCATATCCAAATCAAATCCATCAAATGAGTGACTCTCCTTCGACTTTATACGCTGGGCGTAACCTAGGTAGTCGTTGGATATATCAGGCAACTGTGTGAGATATGAGAGGAAAGATCAGATACTAACGGATAAAACCAGTTGTCTACCTGTTGGGAAAGTGGGATACAAAGTCATCAAAAAAGTAAGAGGAGCAACGATCTCCATTGAGAACCAAGCTATATTACCTGAAAATCAACTCATCGACCCTCTAGTCCCAAACGACCATTGTCAGTGTGGAAACGTGGAGATATGAGGTTGCCGAAGAAAAGGTATTGAGAAAGAGAATAGACACACCATTCACATTCAATCTACTCGTCTTGGAAGCGAACCTCCCGAACGGTGCGTCTAATACGAACAACGTCAATGGGGCGTGAAGAGGAAGAAGGTGATACATCCCCAAAAGGTTGTAGAATGTAGGTTGAAAGTTGGACGCCATGTTGTTTTTCTGTTCTCGACTCGGTCGTACTTATACTCTCGTGCAAGATCCAGGGCCATGAGGGTAGATGTTGATAAATGGGACAGGCGAGTGGAAGATGATTTTAAGTGCGAAATTGGGAAGTCCAACGACGTCATCAGGCGAAACGATCGAACAACTTCATTGATCACCACCGACGTTGACTCGGTCATCACAACTCGTGTCTCGGATCTCGGAGATCGGAGATGAAGGGGAAACGGAATGGAACAACCAACACCCGTGCAGACATTTTAGAGTACTCGTAGTCGACACGACGATGCATTAAATAATTAGACTGGACACTATGTACATTGGTTCCTCTCTGCTTTCAATTCACTCGCTCAGTCCGAGATAAACGTCGCTTCGTCAAACAACCACCCTTTGACAGGTGTGGTCTCGCCATCCAATGTCACTTCCAGCGTGGCGGGGTTTTGATACTTTCCATCAGTCATGACATGAAGAGAACTTGATATGAACTCACCTGGAAGATGTAAGGTTTCGTCCCTGTCACCGCTGCCAAACCTTTACGGATCAAAAGTGGGATTTCACCCAGCACGTCGACCTTCTCTATCAAGCCTCCTTCACCGACGGTAGCACCTGCCTTCTCCTGCACCACTTTCGCACCTGCTCGACCCTTTCCGTCCACTCTGTCACCTTCCCACACAAACGAGATACCGGTCGGGGCGTAGTAACCTGTGTCCTTGTCTTTGACCACACCGAGATGTGTGGCAGCGGAGATATCTTTGGACAACCTGGGAAAGGCGTCAGAAGAGGCGTGATGGGTTTGACCGACAACGATTAGAGGGGAAGGGAGCGAGGTTATGGTGACAACCCCAACGTTGACTTTGGTCCGACCTGACTTATGACCTTTGGGACCGTATGCGTCCTGCCCGTGAGCAAAAGCCTCCATGTATACTTATGGCTGCGGCTTGGTTTTGATTGCTTCTGTGCCACACAAGTTCAGGGCTGAGAGGGTACGATTGATAAGGTGTGGAGGGAGTTGGCTGGAGTGAACCATGGTCACGTACAGTAGTTTCAAACTCCATCTGAATCGCTCTCACGCCCCCGAGGGGACCCTCCTCGATGCCACCGCCAGTAGTAAAGAAAGCAAAATTCCATCTCGTAGCAAGCTGGGCGTCAGCTCTACCTGAAATACAATGAATAAGCTCACAGAGTCTGGTCGCATGCCTTGGATGGCACGAACGAACATGCCGTCTCCTTTAGCATCCACGACCTTTCCATCTAAGGTGAACGTCCCTGAGCTGTACATGAGAGGGAGGAAACGGCTGTAGGTCAGCCACATTCCTTCGTATCCAGGTCATTTCGATATGAATCACAGCTGAGGTGGTCGAGTATGAGAGACAGAGTACACTGAACCACGGCTGCTCTAACTCAGGCGTGTTTCGTGAAAGTCAGAGGGGAGTGAAGGAAGCAAGGATGTGCGTCAATTGTACTCACTGCAATGCGATGCCATCCTCCTTGTCCTTGCCAAAAGTCGAAATACCTCCCATCTCCCCAGCGCCAAATTTGACTCCCGGTGCTTCTGCCGGTCTCCGGAAGACCAAGTCGAATTGGACATGTTTGTCCAAATGAGCCACAATATGGTACGACTCTTCTCCACTGGCAGCACCAGTATGTTTGATGTCCTTTTCGTCAGCATCACCATGAAGCTATGAGGGAGGTGTCCAGCTTGCTTGGGGTAGAGAGCTATGTATCATGCAGATTGGGGGTACAGACACCTGAATGAACGAGTTTAACTCACAAAATGATCAGACTTGCATGAGCGACCATTAGGTTTGAAGCCCGAAGCACTGATCGATTTCCAAACAGCTTTCTTCGCATGGGGATTGTAAATCTTGAAAGTCATTTGGCAAGTGGCAGGGACCAAAAACAGTCTTTGGATGTCAGCCTTGCCCCCATACATCCACCCTAGTCACCCTCCAAGTGGTCACATTCGTCAATGCGCATGACGTCGATACCGCGATGACTCAGCGCAACTTGTGCTTGACGACACTGAGAAAACACTGACCCAAGATAGGACCAGATAATCTGTACCATGACCCAGCTACCATCCGTCAAGATGGTATACCATATCTGCGTCTCGCTTCTGAACCCTTTATGGGTAGAACAATCCCACTTGTCATCAGCGCCGAATCTCACACGTCTTTGACTCTTCTGACCACCAGGCAGGTCGTACGAGTCAATTGATGGGACAACTCGTGCTCTTCGTTCTTATCAAGAATGGAGCGCATAGATGAGAGAGAAGATACAAGAAGATACCCACGGCAGTGTCCTGATCGGTAAGAGGTCCATAGCCCGTCAAGGTGGAAGTGACGGGATGAAAGTTTGACGCAGGAGCCGCGTCAGGGTCGGTAACGCTGATCGTGAGCAATCATCAACAGCCGGCTTGGAGATGGCTACTTTGTAGAGTAGTGTACCCTTGAAGAGAGATAGCAACGGCAGTCTTTGCGGGAAGAGTTGGGGCTATGCAGGTGGAGGTATCAATGTCAAATGAGTGCCAGGGGAGAACGCACCTGAACCATGACATGATTCTGACCTTTACTGCTTCCTTGAGGGGTAGGTGTTCGGATGCAAGGGTGCAGAGGGCAGGAAGAAATAAGTTTGAAAAGTGGACGAGTGGCAAGGTAGACAGCTGGATATGTAACTTTGTCAATACTACTGTGGTGAGATGATGATCAAGATGAAAGTAGGATGATCAATGTGAAAGAGTACGAAAGCGGGCGAGAGAACGGCCGGTCCGTCGCTTAATTCAACGTGTCCGCCGGGTACTCCGCTCTCTTCATGCACGTCAAAGTGATGGATGACATGCCAATCTACAACAGTCCGATGCCCTTGACAACTTCATCCCCTCTACGTCTCACTCCCTTCCCTTTTCCCCTCACCAGGCCAAGCATTCGAGACTCCTCGCAGAATCGTACGAAGGCAGCATGTAATCGCACATCTCTTTCCTCGTCCACCGGTTCCCCTTGCGTCGTCTGGTTGGCCACACCATCTGCCTGCTCTTCCTCATCGTCACTTCGATGCTTCCTCTTCCTGGCATGGCCGTTGATCAGGTTGTCTGCCCCTTCGATGTGATCGTCATCATCTGCTGTCGAATCCGGGTGTGGGACGTCGGCATGCTCCGTCATCGCGTCTCTAAACCCTTCCAGCCAATCCCAGAGGTTGATGCTTTTCCCCGCCGATTGCCACAACGAATACAATAGCTCCAATTCTTTGAAGACCCCGCCTTGCTCTTGATCTTCTCCACTGCATCCGTTCATTTGATGCTCCGTGTCAGTCGAGTGTTCGTTTGCTTTGCCTTTCGCGCTCGCTCTCGATGCACTGCCGGTTGCCGATGCGAGTTCTACCAGCGATGCTGCAGACGGCTTGATGAATGCCGACGGGTCGGCGAGAGCATGCAGTATCGAGATTCTTGGAGCCGGATTGAATGTCTGTCACAAGTCAGCTTTGATCAGCGTCCAAGCTTAATCGCTCACCGAATGAAGCTCGGTAGAAGACTCCACGGTAAATAACTCTTTCCCCGGAACGTCCACAGAGTCTCTCATACCCTTGATCAATTGTCGAAGCATCTCCAATCTTGACCCATCAGACTCCTCGGCGAGACTAGCAAGAGGTGAAGTCACACTGTGTCGAAGTAAAGCCCATTTCAAAGCTTTCAATGTCTCAGCCGCCCCACCGCCAGTCATCTCCTCTGTCTGCCTCAGTTCTTCTGCAAACTCGGCCGAGATAGCTAGAAGGGTGGACGAGCGATCGGTTGCAGCCTACAAGTCAGCCGACACCAAACCAGCTAAAGCGAACCAACTTTCAAAATCGCATTCACTCCACCTTCTCGTCGTCTCCGACCAGAATGTAAGACGCTGATGTCGATGGAGCTAGGCTCAATGTGTGACCAGGACGACAAGAAGGTAGATATACTCGGTACAGAAACAAGGATTCGGAAGGGCAGATTGGGATGTAGTCTCCACGAGTCAGCTCTGGTCAACACATTAAGCTAGGAAAGCTAACGTCATTATGTATATCAACTCTGAGAGAATCCCAGGAGGCAGAATCTGAGCATCTTGGATGTGAAGCAATAACGGAGGTCCTACTCGTCAACTTTTCTGGAACCACGTTGGAAATGAGGCGAGCTCACGATCTTTCTTTCGGACGTACCACTGCTCCAGTGCCTCGATGGGACTACGACTAGCTTTATGGACCCCAGATCCCTGTCCACTTAGCTACCAATCATATTAAATCGGTCTTTCGTTCAGACTCACAGCTTCTCCCATGAATCCTACCGCCACAGCCCTGGTAGCACTTGACAAATCGGCCGCTTCCCTCGTTGACAAAGTATATGCATGTTTGACCAGACCACTCAGTAAAGGGGGAAGTGAAGATGAGATGTCTTTCATGTAAGCTTCGACTGGATACACCTACAGCTTCCAGACATGAACTTACTCTGTATCACAGCCACGGGCAATCGATATATCGTAAAGGGCGGAGGGATGAGCGGTGGAGCGGATGCAGCTGTGAGCCAATCTGAAATATCGTCTAGTTGCTCTTCTACTCGTTCTGATTCGTATGCCTATCATTAGCTTCGTCAAATCTCAGTGAGCAGACTCACCTCATAAGCAGCGACATAACGTTGATATACTTGGTCATAGAAAGGCTTCAGCGGCCGAGAAGGTCCAGGTTGAGATTCGTCTTCCCTTTCCTCGTATGGTATGACAAAGACTCCCTGTGATTCTTCAGTTACAATGCCTCAGGATGAAGGAGAGGCCATGTAAGTGCGCCAAGAAACATACCTTGCTCAACGACTGGAAGTCTTGTTCCATGCTTTTCTCCCGTCCCCTGTATGCAGTACGAGTGGGGTTGTCGCAGGCAAGTGGAAAGAAAGTCGCGCCGATTTGAGAGCGGACATCACCGACTTACGGTAAGTGCCACACTGGTAGCACGTATCTCGGCATTTTGCGGAGTTTCGTTTGCCCTTCTCCTCCCATTGACCTTGTTCCCACACTTTCCACTTGGACTCGTACAGCCAGTCAAGGTATGTCTTCACTTGATGATCCAATAGTCCACGCTGACGCTGCTTCCTTTTTCAATCTTTACAGATGCAAATTTTCGTGAGTTTCTTCATATCGTACATGGGCGTATGCTGATTTTCAGGTCAAGACGTGAGTTTCGACCTTCAAGTTGCCACTGGTATAAATGAGGAGCAGTCATGTTGACGATCAGCCTTACCGGAAAGACCATCACTCTCGAGGTGGAGAGCTCCGACACTATCGACAATGTGAAGTCGAAGATCCAGGACAAAGAGGGTATTCCTCCTGACCAACAACGATTGATTTTTGCCGGAAAACAGCTCGAGGATGGTCGAACTCTTTCCGATTACAGTGAGTCTATCGCATGCTCTCATGCCTATGATGCTTTCAAGTCTTTTGGAAGCCTATCATTGTAAGAAAGACTCGGTGACCCCGTACGCACTTGCAAGCGGCGAAAAGGAGTGGAAAAATACGCTCGATCGAAACCATTGGACAGACGGAAGAGTCGACTGACAAATCAGACATCCAGAAAGAGTCCACTCTCCACCTCGTACTCCGTTTGAGAGGAGGTATCATTGAGCCCTCTTTGAAAGTTTTGGCCTCAAAATACAACGTGAGTCCCTTCCCCCTTGTACTTTCACGGCAGCTGATACCATAGTGCGACAAGCAAATCTGCCGTAAATGCTATGCCCGTCTTCCTCCTCGTGCGACCAACTGCGTGAGTGATCATATACGACCTTCCTTCTGGAACAGTAATTGCGATTCTACAGGAGAGTAGCTGCTGCTGAGAACCTATCGGTGTCTATGAGGGATGAACCTCGCCGTGGACGGGAATGCTGACTCGATAGCGCAAGCGCGCATGCGGACATTCTTCCCAGCTCCGCCCCAAGAAGAAGCTCAAGAACTGAGCGGTGATGATGGGGAAGGGTCGTGGCTATAGGCTTCTATTCGAGATGTATGGCATGATCTTCAGCCACTGGTGTTCTCTGTCTCATCGGAATGATGTGGTCTATCTGATTGGTAGTGTTCTATTGACATGGAACGAAACGACAGTGCATGTCCTTGTGCAGTAGCTAGCTGTTGCCTCGTCTACCGTAGTCTTAGGTAGCAGTTGGTTATTGGTAGTTGGTAGTTGGCAGTTGGTAGTTGGTAATAGGCCTAAAGGCAAGTCAAGGTATGATCGCGCATGCGGTCGCATATCAACTTTCACCCAATTGCCTCTCCGAAGAGCGTGCCATCTCTCTCTTTCTCTCCCTTGTTAGTGCATCAAGAAACCGACGATGGCACTACCCATCTCAGAAGAAGAGCCTGATCTCTCTCATATCCACTGGTCAGCTCGCTTAAATGTGACCACCCTGTCGAGCTGACTTACAGGTCTTGGCCAGAAGCCATCGCCGTCAGTCCCTTCACCTTCCTCTCCACACGATGCCATAACTTATAACACCTTCTATATCATGGCTGGCCCTCTGAACAACTTGCATTTGTACACCAAGTAGATATTCATACTTCAGCTCTACTGACCAGCTAGGCCAACCCTACTCATTCACTCTCCACACCCGATCTTGCGTAAGTCTCCTGTCTGCGCTTTCATGGTGAATGTTGAGGGATAGGATGGACTATTTTGCTTTCTCTCCATTTTGGGATAAAAATTCTAATAACAACGTACTACGCACTCAGAGAAGGGTGGAACATCCGACATATGGACATGCAGAGGAGAAATAGTAGGTGCCCCGCCCCTCTCTCAATTCTCCTCCTCATCTCTTCCTCTTCCTCCCCCCTTACTCACACCCTGTGTTGACTGTATTTTCATACCTGTATCACTCCTTGTTCGCCTGGCCTTTCGATCTCTAGTTGGATGATCAGGCCATACTCCCAATTCTGTCGTTCTCGAGCAATTGCTCATCCTGTCACCTGCAGATCCTCTTGCTGGCATGTAGGAGTCACAACAAGGACCGGTCATACATAGCGAGGGACACACTTTGCTTGTCTGACACACAGCGAATTACCAGCTTTCACATCAGGTTTCGAATATATCATATCACATTCCCTTCCTCCTGAATTGTTCGTGATCCATCGACGGGAGGTTGAGAATGGTAAAAGAGACCGAGTGAGCGCAGTGTATTTTATCTTAGATGGAAAGGTTTATCCTACTCCTTCTTTATACAACGTTTTGTCTGTCCGACTTGTGAGTCCATTCCTTGGGGTTTCCCTACCCTCACTTCTCCGCTCATATCTCCTTCTTTCTTTCTTCAGTTTCTTTCCCGTTCCCCTTCCTTCCACACCTGTCCGCACAACTTGGCCGAGGCGCGGAGCCCTCCCCCCTCTCCCAATCCGTTACTCATCTCAATAATCTGTCTGAATATGTTGTAAGTATCAGATTTTATGCATATGCTGATCAAAAGCGAAACGCAACATCCCTACTCGAATCATCTTTCTCAACACTATCATCCTTTCATCCTCCTTCAAACCCTCGTATAAACCCGCAATGGCGTTCCCTACCTCCTCCACCTCCCCCCATCCAGCCTGACGCCCGTACACCTGTAGACCAACCTGACGAACTGTCCGCAAATACCAAATCTAAGGAAGAGCCAAATAAAACCGATTGGAACCTTTTTCACGCTTTATCTACCACACATGCTTCTCTCGATGAACTGGACGAAATGGCTCAAAATCCCATTTCAACCTCCGAACCCCATGACTTCCACAACTTGGACGATATCAGAAACAGGAGAGATCTTTCACTCCCCCCTTCTAGTATTGTGGGAAACACACCAACTCCTGGTGAAACGCCTTATGGAATGGATATGAGAACACCCACGGTGTTAGCTTCAACAGCTATAAGTCCCGGTTCCGTCATGTCGACAGGATCGTAAATCTCTTCAGTCAAATACTATCGGGCTTGGCAATTCAACACCGTGTCATCACGTTTCGACGACACCTTAACATCTATCTATCTACGACCAAGTCGGATCGTGTCACAATACCAACTTCTCAAAACTTCCAATCCGCCTCGGTGGCCATCTTGACTTTGCTCAAGACACGAGGACCAGCCTCTCCTTCTTCGAGACCATTGGCGAATTCACCAGGAGCGGCCGCACGCCATTTCCAATGAGCGGTGAATTCGTCGGCAACGTGTTCGAGCTGGTTAACGAAGTGCTGGGAGTTAGCAGGATTCTTGATTTGGCTATGTGTGATCGTCCTACTTCCTCCCATGCGGAGATAACAGAAATGGAAGAGAGTAAGAGGATGGGAAGGTATATTGGATTATGAACAGAGAAAAGAGCATGTGGATTATGGAGGATAAAAGTTGTTGTAAACAGATAGACCACCCCAGATTTAACATCCATGAATGTATGTCGAACAGGGAACGGGGAAAGAGAGATGTTGAAGAGACAAAGCAAACTCACATGACCCAAAGTGGGAAGGAATTTGAAACCATGACCTGATCCACCCGAAGCGACAAACAAAGTCTCATTGTATCCCGGTACGTAATCACCCACAAAGTGATTATCAATCCTATATCATCAGCTTGTATCTTTCACCACTGAAGAAGTTGACAAACGAATCAGTATACCAGCACATCTAATCATCAGCCTACATAGGGAATTTGTGACATGAAAAATGAATCTTACCCTGGTTCCCGTGATACCGATCTCGACGAGTTCAGGGAAGATTTCTATAATATTCTTCTTGATTTCGTTAAGAGCGTGTAAGGGGATGTTGGTTATTGGGTCTTCAGAGTATTTCGTCTTGGGTACAGAGAGACGTCTGATTGTTAGTCTTTCGTCACTCTATACGTCTTACTACCCTTTGGCCCACCACCCCCACTACGACTTGGTAGAAGTATCGGCTGTTGATTGAAGGGAGGAGATTGGAAGATGTCGGACATAAATAATTTTACATCATTCAAAGACAGCAAACTACGGGAAAGGAGAAGATGGGTGAAAAAAGAAAAGACACACTGTCCAGTGACGGGATGATCCTTGTAGTTGGTGTATTTGGTAGCACGATAACCAAACTTGAGTCTACCATTATCGGTCCTTGGGAAACCTCCCATTCTGTCATCAGCCTCCTCCTTCCTTCTTTGCGTATCACAACTTGACTCCAAACCCCGTGACGCGCTCCCCACTGATGTTACCTGGAAAAGGGACGTCTCAGTCGAGGAGGAATGCGTTGGAGGCAAAGGAGAAGAACCTCACCCGATTCCCTCCGAATATTGGAAACTCCAAGTACAAAATTGTTTGTCTCCGAATTTATCCCATAAATCTTGACGATCTTTAGGAAGGTCTACATAGGCCACGCTCCCTCCTGTGGTCTCGAGCAAGGTTGAAGCTTCAGGGACGACCGAAGCTGTCCAACCACCACCTATACGAGTTAACATCATTCTTCGTTGATCTGTCTCGAGCCTTCTTTACCCCCTCCTCCCCTTCTATTGTCGAAACGCAGGAAGGCGAATCCTCCCTTAATAGTGGATGGCCCAGGGGAAGAAAAGACATAGTGCATGAATGGCACGGACAGGCTTTTCAGACAAAAGATGAGGAGTCAAGGTAAATAGGATGTATTCAATTGACTCACAAGCAGCAATGGCCTTTGAAGCCGGATGAACCTTCCCATCTTTAGTCTTAACACCAACCACCTTCTTATCGCTCCCTTCACCTTCAAGGACGAACGAATCGAACATTCCTCCAATTGGATCAAGCACAAACTTGACACCTGCTTCTTTGGCAAGATGTAAAGCGTACAAACAAGCTTTATCTGCTCTAGTATATCCGGCATCCGTGTCGAGAATTCCATGAACGTCACCTCCAAGGAGTTTGGCGAACCTTTGCATCTTGCCTGCCCAATGTTGACCGCTACCGGCTGCGTCGAGTGCTTCAGCACGTTCCAGTTCTTTTTCGTCGTTCTGCGTGTCAGTGCGTCTACTAGTACTAAAAGAGTTTGGCTGGTGTCGACAGGATATAGGAACCAATCACGTACAAGGAGGAAAACATGATCCCTTCGACCAGCCTCGACGATACCTTGCAGTGAAGCAGCGTGGAAAGGGCTCAACTCGTGTCCTCCACCAGTACGCATGAATCCGCTCATACTCAGGATTTCGTCCGTTGGGTTGAGTCCAGCAGGGAGCTTTTCAGGATTGGAATCGGTGACGGCTTTGGTCCATTCTTTCCATATAGGTAGAGTGCGTTCAGCGAGGTTTTGATACCTTTTCTATCAGCGGGATTCCTCTCAATCTCACACCTTCCCCTATTTCACCTGATGGCACACGAGAACGGTCCGGTGAATGGGCCATTGAACATTGGAGAGGAAGAAATGGACTGTGGTGTGATCATGAAGAGATGAGAGGGGGTAAGGGATTCACATCTTCTTGTCACCACTGTTGATATCAGCAAAAGCCCAAGGTCATACAGCACTCGTGTTTTTGACGTTTTCGATAGGTCGTCCCAGGAACAGGAGCGGAGGACGCATCTCGCTGGGACCGCGAGACCAGGCGGAGAGAGAGAATGTAAAACATATATCCACCACTCACTAGGTAGAGCGGAAGACTTTGTTGATATCAGCCGAAGCACCATCACATCCATCCTCGGGAGCATAGTGATTCTTCTCGAAAGGTTGACGGTCAAGTACGGTGACGTCGGTGTATCCTGCACGTAAGTCACTTTTCCTCTCACGGTCAGATTTTCTTCCCTCCGGTCCCCAGACCATAACGTGGGATGAGGAAAGGTATTTGACTCACCTCGGCGGGCAAGATGAAGTGCGGTACTGAGACCGAAAACACCAGCCCCGATGATGACGATTTTCTGACTCTTGTCTATAGGTGCGATCGCCATTGTGACTTTCAGTTCTTCTCTCTTTATCTTGGTCTTGTTTCCTGTTGTCTTGGCTATTAAAAGCTATGTATCAAGTACAGGCTCAAAAGGGAGTAAGCAAAAGTGTATACAGTGAGAATACTGTGCAAGACGATTGAGCCAACATCTGTGCCTATATGGCGCGACGTAGTCAGATTTCATACGAGATAAGCTGGATAACAGGAGATAAGTCGCGGTCAGCTCCGTCCCGACAAGAAACAAAATCGCCATATCGGGTAATTTTCCCGTCATCCGCTAAACCGATTAGGTACTCAACTCCTCGCCCATCCCCGATGCATACGCAAATAGCTTCCTACCGTATCTTACAGACTTCCGGGCCATATGCATATGCGTATTTCTGTCGAGGGCTCTGCAGTAGTGTAGGATTATTATTATTATTGATGGTGTGAGATGGGTGTCGTGATTCGGACGGCTTTGAAACCCATAGAAGCGGTGGACTACCAATGGGAAGAGTGTTGCAACTAATCTCGACGCGTGGCGAAACTGACCAAACGGCGAAAGTCTCCAAACGCCTTGGGAGTCTCTGACCGATCGTGCCCTTCGGAACTCAAGCCTCTTGCCAATAGACTAGGGAGAACGTTGCCGGATCCTGCCGGCGGGGAGAACATGGCTGCTGAAGAAGGAGAATTGATCATACGTTCGCTAGGAGGATCCATGTCGATGGCGGTGAGGAAAGAGGTGTCGGCGAGATCGTCTTTCGTCGATGTCACCGAGAGGAAGATGTCGAGCAGCTTTTGCTGGTCTGTCCGTGGCGTGCCTTTGAGGTCGAGTACCTGCGAGGGTCAGCGCTTGCCATAAGCTTTCCCTGGGACAGCCAACGATGCATTTTCAGAGCTTGAGGCACTTTTGAGACCGAACAGATATTGGGAATTGACTTCGTAGCTTGACAGACTGGATCATGGGCGTGAGAGGGAAGAACTCATTGACTCACCTTTTGGAAATTCGAAAAGGATCGATCCGCAATGAGCAAGCAGTAATTCTGGACAAATCCTTCTGGTGGGTCCTGTAGTTTCAGCTGAGTACGACAAGAACCCTTGAACTTACATCAGGTGCCAAGATGACCTTGAGCATTGTCTCCAGTTGGCCAGTGTTCTTCGTAACATACTTCGTGTACCTATCCTGTCAGTCCTACAGCCCTGTCACAAGTACACTTACGCATTCATGCTATTTTCCGGGTGAGGTTCAGGCAAGTCCAACAAACAAGCCTTGACAGCCTGTACATCGAGCAGAATCTGCCACGATTAGTTCGCGTCATCATAACAAACGAAGAACGCTGACCTGCTCTGCACCGATCTTCCTCAAAGGTCGACTTTTGATGACTGCCTGTGTGAATCGAGTGACTATCAACCCCACTGCCTTGTCGGCAAAATTCCGGATATACTTTTTAGATTCGATACGACCTCGGACCATCTCCGCCACTTGTTTGATACTACCCACTAGATCGACGATGTAAGCAGACCGACCGGAAACGTTCTCGAGGTTGGCCCATGGCGATCGAAGTATGGCTGAGAACGCGGGTTCGCAAGCTGTTTCAAGCTCACGCAGGATGGAAGTGATACATTGAGACATTACGCTGAAGGTCAGCTCCGTGTTCCCGCACCCCAAACGTAGAGTCAGAGAACCAACCTCGAGAAAGTGTCTCTTTCAGACTGAAATGAGATGTCTTCGCGGAGATCGGAAGAGATCTTGTCTTTCACGCGATCTTCTAGCTACTATATCAGTTTGGTCATTTGGCAATCAGGGAGCTGACTTGTAATGAGGTACTTTGACAGTACTCGGCGGTATTGAGTATCATACATGCCGTCTTGATCTCCGCCAGGTTCGCTCGTTCTTCAAGTGATCGCCGACCAAACTCTTGTCTGACCTTTAGCTGATCTCACTACAGATTTAAAAGGACCGACTTTTTCAAAGCGGCCAAGAGCACATCATCTGTTGAGTTTTAGCGGTGAACGTGGCCCATTGCTGGCTGCTCACCAGAATAAACCTTCAACCACTTGCCAAACACCTTGGCCAGCTTTTTCATCGGCTCGCCAGTGGTATATTTTCCGCATTGCTCCAAAGTCTGTCCGTAGACGTAGAATAGTTCTGTTGAACTCGGTAAAACTGTAGGCGTCGGTGCCTCTTCAGATTCCTGCACGATAGCACTATCAAGGGATGACCGAGACTTGGGTCCGCGATGCGGAGCCAACATGTCGGCGATAGCACTGAGGTCAATTGCCCGATTCATACGCTACCTCGCTAAGCTCACCGATCCTGGGCGTCGACATAAACAGAAAAGTGGGAGTCAAAGATGGATGAAATGTTCCAGCGTTTTGCTGCCGAGGGAGTGTTAGGGCCTCCGATAGTGACATCTTGGAACTTTCTGTTAGCTTTTCCTGAGAATGCGGTACCGCGACTACGCACAGGTCTATCAAATCGGTTGGCGAAGGCAGCTTCAAAGTCCAGAGTGGACTGTAACGCCTCAAGGAGAGCATTGACATTTGGCGTTGTCTTCCCAAGGACATTGGCAAGGTCGCCACGAGTGTACTCGGCGAAATTAGCCACGAGCAACCTGGTGACTTCCCAGCTTTCCGGGAAAAGAGACGCATTCTCTTCATCGTGAACTTTCAAGACGCGACGAAACCACGCATAGCGTCTTGGTACATTGTCTAGCTGACCCGCCTATCGCGTCAGTCGGGCACTGCAACTTATCGGGGGGACCCTGTCACCTCTTCTGTGGAACGGAATATTCGACGATATTCTGCCAACTGAAGCTGCAAATATCGCTCGACCATGTGATTTCTGAGTTGATTAGTTCAATCGTCGAGTCATTGTGGGTACTCACCTGAAATCTCCTCCGATCACATCCACGACAAGACACACCTCTTCCACAGTCTTCAGATCCACGACCTTGCTCGGATCCTGCTGAAAGCTGGGCGTCAAATCGGCGCCGCAAGTAGTACATGGAACTTACAACGTCTCCATTTCCACTGCGACTTCTTCTTGAACCTTTTTTCGGTCCTCTTCCGCAGATTTGAATAGCTCAGCGACTTCCATGATGGAAGTGAGGGGTCTCAAGGGCGCTGAGAGGTGCATGACAGCCTGGAGTTTGAGATACGCTCTTTTAACGGAGGCTGACTCACAGAAAGACTCTGTGATATCTCCTTGAATTTCTTGGTTGGAAGAAGCTCTTGCAGCTGTTGATGAGCTTGTTCTTGTTGAATCAGTACTCATCTTCAGGATAACTACTAAGCTTACTGAGCATCTCCCATCGTTCAATCGTCTGTATTGTGCCCGTCAGGTTACGCTTCGCCACGTCCAACCTTTGAATGTCACCGGTGATAGCTTTGACAATAGCTTCCGCTTCTGCTGCCTTTTCTCGAATTGTGTTTATCTGCAAAAGCAATTGCTGTCTGATCAGCATGACTCCCATATACAGCAACCTCGGGTGGTTGTGAGGGTGTGGCACGGTGTGAGGACTGACCCCAATTTGCGATTGAATTTGAGACATCTTCCCCGGGTCTTGATCTCTCCTCAGTTCCAATTTGAGCTTCAATATCTTGTCCTTGATATCAAGAATATCGAGCTGACATCGAGCATTAACCTTTGCATGTCGTGAGAGGGAAGCAGCTGACCATCAACGTGTCATCCATCAAACGGGGAAGGTCTTACGGTCAGGGAAAGAGGTTGACAAACGGTTCAAAATCTTGTCATTCGTACGAAGGATAGACGACGGTCCTGGGTCCCCATTTGTTGGTGATAATACACCTACGGAAGCCATGATAGGGCTCAGTGTGTGAAAAGTGGTCGGTATCTTAGGGGAAAAGGATGCAGGTGTGGAGGAGTGACAGGTTGCTTCCGTCGGAACATTGGACGGCCAAGTCAGGGGGGCCCATGCGCAAAGACGTCATGCCTGCCATCCAGAGTACCATCACATCATGGTCAAATTTTGAACCTTTATACTTCTTCCTCTTGACCTACATCTGGTCAATTTCGGCTATAAAGATTACACTGGGCAGAGCTGAGGGCTGTCTCTCCCTCCTATCGTCTTCCATACAGCTCGAAGAACCCTCTTCGTCATGTTTTGGGACCCTCTCTTCGAGCACGTTGCTTCCCTCGCTGGTGCTCCTCCTTCCCAGATAAAGGTCAGTTCTCACTCTGTACGCTCCATATCTAGAGATGGTTTAATGAGACGTGTCATGGCAAAGGCCGAGTCGCTAACCCCCAGCTCATTTTCTCTTTCCTCGTCAGCTACCCTCTCGGATCTCTCTTCGTTCGGATCCCTCCGGACCGTCCCAACCTGGCTCACATCTTCTCACTCGTCATCTCACTCTTCTTCTATGTCCCTCTACTCAACCTCGGTCGAGGTCTTGCTCACCTACTCTTCAGCTGCGCCGGCACCTACGCCCTTGTGGTCGGCTCTAGAAGTGCTAATATGCCTTGGATGGTCTTTGCGTGAGCTATGTACATACACAGCAGGGGAATTCTACTTAACCAGCAGCTTCGTCATGGGACATTTATCTCTCAAGTGAGCTCCACTTCTTCTGACGCCTTGTGCGACCTCCTGACCACAGTCACTTGCGACTCTCATTCAAAGGTACCCCTATCGACGAAATTGAGATCACGACCAGCCAGATGGTGTTGGTCATGAAGCTCACCATGTTCGCTTGGAATGTTCATGATGGACGCCGAAAACCAGAGGTGAGTTGATGTACTTTCGCCTGCCAAAGCATACGAGGAAGAGCTCATGTATAGGAACTGGACGCAGGTCAATTGACAACGCGACTGCTACATGTACCTAGCCCTCTTGCATTCCTCGGATATTGGTACGTAATTTATGCCGTCATTCATGGATTTTCTGACCTATAGCTTTTTCTTCCCCTCTTCACTCGTCGGCCCCTCGATGGACTACGCGACATATGACGCCCTGGTAAAACACACCTTGTACTCTCAGCCTACTGCAGGGACCGAAGATCCGCAAGGAAAACTAAAGCGGCGGGTGCCTCACGGTCGGAAACGCGTCGCCTATCTTCATCTGGTCATTGGGCTTTTCTTTCTTGGGGTGTACGCAATATTCGGTACAAAGGCGAGCTATGAAAGAATCTTGACTCCGGCATGGTACACCTGGGGACTGGCCACTAGATTCGGTTTCGTCCAGGTCGCTGGATTCATAGCCCGTACCAAGTATTATGCTGCGTGGAGCTTGAGTGAGGTGGGTGAGATGCGCTCTCAATTAGACTTAGCTGACGGACAGGGGGCGTGCATCCTCACGGGAATTGGCTTCAACGGCTACGACCCCAGAACAGGTCGAACACTATGGAACAGGGTCCGGAACATCGATATTGTGGCGATCGAATCGGCCGAGAGCTTTAAGGTTCTTTTTGACAGCTGGAATTGTCGTACCAACGTGAGCTTTCTGACCCATGTTATTGTCCACTGAAGCTGATGATAGGTATGGCTCCGTGATTGCATATATAAGCGTCTGGTTACGAAGGGTAAGAAACCTGGGACAAAGCAAAGCATGGCCACCTTCCTCACCTCTGCTTTCTGGGTCAGTCATTCATGTGGCCGACTGATATGGTCTGACCAGCAGCACGGACATCATTTGGGCTATTATGCCGCCTTCACTCTGGCCGGTGTTCTCACATCTCTTGGTCGGCAGTTGCGCACCTACGTGCGACCTTACTTCTTACCCTCTCCATCTGCTTCCCAATCATCGCCAAACGCCCTGCCTCGATATCCATATCCTAACACGGCGAAAAGAGTGTACGACATCATCGGTTGGATTATGGTGCAGAGCAATCTGAATTTCACCGCTTCAGCCTTCATACTGCTGTCGTTCCGCAAGAGTATGGTAGCATGGAAGAGGATGTGGTTTTACTCGCCAGTCCTGGCTTTGTTGGCAATGGCATTCTTCCACTTTGGAGGTCGAGCGATGTTACGGCGGGGCTTACAGAGCAAGAAAGGTGTTGAGGGTGTACCGGATCTGAATGTGGTACCGCCGACACCTATTGAAGTCTCAACTCGCAGGTTACGCCAGCTAGACACGGATGCCGTAGAGAAGGCCACGAAGGACTTGACGTGGATCAAAGAGGATCTGAACAAAGCAAGCTATGAGGATAGAGGAGAAGGGATCGGTAGACCTGACGCTGGTCTGGTGGATCATATAGTACAGGGTACGGAGACGCCTAGAGGTTGAGTTCATATCATACATAGAGATCTGGGTATAAGGTTATATGTTATGGAGATGACTTTGTGCGCAGCGGGCAGCCAATATATACTGTGTAGGGGGAGGCAAGACGGAAGCAAATCCACTTGGATCACCCTTCTCTCGGCTTCGGTCACCATCACCGCCACCCTCTTTCAACCATATCTGGTACTTCCTCACTCTTCTAATATATAGCAGTCTGTGGCCGTTACTCACTCGGTGGCTCACAGGATGAAGGGTATCACAAAGGCTTTGGCTAGGTGAGCCGTTCCGCTCCCTGAAAGCCGGTCCATCCAAGCTGAAAGGAAATAGAACTCCACATAATCTCACCAGCCGAGTTGGTTTTTCCAAGAGTACGTCTTGCGTCATCAGCACTGTTTATGAACCAACTGATGCACTCTAGAATCTACTGATCCAGAGTTCAACGACCAGTGAGCTACCGTCTCCCTCATATCAAACCATCCTACTGTCGGCAATGGCGGAGGATTCGGCACACGTGTAATGAAGCTGTCTGGGCCGTTGCGTCGACTGCCTGGAGAAAGACGGATAAGAGGACGAGAACTGATGAATAGTGAACGCAAGTTTGCAGCTGTAGAAAGCGCTTGTGAGAAAATGTTGAAGGATGCTACTATTTTCAGGGATAGCGTGTCGTGTGAGTCAAATTTCTCACTTTGCTCCTCCCACTTCTGCATGAGGCTCATCGACCAATCAATCCAGCCGGAAGATATTGCTCTTCGATTATATTGTGATTTCAATTGGGTCATGATGCAGATTAAAGAAGAAGGGTGGTCGATCTTGATACCTTTCGATGGATGGACAACTGAAGACCAGCATTACTCATATCCGGTTCCAGCTTCTCTGGATCTTTAGCCACTCTGTTTTCTCCTCTCGGATCAGAGTACAATCTTGCGGCCAAGCATCCCACTGCGGAGGTCACAGTGAAGAATATCTCCCAGTACCAAGGCTTAATGGAGGAGCTACGAGGTGAGTTGCTGTCTTGCCTCCGCTGTCACCCTCTTCCTCGACCATCGTACCCGGACCGGCATACTTCTCCCTTTTCCTTCCCAAATGGCTGGACCTGGAAACGTCACTGATCATCAGAAACCCTATCGCCCGAATTGGAACTTATCGACTCTCGTATAGTTCAACCATGTAAAGAACTCACCGACATCTGTAAAAAGATCCGAAAAACATGCACCAAACGAGAACACAAGTTAATAGATTACGATCGACACAATAATTCGTTGAATAAACTCCGTGAGAAAAAAGAAAAGTCTCTCAGTGACGAAAAGAATTTATTCAAAGTCAGTCCTTGGTCAATTCTCACCTGAGGCAACGCTGATACTTCAGGTCGAACAAGATTTCGAACTTGCTTCTGGAGAATATGAACATTACAATAACTTACTCAAGACGGAATTACCACAGTTTTTAGTCCTTGCGACGAGGTTTATCGATCCTCTGTTCCACTCTTTCTATTACATGCAGTAAGTCGATATCTTGATGTTTTCCCACCATTACGTGCCACCTTTTCCACTTCACAGCAACTCATCACTTAGTATTTGAGTAGGTCAAGAGAGGACCGCGTGTTATATGGATGCGTGGAAAATGATTGCTGATATCAGACTCAACGTGTATTACATTATGATGGATAGACTGCAATCTTTTGCCGATGGAAAATACGACTTGTCGCGGAAAGATATTGAAACTATATATCTCGAGCAAAGGGGTGATGCGGCGGAACAGATCGAAGAGATGAACATTACCAAACGGGTGCAATCGACTGGTGAGTTGTGTTCATCCCCTCATCTCTCTGTGTCTCCAAAGACATCAAGAATCTTTTACGCATTCGTCTCCTCCATGACCAATGATCTCGCACCTATCTGTGAAATTGTCGTCTTTGAGTACCTATTTGGAAGAAACTACAACTCATGTTCCAGCCCGTCTCCTGCAGACAGCCCGACAAGCTAGTGGAGGTGCTAGCCCAAGCCGTACCTCATCTTTAACTTCCAAACCTTCTCTCTCTTCCAAGCCGTCATTCAAGAAAGAAGACTCGTACACTTCTCCGGTCCAGAGAACTTTACCACCTTCAAACTCTGGTGGACTAGCAGCTCCTCCTCCTTACACATCTACCCTTTCTTCAGGTAGTATCAAAAAGGCTCCTCCGCCACCTCCTCCTCTCAAAGCTAAACCGTCGTTCGCCCCTGTCAAGTATGCCACGGCTATCTTCGACTTTGAAGCTCAAGTGGGTTCTTCCTTCTCCCCTCATCACTCATCCCTTCCTCTTCTTCTGCACCTCAAACATATAGATTGCAAATGGCAATCGGGGTGACGTCATGTTTGAATGAACTCGTCGGCCGATCAAATGTTCTAGTAAATGTAGATATCTCAGACTGACTTGAACAGGCCGAAGGAGATTTGTCTTTCAACGCAGGAGACAGGATCGAGATTATCGAAAGAACCGACAATGCCGACGATTGGTGGACTGGAAAATTGAATGGGAGGACGGGTATCTTCCCCGGTACGTACACCCAAGTGGAGTGAGTATCCATACAACTTATAAACCTCAATCGACCCTTGGATTCAGGACTCTTGACCGGGGAAGGTATTTGAAGTGCAGTAGTCGGAGCCATCATCTGTTCTTCTTCTCATCTCGTTTTAGCCCTTTTAGAACCGATGTATCTGATTTTCACAATTACTGATTATCTCATTATTGGGTCTAAATCATTGATCCTGGGTTCATTTCGGTGTAAGGGATCACTATCGATACATATTCACACACTGGGATATCGATTCTACTAAGCTTGATGAGACATTTGGACTGGAAATCGTAGGTGTCATTACGCCCGTCGATACAACCATTCCTATCACTTCTTTCAAAAGTAAAGCGGGGCTTGACATTTACATTTTAGTTCTTGCTCTTCATCATTCGATCCCCATTACCAAACACGTCCAGGTCAGCCTACCCATCAGCTCTATTCTGATCAGTAGGACTTCTGACTCACGAACGGGTCATTGTTCATCACTGAAAATGTGTCCATTTCAGGGGAAGGAGATCGGATCTGTCAATTAACACTCTCTCATCCTCGCCAACCGTCAGACTCATCAGCCACTCAGCGTCTCTCATCGGTCATGACTCTCGTCTTTGACCAGCACTCATCTATTGCCAGACTGATCATTCAGTAAACTCTAATAGTACGACCTTCTCTCCATCCTCAATCATGACTTGTGTATATATAAGAGAAAACACCCTACTCACCTTGTTCATCGAAGTCTGACCAAGGAAAGAAGGACGAAGGTCCGTTGGTTTCCCATTCCATTTCCCGGAAACGTCACCAAAAACACTATCAACAGTCGTGTTTCCCACACGAGCAGGAGTCATATCAAATGTGTTTATACCCATTTGACGTTGACGAGAAGAATCCATTTCTGTTGTATTTCCTCCCATTTGACGTTGACGGTTAACGTCAATATCCATGGCATTCAATTTCATTTGACGATAACGTGAAAGATCTAAATCTGTCACATTACCCATTGAACGTTGACGTGTGAGATCATTGTCCATGGTATTTCCACCTGATTGACGTTGACGTTGAAGGTTCGTAAGTGTGAGAGAAGTTTCATCGTTGGATCCTGATGTGGAGACGGGTTCCAGGTCTAGGTCGTAAGGTACCGGAGTTGCTTTACGTTTTGGCTAATTGTCAATCTCTATCCCCTTCCATGATGTACATCTCTTAATCCTACCCTCTCCTTCTTCCACACAGAGAGCATGAAATGAAGTTCCAATCAAGAAGATACAAAGCAAAGGAAGGGAGTAGACAGTGACAAGAATGTGAGAGAAGGAGTGAGAGGGTAGATGGAAGACCGAGGGGAACAAAGAAGAAAGGTAAGGTAAAGAGTGAGATAGGAAATATTCACTCACTTCCAGAGGAGGCATATCGAAACTGTATTGATTTTTCTCCATTGCTTGAGGCTGAGATATGGGTCTTGACGCTTGAACGTCTGAGTAAGGTCTGGGGGGGAGGGAAGAATGTCCAACAAATGGTTTGATGGGGTTAGGAGGAACATTATTGAAGGCTTTCCCCAGAGAAGGTTGACTATGTCCTTGGAGAAGTTCGAGAGTTTGGGTTAGTTGGACCTACGTCACTCAGCCACCCCACAGGAGCTAATTGTTCCACAACAAATCATATTCAACCTGTCAAAAGAGCACGAAGTCTTCCTCTTTCCTCCCGGTCACTCAATCCGCAGTGTTCATTGGTTCTACAGGAAACGCTTCAAATATGATGATTTCGTACGGGAAAAGAAAAGAGTGATAGACAGGTGTGGATAACTCACTACCTGTTCTCTCAATTCTTCCTTCATCTTGACAGTTTCGGCCATATCATTCTCCTACTCATCAATCTCAATCGGCTTGACAGGCTCGAGAAAACAACTCACTTGTCGTTTGAGAGCAACTTTAAGACGCTCTTTATCCCTCGAGACCTTCTCAAGCTCCACTCGATGTCCTTGACCCGCGGCCGCTTCTACGTGAAGAGCTTCAGAGATGGCTCGTTGTTGATTATGTTTCTCTTCAAGCTTGATATATTCCATCTGAAATCAGCAACAATATCACAAGCCTCCTACTGTTTTTTTTTTCACGCCTCATCTCTCGGCACAGTACGAGCGAGGGTTTGAGATACGTGCACGCTCATTTGTGGTCATGACAAGTGATGTCTACCGAGCATAATGGGGAGACGGAGAGGGTCAAAGATGACACATGAGGATGAGTCATTCGAGAAAGAGTCATGGTCAATGGGGGAGAGAGAGATTACTACTCACTTGCTTTTCCTTCAACTTGGCATTGGCTACATCCCTGTCTTTTGAAATTTGCTGCAAAGCCATCTTCTTATGTTCAAGCTCTTGAGCCAATTTCGGTGCTTCCGAGCGCTACAGTAATATCAGTAACTTCATCGTTCTTCTTACTGAAATGTCCCCTTCCCTGACCCAGACGGTTCACCACGTCAGTAAGTCCAGAGGGAACGGGAAGTATGAGAACAGTTCCCGGTGAAAACACACGAGCACAAAACACTGAAAGAAATGTGAACAATCATACTCACAGAAGGATCTTGTTCCAAATGATGACAATGAGCTTCAAGGCTCATCCGTTTTCGGCGCTCCTCCTCTAGCTTCTCATCTGCAGCTTTTAATTGATTACGAAGTTCCTGTGACTGTTTTTGTAGAGCACTTTCACCCTTCTTAGCAGCGGACTCTCTGTTCTCAAGCTCTCTAACCCGATTAGAACCATCATCAACCATGCGTCTCAGATGGTCATTGTCTTTTTGTAAGGCCTCAATCTGTGTGCATCTGACAATCAGTCATGTCGTCACGGAAGGAAGCCGATCTATGCGACCACCACATGCCTCTAATGCAGCATGCAGGTTGAGATAGTCAAGAGACGGGCCACTCTTTGATGGCAGAAGAGGGGTGCGCGAAAGAAAGACCAGGACGAATAAGGGAGATTAGAAGGACATACATATTGATCAAACTTGTCTCTGCAGTTCTCAAAGCGTTGTCTTTATGTTGAAGAAGCTGGTAGAGCTGTCTGGTGTCGCCTTGAACAGGGTGGATCTGATGTCAATGCTAATTCCTCCAAAAGATGTCTCGGACCATACAACCCTGCAACACACCAGGGGAGGTAAGGAAATGTTGGAAATCTTCAAAAGAAGGGCTTCCCAAAGAGAAACGTGATAGAGAACTCACTGTATCTGCTCGACGTTTCTCCAAGTCATACGAATTTTGTAGGTTCTGGACTTTCTCCCGAAGAGTTTGATTCTCCGTCCTGAGAGTCTCCCACATCTGATTTTAGCTCACAGCCTTATCTCCCACATCCCTGCTCCAACTCCTTTGGATTGTGTTTGAGGACAAGTACATGTTGGTGAACACTCCAAGAATCTAGAAGAATTGAGAGGAATGGGAGAGAGGATCACTCACTTCTCTGTGATCCGATCCTCTACCTGAGAACCCACTTTCTACCCCAATAGGCGAAATGATCTGTGTCGGGATATAACCCACCCCCTCTCCAAACACCCTATTAGGTTGAGAAACAGTCCTCGGACTATAATCCGGTACGGTGTTGATAGAAGGTATATTCGAAGGAGTACTGGATTCTTCTTTCACAGTGAACGTACGTAAAGCATCACGTACCACTGATAAAGCTTGAACAGCGGAATCTAGTTGTTGCATCTTGTATTTTCTTCCTTGACTCTGATTATGTGAGATTCGTTCAGAAGAAGTGTTATTCTTGTTGGTATTTGTCTTTTCTTCAAGAGGAAGATGTTGTGAGCTGTGATGGATTGAACGATGTGGATATCGTTTAGTTCGATCAGTTTTCACCTGGTGAGAAGTCAGTGACGCGGATTTTCGTTCTTCCTTCGAACGTGAAGGAAGATTCGAGTGTTGATCACTATGGGTAGAATCAGAAGAATGAGGGAAAGAATGTCGAGATTTCCGTACAGTCTTACGGATATCTTCTTTCTTCTTGTCAGACAAATTTGCAGTTAGGAGGGTGAGTGACCGAACTCTATTCTTAGATAAACCAACCTTCACTTCTTCTTTCTGCCCACTAGATTCTCCCCTTGTACGCTCCTCTCTGACTACAGAATCAGACTTAGGTTTTACCTCAGAAGTAGTAAAAGGGTCAGTCTCCAAAACTTTGGAAGAAGAAGGAAGAGGAGAAGAAGAAGAAGAATGCAAAGATGACGGGTAAGTTGTCCACGCGCCAGGTGTTCTTCCTGATTGGTCGTGAATGTTCGATCGAGGGCGTCGAGTATCTCGTGTATTGTCCAATCTTAGACGGGCATCTATTCCGTCTGATCTCCTCTGAGACATTCGCGTTCGTTCTTGAGTATTCATTTCCCTCGATGGAGAAACATACGATCGTGTAGGTTTGAATATCACAGAGGAAGATGGCGTGCATTGAGTCGAAGGATCTCTCATCTGAGATGGAGGAGCGTTTTGATGATGGGATTCCGATCGAGGTTGTTGTGGACCAAGGGGTGTGGATGTCAACGCAGGTTGTGGAGAAAGAGGGATTGTCACAGAATCAATCGGTCGTGGAGAGACAAGGGAGCCTGGGTGACTGGGAGAGAGAGATGAGGTGGAAGGTCGAATTGGTGCATAGGTAATAGCAGTACGTGCTGATCTTGCTAATTGTCTATAAAGAACATTACGTTCTCCTCTTGTCGGACGAGGAGGTACCATAGTTTTCTTGATCAATTGATCATCTAAGTTCGCAGATCTAGAGGTGAACCGATATATGCTGAACACAGAGGGAAAGTCGGTCTCTTGTTTTTCCCGGGTTGCCCTTGTGTCGAATCAATTGAAACAATCGACCTTGGCTAGGTAAGTGGGATAAAATTGGATTGACGGGGATTTCCAGATTTAGCGGGCCGTGAGGATAGATAATGATAGATAAACTTGTCAGACGTTCCGAGAGATGGCGAGATCAATCAGTCACTCGGATGTCTCGGTCCGTTCCCGATTCCAGACAGTATAATCAGCCTTTGAGTGAGTAAGAATAACAGTTGTGAGCTGGACAAGAAATGTGGAAGAAATATACCCAAACCTCTGCTTGTGAATCATTAACTATGCGAGAGAATTCAAGGGTTCACTCATTATGATTAGCAATGAGTGATTAGAGTTTATCGGTCAGTATGGCATTATCAAGATCTATCATTTCCCCTATGTATCGAAACATTCTATTAAGACATCCCTATGCCAACACGGAAGCTCGCCCTATCAACCCCCCTCACTTCTCCACAGGTTCATCAACCGAAGATATCACCCCTAAATCTTTACCCGAAGCTGCTATCCTCTTTCTTGTAGCATCATGTTCTTCCGCTGGTGTTCCTGGAGTTTTATAGAATATCAGGAATTGGAAACAAAGTACGGCTGCCCAAGCTAGTAAAAAGTAAAAAGCTCTTGCTCCACTTTGTTTCCAAACCGCTAAATTCGTTTCCATTCCAGCTTGTACTGCCAAACATACTGATCCACCTACTTGAGCAACAACCTATCACTGTCAGCTAATCTCTACTTTGATAGCGGAATCAAGTGTTGGGATTTGGGAAATGTGAAAGATGTATAACTCACTTGTGTCCAAGCTGATGCTACACCCGCCATTTCAGGAGGACAATAAGTGATGAGATTAATAGCTGAAGCGAAGAATAACAAAATGGCTCCTGCAGAACCTATGACAAACGCTGGGAAACAGAATCTCCAATAATCATTTCCTAATCCACCGTTTGATTGAGATTGAAGAATTTCAGCGATGATGATCAAAGTTCCTCCTACTGGAATGGTGATTCGAGGAGTTGAGATGACTTTTGGGAAAGCAGCAGAAACTATTCCACCGACGATCAAAGATGTTATTCCTTGAGGTAAAATAGCGACGGCGGAATGAATGGGTGACCATCCTCGTACCAATTGGAAATAATTCGCATATTGTAATTGAGAGGTAGCGTAGAATGCCATAGGTACGAGGATGACCAAAGAGGAAGAAAGCATGTTGGTAATTTTCCATACTGTAGAAGGTAACAATGCTGATCGAGGATCTATACGGGATTCCCAGAAGAAGAAACCGATACCGAGTGGGAAAGATAGGATGAAGGGAGCTATGAATGAAGCCGCTTTCCAACCGTCGATAGGGCCTTGGGTGAGGGCAAGGATGAAACAGATGAGAGTGAGCATCATGAGGATCACACCGATGATGTCCATTCGTTTGTATCTGGGAGTTTTATCGTTGGAATGGGAGTAGGATGAACCGGTGTAAGGAAGGAGGAGGAATGCGAGGCCGGTGAAAAAGAAGCCTATGAATTAGCTCGAGATCTTCCGGCTCTTCTCCTTGCCCTATTTGAACTCGCAATTGTAGACGGACAAGAGGAAGGAGACAAAGTGTAGAGACAAAGGGACAAGAGGTAGTAGATGTTCTGGTAGGGAAGAGATAAGGAAGATAAGTGAGGTGAGTGATACCCACACATGAAGCAGACAAGACGGAAGAACCAAACATATGATTTGATCATACAAGCCGCAGCGATGATACTTATCCGTAAGCCTTTGTATCCATATTCAACAACGTCACTCACAGTCCGAGAACATTACCGATAGCTCCTGATAAACCGAGTAAACCAAGTTTTTGTTTTTGGATCTCTGGGTCAGGAAACATGTGTACGGCTAGATGGTACGACGAAGGGATAGCTGATCGTCAATATCTCAACATACCTCCCTTCCCCTTTCCCCGAGACCAGTAGACATGTCTCTTCTATCACATGCGCGGACTCTCAGTGAGAATCAAGTTCAAACACAATCCGCGCGGGTGAAATTAGAGAATAAATGAAAGTTTTATGGGAGATGTCAAAAGGAAGATCACTCACTCATCGCTCCACAAATCCCTCCTAAACCTCTTAAAATCAAAAACCCATATTTGCTATGATTGACAAAAGAAGTGATCAAAGAGAATATTCCTAATCCGACAAATCCTCCCATGAACACTATTTGAGCTGGGAAAAGATCGGAAAGACGACCCGCGAAAAGAAGGAAAGCGCAAAAACACAGGGAATACGATGTGATGATCCAAACCACTTGAGAGATGTTCAAATGGATATCGACGGAGATTTGAGCGACTGCAACACCTACTCCGGAGATATTACAGACTGTCAAGTCAACACCCTTCTCTCTTTAGATCTTCCAGTATTTCGGTTCTGTGAGTTGTCATTTTGCCTGGAGAAAAGTACATATGTGAGTTTGTGTGACAGAGGAGGTAGAACATGATGAGATGGGGTGACTCACTATCGGTAAATGCGGCGATGGAGAATACCAACAACAGAACATTTTTTCTTACATTACTCAATTGAGCTAGAGGATGTTGATCCGCATGACCATGTTCGATCTGAGCTCCTTTGATAACTTCTTGTTTCTCCGCATCTTGATCACCTGTCAAGGTAGGTGTAGACATGGCTGTTCGCTCGTGTTCACGTTCTTGAATCTGATCAGCGTCCATGAGTTGTAGATTGTTCCAAGGTGGTCAAAGTTTTACAAGAGGGGGGAGATTTTCTGAGAGATAGAAGTGATAAGTGAAGATATGTACAATTCCGAACAGTGAATAGACCGACGGGCCAAAGGTCAATCAAGACGCATCGTCACGATATCGGCCGGCAATATCAATTAGGTTACAGAGAGAGATAGATAGACAAGGGGTAAAGCGGTCAGATGTGCCCGTTGCCGCCTTATCAGCTTACTCGGCCAATGTCCTCACGGGACAATCCCCGAACAACTGTCCGATGCCCGCTCGTAACCTTCCATCTCGTTCATGCTTTGGCAACTCTGGTATGGAAGTGATATGCATCGTGTAGCATGTGAGATAGCGCAGAATCAAGTAGTTACAGAAGAAGGATACCTTCACACAAAGTCATCAGCGAGATTTTCCGACTGATTCGGGGAGTGTGATACACACCACACCCCGCTGCAAGGATCAAACACATGACCGAAGATCACCGAGGGGATCTGCTTCGTCGCCGAGGGGAGGGTGAATGTCGCCGTCTTTCTTCTCTCGGTCGTCTCTCTCTGCTCCTGTCCCTACTATCATACCCTGTCTCGTCCCTTTTCCTCCGGCGATCCGTCCCATCGTCACTGTCGTAGCGATTATCACGATGTCGGTGTCGCTCCTCACCACGTGAACGGGCATGCGGAGAATCGTCCGAATCCCAATCTCTTCGCTTATGCCGATGTCTATCTTCGTCTTTATCTCTCGCCCGACGATCTTCTTTTAATCGACGTCTCTCTTCTTTCTCTAATTCCCGTTCGGCACGTTTGAGCGCCCGATGTTCTTTTCTCAATCTGATCATCAGCACGTCTGTGGGGTAGCTTTGCAGACAAAGCTTGCTCTGACCACTCGACGAGGCTCCCATGTCCACTGCGCTACACACGACCGCGCACCGCCATGAGGGGCGTGATGAACCTGAGAATATGAGGGATACAGGCAAGTCCACCATTCCTCACGGATAGAGAAGGCTAGTCATTCAAGGATGACCTGGTCAAGGAAGGGCAATTTTAGATAGAAGACACCACCAACGTGAAGATTCACTCACTCTTTCTCCTTCCACCTCTCTTCTTTCGCCGCCTTATCCAATTCCTCATCCCCCTTTCCCCTCACTACAACCCCATTCGCCCCCGTCCCTTCCCCCTCATCGTCAAGTTTCCTCGGGGCGAAACCCAAAGCAGCTGCCAAAGCATCTTCTTCCGCCGCTTTCAACTTCGCGATCTCTTCTCTTTTCCTGGTGGCTTCCTGTTCTGCGGTATCTTGTACATCTCGAGCATACCAATGTATATCTTTGTTTTTCTGCCAACGACCTTGAGGGGCGTTGACAGTTGATCCGAGGTAGTTTTCTATATATCAGATCTGATCCAACTTGGGATGTTGGATGAATCCCAATGTGTCTCCACTCTGATCTCTTCTTGGTGCTTGTCCAGTGCGATGCCTAATGTGTGAAGGCAGTGAGGGGCGTGCGGCTCGGGGAGAAAGACGGGAGAACCCACCTCGATGCTTATCGTCCACGATGGCTGACCAACGAAAGTCTCCATGACCACCACGATTACCTTTTCGTCAGCGACAGCTTTGCATCTACACTAGCACATACCATCTCTTACTGGTCCGTCATACATTGCTCCTTGTTATACCAATGGCATGAAATGTCACCAATAGTATCAAGCAGAGGGTAGGTACAAAAGTAAAGTGACGAGGTGGGAAGGGGTGAACATTGTGCCACATAGCAATCGCCGTAACGCCGATTGAGCCGCCAGAGTCTAACCGGGTTTGGACGCGCTCCTATTGCCTGTGGCCTGTGGGTGAACTGTCCCCTTGTAACCACTCTGCATATCCCACCCACACTTGGTTATCCTTTCCTCACTCCCCGTCCGTCACTCTCACACTGCAAATCTTCTCTTCGTTATCCTTCTGTCCATGCTCCGGTCTTGGTACCACTATCCTACACTAACGTGATACAATCCTCGAGTGAACCCTCAAGCATCAACAGTGATTCCCTTCGCAGGCCCCTTTGTTTCTGCCACTTTCACACTCCTCTGAGAAATCATGGGTGGTATATGTAGCTCTTGTTGTGAGTGACCGGTCCTCGTGCATATACAATGAGCCGGAAGATCAGTTAGTGAGGCTAACTCAGTAGGTGGTCCTAGACGGAAAAACAGCTATGAGCCCTTGTTATTGGAAAACGAACGAGAAGCAGTCGCAGATCTCCTCCAATATCTCGAAAGTGAGTCACTCCTATGTATTTTCTTACCGTGGTGAGAACGCTGACCCGAGACAGACCGCTCCACCACAAACTTCTTCTCCGGTAGTCCACTCGCAGCTCTCACCATACTCTCCTTCTCCGATAATGTCGATCTTCAACGTTCTGCAGCCCTAGCCTTCGCCGAGATCACAGAGAAAGAAGTTCGGGAAGTGGGAAGAGACACACTTGATCCTGTTCTTTACCTTCTGACTAGTCATGATGCCGAAGTACAACGAGCGGCCAGTGCTGCCCTGGGTAATCTCGCCGTCAATCGTGAGTGTGGTTAAGTGAGATTAAAATCAAAGTTGACACAAGTAGCGGAGAACAAACTCCTCATCGTCTCCCTAGGCGGGCTCGAACCTCTCATTCGACAAATGCTCAGTCCGAATGTAGAAGTTCAATGTAATGCTGTCGGTTGTGTTACAAACCTGGCCACTCATGGTGAGTTTTCGATTGGCCTGATCTGAGTCGAACAGGCGAGACTCTCGCTAAACTGTCTCAAGGAAGATGAGACGCTGACGATCATAGATGAGAATAAGACCCAAATCGCCAAATCTGGTGCTCTTGTGCCTCTCACTCGATTAGCAAAGTCAAAAGATATGCGCGTGCAGCGTAATGCTACTGGCGCCCTGCTTAACATGACTCATTCTGGTATGTCCTGACTTATGAGTCTCCCCAGGGCTTCAGATGACTGATCTGTCAGATGAAAATCGACAACAGCTCGTCAACGCCGGTGCCATACCAGTATTGGTGTCTCTTCTCAACTCTCAGGACACAGATGTGCAATACTACTGTACCACAGCCCTCAGCAACATCGCGGTAGACGGCGCGAACCGCAAAAAGCTGGCGCAGAACGAACCGAAACTTGTGCAGAGCTTGGTGGCTCTCATGGATAGTCCAAGTCTCAAAGTTCAATGTCAAGCTGCCCTCGCCCTCCGTAACCTGGCTAGTGATGGTGAGCTGCTTTCTTTCTAGGTAACATAAGCTGACAGATGCAGAGAAGTATCAGCTCGAAATTGTGAAAGCCGATGGTTTGAAACCACTACTACGATTACTTCACTCCTCCTACCTTCCTCTAATCCTCTCTGCCGCTGCTTGCGTCCGGAACGTTTCCATCCACCCTCAGAACGAATCTCCAATCATCGACTCTGGTTTCCTCGTCCCTCTCATCGAGCTTCTCTCTTTTGATGAGAACGAGGAGGTGCAGTGTCACGCCATCTCCACCCTGAGAAATCTCGCCGCTAGCAGCGAACGCAACAAGGGTGCTATCGTTCAAGCTGGAGCAGTGGAACGGATCAAGGACCTTGTGCTGCAGGTTCCTCTGGCTGTACAGAGCGAGATGACCGCTTGTGTCGCCGTTCTCGCCTTGAGTGGTGAGCTCAAGCCTTTTCTTTCACTTTAGGGCAAGCTAACGGTCGTAGATGATCTCAAACCAACTTTGCTGGAAATGGGGATATGCGAAGTACTGATACCGCTCACCAACTCGCCCAGCGTCGAAGTGCAGGGTAATAGTGCAGCCGCCTTGGGCAATCTGTCCTCAAAGGGTTAGTTTCGAGGCCTCTTCACTGTTTTTGGGCTGACATCCCAGCTTCAGAGGATTACGCACCATTCAACGCCGTGTGGAACAAGCCGGACGGGGGTTTACATGCGTACCTGGTCAGATTCTTGTCCAGCCCGGATATCACTTTCCAACATATCGCTGTTTGGGTGAGTGCTCGGATATTTGTCACCTCATATTCGCGCGCTGCCAACTTATCATGTGGAGAGATTGGTACTGCAGCATCATAGCTTGGCAACACTACTACGGATCCTCGTTGACCTTCAGACAATTGTGCAGTTACTAGAATCCGAGGATCCTCAACTGATCAACAACATCCGTTCTTCGCCCATCCTCATATCCTCCATCCGTCAACTGGCCGCTTCTCCCCCACCTTCCCGATCCGGGAGGAGAGATACCAACGACACCACTCAGTCAGAGGATGACTATGAAGACGACGCGATGGATCAGGATGGGGAAGGAGAGATTGCATCTTTGGCGAGAAGAATCCTGGATCTTACTGACGAGCGTGAGGAGACTGGGTTCGGTACGACGGGGAGGGAAGGTGGGGATGGGGAAAGGGAATTGAGACAGAGCGTCAAAGATGCTTTCAAAGGGCAACAATGATGGTCTCTATTTTATCAATCATAAAGCCATCGTTCATATAGTTCTCAATGATTGGTGGTGCGCTTGGCGGAATATAAGAACAGTGGAGGATGAGAGAGGGGAAGGGCTGAATTTATTGGCTTGTTGTGGTAGCTAATGTACGAATAAGTAACACCAAAGAGGTTGATGACATATTGACCGTATTGGTGGTCATGTAAACATCTACCCAGTCAGACTCGATTACATAGTTTATGCATCCGGTCAGTTCCTCCACTCGACTGCATTATCATTCATCACGCTGCCCTCACATTACGACCCCAGCAAGTGAGTTTACTCTACTCGTCTCCTCGACCCTCGAGTTGCTTGACTTACCCATTTTGACCAATTCGCCACCGCCACTTTTGTCAAATATCTCGGCGATTCCAACTTTCCCTCTCCTCCCCTCCATTCACCCACCCTGTCACATACTTCATTAGACTTCATCTATTTACTTCAATCGACTATTCACATAGACAAGGTATCAACAAGAACGACATTGAAGATCAGCTGGAATCGAGTGGGAAAAGAAAAGCATCGTATAGAAAAAGGAGATGGCTATGAATCCGGAAGCTCAGGCTAGACTGCAAGTATGTCCCTCTTCATCTTTACATCTTGACGACCTTCTTCTCTATCCTCCTGTCGTACTTGATTCTTTCTCGAAAGATTACCTCCCTCGGCGTTCACCTGAAATGGAACATGTATCAAGCTATTGCCACAAATTGGTAGTGTCGGAGGCGGGGAGATGACTCAAGGGATCGTGTAATGTCGTTGGTTCAAATCGTGGTTTCTTAGATGTGGAGATCACCCTAGGAGCATTGGTCAGATGAAGAACGTTGGTGTTCAGGAGAGACAAATCAAGAGGTCTTTGGGTGGCTGGGACGATGGAAGAAGAGTACAGCGGAGAGGATACTTTTGTTGCGTAGCTTCATTCAGAGAGATTGAGGCGGAGAAAGAGGATTAATTGAAGAGGCGAGACTGATCCCAGGCCGAGGTGCAAAGAGAGTTGGAGAAGAGAGAATGGGCAGAGCCAAATGGTGAGCTCAACCCCCCCCCCCTCTCCTCTCTCTCTATCTAGCTACCATCGTTCCTCTTGTCACCCTCCCAGCACATGTTGTCATGACAAGATGTTTTGACGCCCCGGCTTTGCGATCTTTGTTGGTGATTATGGCAAACCCAGGCTGACATATTAGATAGCGTTATGGCTGAATATATAACCGTGTTGTTAGGTAAGCTCTTGGTCAACTTCGTACATGATAGAGCTGATCTGGATAGCTAATGGGAATGCTCGTGGTGGGTTTTGTCATGATTGCTGTGGCGCTAGTGCTGATTGTTCAAAGATAAGGTGCAGAGTGAAATGGATGATTGTGAGTCTTACTTGGTTCCCTATCGTACAATGTCTCTGTCATCAGAACTCCAAGTGGCCCATCATTTGAGAATGGTCAAACTGTCATATCAGCGGCTGAGGGATACGGGTTTTGACAGATAGGCGAGGAATAGTTTTTGTTGACTCTCAGTGGTCGGAAGCGACTTTGATCCTTCTTTCTTAGATTGGCTTTTCGACATCGCTCATGTCCTTTCATCCACTGCTCCCCCCGTAGTATCCGCTCCTCGGTCTCCCTCCCCTTTACCGGCAACTAATCTACCTCGTGAAAGACAACCACCCACCGCTAAAGGTTCAAGACTGTTAGATACCGCTCTGGGAAGTATGGGTCACGCCGAGAAACGGAAATTTGATTCTGGACAAGATGGGCAAAACAAACGAAGAGTATCGGATGGACCTCCAAGCGGGCCGAAGATGGGTCAAGAGGGTCGGAATCTTGCTGATAGACTAGGCGGGAGACCTGCACCTGGAATGGGGATGGGGATGGGTATCGGTAACAGAGGTCAAGGAGTGATGAACGTAAGAGGTATGGCTAGCAGACAGCAGCCTATGGGCATGGGTGAGTGACTTTACCTTTGCCTCTTTCAATACTCTGGCGGTGTAGTCCCTTTGAGGCATCATTTGTGAAGTACTGTGATTCGATCGTGGGAAAGAAGATTGGTATAAAATAAAGATTGGGTGCTGATGCTGCAGCTGGTGGTAATGGGTTCCGAAACGGGCATGGTTCAGCCCCGATGGCACCCATGGTCCCAGGTCCATTCGGTTACTTCCCTCCTGGCCAACAAGAGATGATGGCGCAAATGATGATGATGCAAGCGAGTATGGCTCAGATGGGGGATATGATGCAGAAGATGGTGGAGGTGGGTTGGCGTGTTTCCTTCTCCTACAAGCATCTGGACTGTTTCCCTCATCTAAATGGCAGCTATATCATCAAGAATCTAAGTCGTAGCATTCAAGGTTCGACTATCCGCCATTCACAAGATTGACAGTGGTGAAAGATATGTTGCAATGCTGACAATACAGGAAAGAGACAAAGAACCCGTTCAACCCACCCCGCCTGCCCCTGCTCCCGCCTCTTCTGTCAAACCATCTGCGCCCGTCAAAGTGACCCACCACACAAAATTGGGATCTCATTCCGTTTCCGCTATAACCCCACACTCGTCCACTCCTGGTCCTATACCTGACAAACCAACCTCGACCGCTTTGTGCAGATATGGAGTGGGATGTTCTAATTCCCGTTGTCCTTATTCTCACCCTAGTCCCGTGGCGGATGAAAAGACTGGAATGGTTTTGAGTGAAGAAGCTTGTGAAGCTGGGAAGGGATGTAAAGACGGGGAATGTACAAAGTCTCATGTGTCACCTGCGGCGGTGTTGGGTGGGTGGAAAACCTTTTCATTTTTAATCCATTCCTCTCCACTTCATGAGCTGCTGGAGCCACTCTTTCACACAATACCAATACTCCGCAATCTCGTGGCTTGTTGATTGTGTCCTATCTTTTCGAGGTCCTTTCCAAGTATGAAAAAAGAGGTTTGATCTATTTGATCAAGATCGAACGCTGAAGACCTCAACTGACTCATAGGCGAAAACGCTGGACCCAGCAGGATGTTATGCAAATACCAAAATTGTTCCAACCCTTCATGTCCATATCGTCATGAAGACGAACAAGGAAATCCTATCCCACCTCCCGCTCTCACAGCAGCCAAGTTGGCAAAGGAAAAACCTGTCGTCCCTCCTGCTCCTCTCAGTTCTGGGGATGAAGGGGAGGATGGGGAGATGGAAGTGGTCATGAGTTCGAAAAGGTTGATGGATGGAGCTTTGGATGATGACAAGCCGGGAGTTCAATGTAGGTATGCTGAGAGATGTACACGGCGTGAGTTTTGTTCGACTTTACTCTTCCCTCTCTTATTATAGTGTTTCGTTTCTCCTTGACCAAATACCAATCACCCTTTCCTCTTTTCATCTCTTTTCGTTCCACTCTTTCCATCACGCCTCTCCCATTGTCTTCCGTACTTATCCATATGTTCTTTGTTCCTCCAATAACCATTCCCCCCCCCCTCCTGGTGGACTTGTTTGGGACACATTCATCCATGTCGATCATCTATCACGAATGCTACAAATCCAATACGGATGGACACTGACCCCTCGTAGCCGATTGTAAATTCTCCCATCCACCATCCCGTCCCACTCCCAAGGCGAAATTCAGAGGTCGGTTCGTCAAACCTATCCCATCCGCCGTTACACCCATCGTGAAGAATGGACAGGAAGGCCTGATGAGTAAGAAATTTGGGAGTGGTCCCACGTCGAGTGAAAAGGAGAGCGTGGCTAGTTGATATGGTCTGAAAGTAGAGCATATGCAGTATTTGTATGAGCCCAAATTGGTTTTCCAGTGAAAAGTAAAATCAGTCGCGAGAAGAGGGTACCTTAACTTATACCTACCGTTGAGCACAGACAGTTTTAATCGTTGCCCTTTGCTACAGTACATCTCGACCTACCCTTCTACTCTTCTTATACTAACTTACTCATCTTGCATATATATCTCTTGGCTGCACCGCTACCTGAGGACGTTTCTCTCTTCAACTTCCACAAGTTCACATTTGACCTTTGACTCTCAGTGTTCAGTGTTCGATCACCAAATCACGACGTTTGAACCACATTCCACCTGTAACCATTCCTTCCCTCTCGTCAACCTTGACCCGCTCAGACCTCATATTCCATATCATTCCATCTTTGATCATCTGGATTAGTGGTCTCAGTGGAGTGGTATCTCTGATCGATCGGTCCATCCTCACTATCAATAATATCCATCACTCCTCGAAGACACTACTTGTAAATTTGAACCAAACATATTCGATACACCCATCAACATGTCCCTCACACCTCTCCATCCCCGACCCATTCCACCAGGTAGACATCGTGCCTCTCCTTCAATCACCAAACCCCCTACCCCTCAAACCATCTCTACTCCGTCTCGAATATCCCAATCAACCTCTGGGTCCATCTCCACACATCCTCAAGGGTATCCGAAAGAATCCGAAAGTCACCTCAATCCCGCAGTTAACGAATTCACCGAATATACTTCATCCTCGAGGGATTTGTCCATCGGCCGAAGCTTCGAAGGAAGTGAGATTCACGAGCTCAGATTTGACACACATTCTTCGGAAGGAGATAGAACAGCCCAAAATGGTCAACGAGGTTTATCGGATATAACAAATTCTTTGAATGGAGTGAGAAGGGGGAAAAGTGGGATAAATGATCTGCAGAGCTTTAATGAGATATCAAGGAAAGGAGATGAAGAGTTAGGAGATGGGCATTTGGAGGGTAGAAGGAAAAGTTTAGCGGTGGGTGTTATGGGTGGTTTGAGGGAACGTAGTGATGATGAGATTAATAGAGCTGGGAAAGATGAGGTCGTAATGGCTTTGAAAGAGGAATGGAGTAATGGAGAGAAGGTGAGTTGTCTTCATTGTTGTTACATGAGTTTCGAACCACCCTTCTGTTTTGTATGAGATGTCTGTCCTACCTTATCCTTCCCTCCCTCCCAACCTTTCCCCCTCTTTCTTTCCCACCCTATGCTCTCTCCACTCAACCACGTAGAAAGATAAGAGAAAGAGAGCTCAACCTCGCCCTCATTACCAATTACCACCCATGGACCTTTTTCTTGGTCATGCAATGTCCAATTTGAAATGATGCCAGACTGACTACCAGCTCATGGAGAGGATAGAGGAGATGGAGATGATACATGCTAGTTTGGAATCTGATAAGAAAAATCTGGCGAGGAATATACAGGTGTTGCAAGAACGACAAGAGGAGAGTTTAGCAGAGCAGGTATGTCCCACATTCCAATTGATCTGGTTGGATTCTTGGTGTGATTGACATATGACGTTTGGCGGAGAATTGGACGATCAGAATAGTTTGGATGAAACTGAGTGGGAATGCGAGTAGTGTCGTCGATTTGAATCCTCAATCAAGATATGATACGTACGGGTAGTTTTTGCATATATATCGAGGTAAAGCATGTGACGTGTGTGCTGATGGGGTAGAGCCGACTGGAGACCGATTTGGAGGAGAGAAACGACATACTAGATCGGATCAGATCGAGATTGTCAGAAGCTGAGAGAAATGCTCGGGAGGCTCAGAGGAGGTATGCAGAGCAGGTGAGTGTCATTCTTGATCTCATACCTCTCACGGAAGTTATGTCAAAAAGGGAGGTCGCCCTGATTTTCTGTGCTTAGACAGGGGGATCGGGAGCGATCAGGTACAACATAAATGTAGCTCACTGCACTTCGACTGGTTTCATCGAAGACACATGTCGGGGCCATGATTCTGGGATGTCTCCCTAACAAACAGGAAAAATCATTCGATGCCGAACGTCAAGCGTTCCTCGCCCAAGAACAACATCTCCAAACCCGGTTAATCGCTCTAAAATCCAGCACTGTCCCAGTGAAAAAGAAAGAAACCAACGAACAAGCTCAAGAAGAGCTCGCTTCTCTTCACGTAGCTCACAGTGCCATATTAGCTCAACTGCACACACTCTCAGCAGAGGTTCACGAACTAAGAGGGGAGAACGTAAAGCTGAAAGAAGAGAATGAAGGTTGGGAATTCTTAGTGAGGGATAGAACTTTCAACGAGAACCTTAGAGGAGGATTTATCGCTCCTCCAGTCATACGCACGGAAGATCATGATGACCTGGCGGAGTTTGTTGAAGCTCACGAAAACGACGATGACGAAGATGGATTCGGGAATGAAGATGGGAGAAAAGGAAGATTAGGAACATTAGGAACATTGGATGAAGAGATAGATGAAGAGATAGATGAAGAGATGGAAGAACTTCATTCGGATCTAGAAGCTCAAAGTCCGATATTCGAAGATGAAAACGTCTTCGCCAAGGATTTAGATTCGGTTCCTGTTTCCACAAAAGGAAGAAGGAAGGGTCATAAGGGAGATTTGTTAGCACCGCCACCTAGAAGGAAGAGTAAGGGTGAGAATCTGGGAGATTTACCTGTTACTGGTAGTGGATTGGATTTGGCTGCTGAGTTGGGTAGGGCAGAGGCTGCACAAGGTGGAGAGATGAGGGTTTTGGGGAAAGGTGACGAAGGGGAGGGTGAGTTTTCTTCCGCATTCCCATCCTTTTCCCGTCTTTGGTATATCAAGACTCTTCCCCTGTCGCTCCTGACTCTGACGGACTGCTCATGTAACCCAAATGTTCATCTCTTTGAGTTCACGGAATGCTCTATCCAATGACACACACGACTAGATTTGGACGGTTGTGTAGGTCGAGCGGATTTAGCAAGTCAGCAAATGGAAATGGATCACTGATCTCAGCCCTTCGAGCAGAAGTCAAACAACTTCGCGAAGCCAACAAAGCTCTCACTCTGTACTGTTCGAAAATCATCGATCGTATCATTGCTCAAGAAGGATTCGAACAGATTCTCTCTGTAGATTACAAGACTCGTCGTATGGGTCGATCGGCATCTGGCATGTCGCGAAAACCTACAGCTCAGGAGATGTTCGCCTTGACGCCATCTATCTCCGATTCGAAGTTGACAGGAGCGGGGGAAGCGAAGAGTAGACCGATGAGTGTCATACCTACCAAGATTTCCGCTCCGGTACTCATCGAGGAGAAGGAGAGAGAGGAGACTAAAGCGGAGAAGAGGGTGAGTGTTTGCCTTTTGTCTTCTACCTTACCTCGTTTCAGGACCCACATGGGTCGTTGTTGAATCTTATCCGATCTTGGAGGTCAGAAACCATCCATGACATACATATACCTCGTGTCATACCAGCTTGGGAAGAGAGTTGAGCTGGAAGATAGAGTTTAGGGAATGCTACTGATTGTTGCCAGACCAGACGTGGGTTCTCACTCGATTTACGAAGTTTCGGATTTGGTTCTTCTTCCGAGAAAGAAAAGGAGAAAGAGAAATCAGCTTTGAAACCTCTGGCTTTGGTTGGTCGTACTGCTCCCCTCACCCAATCGTCTCAACCACCCCAGTTAGTACAAATCACCCAACCCACCCAATCTTCCCAATCCCTCCCATCCGGCCAACCATCTCAACGTAAACTTGATCCTGAAGCAGAAGACGAAAACGATCGTAAAGAACGACATTTACTCGAAGCTACACTCAAACTCATGGGTATTGATAAACCTTCCACATCCTCCTCCACCCCACAACCTATCATTTTCCCCTCTCCAAGTGAAGACCCACAAGTGTCATGGTTAGGTAAATTAGTGAGATCCAGACCTTCATCAATTATCTCTCCATTCGAACAAAAACAAAACCCATTCATATCTCCCAATCCCTCTTCCATATCTTCTCAAACCCCACAAACGGAACGAAATAATCCTATCAACACAAATACATCTCCTCCAAGTTCTCAGAATAAAGAAGGTCCTTTATCACGTTTATCATCAATATTAGGTTCATACGAACCTCTTTCACCCACATCCACAGAAAAAGATCCTACCAAGATATCACCAGAAAAAGCAGCAGAGGCATTGAGGTTATTCGATGAGAGGGAAAAGAGAAGAGCTAAAGATATTTCGGATGGTAAAGGTGATAAAACTTATACTTCTCCTGGACCGAAGAATCTCAGAAGATCAATGTCTAGTAGATCTGGTGAAGGGGATGGAAGTCCGAAGAGGGTAGGTAAGAATGAAAGTATTTCTACTTTGTGGAGTATGGGAAGTAGACCTTCTAGTGAGGAGTTGGAAGGGAGGAGATGATTGGTTTTGGTGTTGAAAACTTAATGACAAGTATAGACGATTCGATGACGAGTGATGAGTGACGAGTGACGAGGAACGAGATGAAGGAGAAACTCCGCCTTGACGATTGATGAATGAAGCAGTTGATATGAAATTGAATGAGAAATGATTAGACGAGGATGAAATTATGTAGATAATGTCATTTGATACGAAGAGATGATGAAACGACTGTTACATGTCCAAAGGAGACCAGCTGTACATGATATATGCACCTTGTCATGATTCCCCAGAAGTCTTAGATGTGGGGGAACCACAATCGCTAAGCCAAGAAATGCTATTACTTACATACCTATTTAAACATGTAAGTGAGAAGGTTTGCGAGAATTTGGACGTTGTCAGGTGGCATAAAATACCATCAAATCAAAGTTGTACAATCTGGACATGATCTGTTAGATCAGAGTCATTCCATATACATACACAAATATACATATGTACTATTCTTTCGTCTTACGCAGACCTAAAGCGTCCGTAGAAACCTTTAGCGTTCCCTTCCACAACTTCTTGCAAAGTCTCAGGTAAAGTCCCAATCATCTTACCTGGATTTCCCGCCCAGATGGTATACGAAGCTACTTGAGTATTCTCAGGTAAGACTGTATTCGGTTTGATGAGTGATAAATCTTTGATCACTGTGAATTTTCCCTTTCCGTCAGTTGTTCAGTTTCTTCTTAGACTCCATCTCCTTGTACCTCTTCATTTTTACAATGCTGAGTTTCGACAGGATTGAGGATGGATTTGTGCAGACGTGGGCTTTATACGTGGATATCGTTTGTTTTTGAAAAGTTTTGTATTGTGAGGTTTCTCATGGGAAACTGTTGATGTGAGAGCTTTCTCCGGTGGTTGTGTGATAGGGGATGGTGGTATGAGATGAAAGGGTCAGAGTAAGATTTAGAGAGACGAGAGACTAGATACGAAAGAGTAGATATGAGGGAGGGAGGAGGGAGGGAGGAGGGAGGGAAGAGGATGAACAATGAGTTTAAACAAAAAAAGCTCACAATAATACAATTATCCCCGATTTCAGATCCACTCCCAATGGTGGCAGCTTCGATTATACAATTTTTACCAATTTGAGCGAAATCACCCATTTTGACTGGATAATATGTAAAGGTACTAAATGTCATTCCGAAATCGCTTTTGGGGAAATTTCACAGTATCTCGTCAAGTTTCATCCCTCCCCTAGCCTTCTTGCCTAGCGGACAAATATCATTGGGAAGGGTTCCTCGAAAGATGAGAAACCCATAATGCGTCAAATGGAGGGAAAATGTGGACCCCTTGTGATGGTACACGAGGAGTTACGGCAATTTTAAATGTATCAGTCTGAGAGATGACATTAAGATGGAATGATCCATGTAGAGGTAGACCACAGAAAGGGGAAAAGATAAGTAATGAGGAAATAAGGAAATGAAGAAGCACAAATAAGAAGTTGATGAAACCTACTGACCCTTTGTAAAATCGACTAGGAGGCCGTATGATCGTATTCTCCCCTATGACACAATACCTTCCCATTGTGATGGCTATATGTTGACCAGGTATGGTTCTACGTAAGTCTCCTCGAAGTATGGCACCTGTTCGTAAGACAATAACACTTATATAGCTACTTCTCTCTTTGATCTTTCACGATGACCTCTTAGAGTCGACACAAGACCGTAGGTTATGTTTGAACAAGAGACCGGATTTGTCCGATCGATATGATCCCTAGGTGGGAAACTCGTTCGAGGAGGTAGTCAGAGTTCGAAGAAAGACACGAATTCACCGAAAAGGAATCGAAGAGAGAAAATAGAATTGAGATATGATCATGTGTAGGAAAGCAAGAGGATGAGAGTAATTGAAGACTTACCATTCTGTATGATACTCTTCCCACCTAAGATGATGTTGGAAGCACCTACGATCGAAGCTTTCCTCGATACTTTGTCTATATGCTTAGCACTGATACGAGTTCATCTTCTGGCTGACCACAATAATCTGTGTAGAACTGAGCCGAGATTCCATTCGCAGTGATAAAGTGAAGGCGAAGGAGACGAAGTGAAGGTAAGGGGAGCAGAGGGTAAGGGAAGGAAAGAGGACGTACTGCCCGTATCGGTCTCTATGTGTCAGTTTTGAGCTAGTCATTCAGCTAATCAAAACTGACCGATGTAAGAACCTTTGTCATACAATATAGGAGGGTCGAAAGCACCCATGATTGACCAACTGTAAGTACTTATATCTTTAACTTTGTCGTCATGATCATGAGGAAGAATCAAAAAGTTGATGCAAACTTCAAACTTCTGCCAACTTTTTCGAAAATTCCACTTCAGTTTTGCCTTTCTTTCATCTGGCTCTGGACTATAACACCCCAAATTCACATAAATCACAAGAGCAAGAACATAAGCTGGAGTAGCGTACCGATATGGACTCACATCCTATAGCCAGTGGGAGCAAGAAGAAACCTTCTCCTCTCCCAAAGCCCAGTACGTCCCCAATCAACTTCTGTCCCATGTCCCTCTCTTCCATTCCATCCTCTTTCATCTCTCATCTCGGATGAAACAGTCAATTGAAGCAAAAACTAACTTCAAGCCCGCAAACTCCTCTGTCTGGGTATAGAAGGCTCAGCCAATAAATTCGGAGCGGGTATAATATCTCACGAACCTCCCCGTGCAGGTGCGATAAAAAAAGCTACGGTAGTGACTGTTCTCTCAAATGTCAGACACACTTATATCACCCCTGCGGGCGAGGGATTTTTACCTAGCGATACGGCCAGACATCATAGAGAACGGGCTGTGAAGGTGATCAAAGAGGCAGTGAGGAAAGCCGGGGTTAGAATGGAAGATTTGGATGTGATCGCTTTTACAAAGGGTATGTTGACTTTTTTGTCCTTCTCCCATGAGTTCCACTCATATCTTTGTTCTTCTAATCTCTTTCAGATATTGGGCTTGACCTGTTTGATATATCTCACCTTTCATCTTCTACGGCTATCTTGTCATTGTCTTTCCGTTGAGTACGATGACTTGTGACTCGCGGAGAGACGGAGGAGAATGTGGAATATGAAGCCGTCAAGTGGGACGAAGTACGTGAGAATAGGATAGAAACTGACGAGATAGGACCAGGAATGGGAGGACCTTTACAAGTTGGAGCATTGGTAGCCAGGACATTGTCCTTATTACACAATATTCCCCTGGTCGGTGTCAATCATTGTATAGGTCGTAAGTTTTTCGCCTACCATCCAATCAAACCTTTTTCCTAACTCCAACTTGATAGCCTATGTCACTCACTTTGTATCCACCTCACTTTACCACACCCTAAGGACATGTCTCGACGCAATTCTCTAGAACCCACCAACGTTCATCGTGCCTCTTCGAGCCGTGACAAAAAAGAAGTTTACGAGGCGCAACGCTGACTTTTGAGATATCGAAATGGGTCGTCAAATCACCTCTTCAACCAATCCCATCGTCCTCTACGTCTCAGGCGGCAACACACAAGTCATCGCTTATTCTCAACAACGATATCGAATCTTCGGCGAGACATTAGACATAGCCATTGGTAATTGTCTAGATAGGTTCGCCAGGGTCATAGGACTACCTAATGATCCTAGTCCGGGGTACAACATTGAGGTCGAGGCGAGGCGGTGGGTTATTTCTTTTTCAGAGGCGCATAAACGCCGTCCATCATTCCCGTCGTTTCTATTCTCACTTTGTCACTGTAGTCGGAAATAACTTGAACGAGTGTTTTCTGATTCGTGGACCTAAGATGAATTTCACACGACCACAACGCGAATCTCCATATCACAACACATGAATCAATGAGGTCAGAACCATGACTACGTTTATTCATGATCTGTCGCAAGGATGTCATCTCAAGTACAAGTCCGCCGACAGCTGATAAAAACAGAGGAAAACGATTAGTCGTTTTACCATACGGTACCAAAGGTATGGATATCACATTAGCTGGAATTCTTACTTCCGTAGAGGCATATACCAAAAATAAAAATTATCGACCTTTCCCACACCAACCTCAATCTCAAGACAATCCTCAAACTAATAATACCCCAAACAAACCCCCTCTTCTCCCAAAAACGACTCCCACAACGTCAACAGAAGTCAAAGATGAACTCAAAAATACCCCAAACGAATTTGAAATCACTCGACAAATATCAAAAGATATCAAAAATACAAACCAAGACATCATAACACCTCAAGATCTATGTCATTCACTTCAAGAAACGACATTTGCAATGCTAGTGGAAATAACCGAAAGAGCCATGGCACATGTAGGTTCAAAAGACGTTCTCATAGTTGGTGGAGTAGGATGTAATCTTAGGTTACAAGAAATGATGGGTATCATGACATCTGAAAGAGGTGGTAGAGTTTTCTCTACTGATCAAAGTTTTTGTATAGATAATGGGATTATGATCGCTCAAGCTGGTTTGTTAGCTTTTAGAATGGGTAAAGTGACTAAAATGGAGAATAGTAGTGTTACTCAGAGGTATGTTCGTTCTCTTGTCAAAACATTACTTTTGTATCATTTTCGAATTATTCCTCTTCTGATCTGAAAACTTCTTTCACATTTAACATCATAACCTATGTATGATACATAGTGTGTAGAATCATCGATTCTCACACTTGATCATTGTATACGTTCCGTTCCATCAGTCGTTTCACCACTCAATGTTACTGGCAACTAACATAGAAATCGGAACGGTTCCCCAGCCGAATTGGTCCCGCGCCGTTCCGGTTTCTATGTGAGGTACAAGTATGTGAAGAGGACATTCACCATCACGAGAGGATGGGATGCTAGAGATTTCGTCTGATAAATAGATATCGAACAGATGCAGTCCACGTAGCTTGGCGAGCTTAATACCCTCGAAACTGTCTGGATGACAAAGAGTATAGATAGAGAGTTAGTCCGAGTAAATTGCAAACGGACAAATGGAGAGACCACTATGCATGATGCGACATTCTCAAATCACTGTATATGGTATATATGCGACGATACTTCATGTTCGTTTTTTTGTTTCGTTTTCAAGTGGAATTGCTATTTATCTCTACATATCTCTTATCATTTCCATCTCTCATCTTTCCTTCCGCTTCACTCCACGACGTCACTTGAATGCTACATATGCTCGGACAGCTGAAAAAACTCAGAACCCGAGTTCTGACATCAGCATTCTTTCTTTTCCACATCCCTTCAGTTCTGATGACCTCAAAAGGTCATGTTGTTATGTTCCAATCTTATCGTGCACAGCAGAGGTTTATGAGAGGGAACAATTCTCCTGTGAAGGGACGAGTAGGATCTGAGATCGGTCGACGAACAAGGAAGGGGATCCACCAATATGAAGGATAAAGGGGTGATGAAGACAAGATGATCTAAACAACAAAACAACCAAACTCACTTTTGAAAATCACATCTAAAGTCACAAAACTAACTGGCTTGACCAAATACCCATCCACACCACTGATAAATGCTTCCCTCTTATCATCCGCAGTTGCCAATCCTGTCAAAGCGAAGATCTTCACTCTGGCTTGAAGGACGGGTGCGGGTGGGATGGACATCTTAGAAGCTCCACCTCTAGGTCCAGAGAAGGAAGGTATGGGAGGAAGACCAGAGACGGGTTTTGAGTTGAAAGCTTGAGCTCTACGTTGGTCTTCAATCTTACGTATGGCTCGAGTGGCTTCGTGACCGTTCATAATTGGCATTGAGATATCCATCAGGATGACGCTGACTATCAGATGACATACTCGTATAGAGAAGACAAAATCTTGGTAGGAGAAGGAGAAGATGTGTAAGATAATTTTGAATGAATTGAAAAAGTATGACACTCACTCCCAATAATTAGCGGGCGTTTCCTCAAACAATTCAACGCCAGCTTTCCCATCCCACGCGTCACCGTATTCAATGCCCTAAAGCGTCAGTATGAAGATCAAGGATAGTTCTTGGAGGAGAAACGTTCAGCACGAAGCGTAGCCAATTGAACTTGTGAGATAAGGATCTCGAAAGAGAAAAGTGAGATCGAAAGGGCTGGTGTGTGTGCGTGTAAGGAGGATTTGGGTATACGACAGGTGACAAGAGTGAAAAAGTCAAAGAGTTGTAGACAACATCCTGTTGGACCACAAGGAAAACAAATCCATCACTCACCCGTTTCTTCAAATAAGCACCCAACACCTTCTGATTAACCGCATTATCCTCCACCACCATGACTCTCACCACGCTTTCCCTCTTGGGCGCAGCTTCCGCAGGTAAAGTCGCCGCTTTCAACATGACACCTCCGTCAGCCAAAGAGATGGTGGATAAACTACTATTCGGTGATCCTGGCAAAGGACTATCGACCACATCGGGTTTCCCAGCCGTCGAGGATTTGATATTATGATAAGTCACACCTCTAGGTGCCATGGCTGGCCTTGCTTGTTGTTCTTGTTCTTCTGATCTACGACGTTGTAAAGGTACTCTTTCACCTGTATATTGAAATTTGCCTTTGGTCAATTCCGATACGGTCGATGTACTTTCTTGACTTGTTGAAGTATCTTCTCTCGACATAGTAGGACGATCAACTTCAAAGTCTTCGATCTCCTTTTCATCCGTAGGGGTGTCAAAGTTGGAACGACAATCATCATCCGGTAAATCTTCAAGAGTTGCCAATGTTTCTTGCATGTGTCGTTTAAAGCCTGCCGGACCGACAGGTTTGTAAACGATACGACATTGGCCGCCATTCTCGTTGAATTGATTGATAGCACGTATGGCTTGTGCTGTCCTACGAGCTAGAAGAAATATGATAGGTCGGGTCTCGAGCACGTGTGCACGAAGCCATTGAAAATCTTCGTTAACGATGAAAATATCGGGAGAGTCGGAGATGTCAAATTGCATTCCCATCGCGTAACTCGCCAAGACATCAAGGACGAGTGCTTGACCTCGTTGAGTGACATCAAAGCTCACAAAGGAGATTGATCTTCCTCGACCAATACCTCCTCCGCCGAAAGACGAAACGGCAGAAGAGACAACAGAGTCCGTTTCGTCATCCTCCTCGACCACTTCGACCTCGAAAGAAACTCGGATTTCCGTTCCCACACCTTCTGATGACCACACGTCTACTTTGCCAGCGACTGTATCGGACCGTACGATGGAGTTGACGATTGCCAAACCCAAACCTGTACCGGTCTGCAAAGGGTTTTCTTGAGAGAAAGGTTGGAAAAGCTGATCTTTGAGAAATTCTTTACCGATACCTTTACCAGTATCGATGACCGCCAATTCCACGGGAATTTTCGTAGCTCCAGGTGAATGGGGGAGTTCACGAAGTGTGATCTGAACATAACCTTCTTCTGTAAACTTGAGCGAGTTACCAACCAAGTTCATGAGGACACGTCGTAAACCACTCTTTTCGAATTTGACAATCCATCCTCTTTCACGTTGAGCGATGTCGACGACCGTTTCCACTTGAGCAAGCTGCTCTATGTGAGCCTCCCTTTGCGACCTTCTAGCTGCTTTACCGGTGGCCGAGGAGGGCGGGGCGTAATAACTTCCGATATCCGATTCATCCATTGATAATCGAGCTCGTTGACCCACCCAACATCCCTCCACCGTCTGCTCAACCAATAATGCTAGATTCGCTTTGACTGGTTTGAAAGGTGAGGAACCGGAAGACCCAGCGGAACCAGCCAATTTAGTGAAGTCTAGTACGTGATTAACCGTTTCGATCAATGCAGTACCACATAGTTTGACCGTCTCGAGGGAAGATATCTGATTTGAATCAAGTTTTGTATCCTCTAGCAATTCGGCTGACGCCAAAATACCATGCAGGGGAGTTCGAAGCTCGTGGCTGACCGAAGATATGAGGATACTTTTAGTCTTGTCAGCCATAACCATTCTCCTTCGAAGCACAGCAGATAGTATGATGATCCCGATAGCACGCAAGAATTGAAGCTCGTATCCTTCCAATGATTGCTTGGCCTTGTTGGAAGTGTAGGCGCAGATCATAGCGACGGGTTGTTTGTTGATACCGATGATTGGGGCGCACATGACATATCGTAGTGTTGAAGGTAACATGTATCGGATCCAGCTAGGAGCGACGTCTTCGAAGATCCTACCATCACGATGATGAAGAAGGAAATCGGACATTTTCTCATGCTCGATCGGCGTCATTTCGCGAGTGTTCATGGGTTGGTGGGTAGAAGCAAAGACAGGAAGGGGTGCGACAGGTCCGAAATTGTCATGCCTTTCCAAAACGGGCGAATGGGTTTCGAGACCATATGGATCGGCCCGATAGATAGTCCTCTTGCTGCCATTTGCATCCTCCAGTTCGATCATCTCAAATTGACTGATGTCCAAGATGAAACAACCATCCAGGCCCAGAGCAGAGGTCACGAGTTGAGTAGCTCGGGCATAGACAACGTCCATACTCGCCGCAGCTTCCGTATTGGTGGCGTTCCATTTTGCATCCATCTCGAGGCATTCCCTGGTGAACTCTTCCATCGCCGTCTGTATTCTGTCACGAACACGAAGTTGAAGCTAAGCCATGAGCTGAACCTTCACACATAACGATAGCGATCGAACTTACTTTATCTCGCCACAACTCCATCTCCCTCATTGTGACAGCGGCAAACTCTTTCAGAATCAAGCGAGAGCGGGGTGGGAACTCTGTCCTCGGCTTGTCATCGATGATGCACAAAGTTCCAACATTATGCCCTTCCGCTGTCCTCAAGGGCGCTCCAGCGTAAAATCGTACATAAGGAGGTCCGACGACCTGAGGATTCTTCTTGAAACGCCAGTCCAAATGGGAGTCCAATACCACGAACGGCTCGTCAGTTCTGGTATTAGCACATTTTATCTGGGCGCAAAATTAGAACTCACCTCCCCAAAACTGCGTGACCACAAAAAGAAGAGATCCGAGCTGCTTCTTCGGCACCCATGGACGCATGTGTTTTATGCCACTGTCTTTCGCCATCCATCAAGACGATGAGCACCATTTTGGGATTGAACACTAGCTTTGTGAGGTGAGCTATGCGGTCAAAGTTGACGTCTGCAGCGGTGTGCAAAATGTTGAACCGATAGAGGGCCCTCCTACGTGCAGCCTCATTGGGAGGCATGGGAGCAGGAAGCCATCCAACCTTGTGATATATGGTCTCCAAATCCGAAGGAGTTGCAACGGGTGGTAGCTGAAAATCCGAGAACAGTTGCCTAGCTGGAGCAGCCTCGGGGTTGATCTCGCGATGGAAAGGGGTATTCTTCTCGGTGACAGTCTGGGAGGATGAACTGCTGGATTCGGCTCTTAGTGCCGCAGAGCCAAAATAATCCATGACAGGTTCGGACTCGGATGCTTTCTCGAGCGGAGCGGAGGCTGGTGGTATTCGAGTGGTAGGAACTCCACCTTTAAGCTTGAGAGTGGTAGGGGACGGTGGTTTCTTCTCAACGTTCGGACTACCGGCGTTTCCCTCATTTTCTTTCAATTTTCGATGGTGTGAGTTTTCATCTGGGGTGCTGACTGGACTGGCTTTGATGGTTGGTAGATGATAAGGAGGGTAATTTTCGTCTCTTGTTCGACCGGTGTATGCGCTGGAAACGCTCCTACTAAGGGGAAACCTCGATGCACCGGGATCAGAACTAGCACTGTCTGACATGGCGCTATTCGAAGGTGACATGACTGATGACAAAGGATCCAAAAGTTCACGCTCAGGGCTGGGAGCACCGAAGGGTGCAATGTCGGTGTCACGGAATGAGTTGGCAGCCATACGAACGGTGGCCGCCGCGAAAGAGTAAGATGGTAGGGCGAGTCGATCTGGTCTGACGGGTGTGGGTGGGTCGACATTGGTACGAGGAATACTCTCCAACTCGAAGGCCTTCCTAGCGGCCATGGCAGCAGCCATTGAGCTGTTGAGCGGTGCCGAAGTGGAGTGAGTGCCTGAACTGGTAGATGTAGTAGGAGCGGAGCTGAACGTGGTCCCACTGGAACCTCCAGAGCTTCCGAAAGAACTGGCGGTGAGCCGAGTACTCAAAGCTCCACTGGAATCGCTACTCGAGGGTTGCATTAGCTCCTGTCCGGGAGAAGAACGAGCCGGGACCATGGTGACGGAGGAAAGGGCAGTGGGGACAGGAGCCATGGGTATTCTGTTGGGATCGAAGAGACCGAATGAATAAGCTTCAGCGAAAGTGGACCAGTTCATAACGTCGGAAGGCGACCTTTTTGTGGTTTCGGGGTTTGTACGACTACGGGGTGTAGCCATCCATTCTCCTAACGTCCCAGATCTTCCTACAACCTTCCTACCACTGGCGTCCGTCCCTTCTTGAAGAGATACGACACCCAAAGCGTTTGTAGCAGCATCTATCTCATCTTGAGCGACTTGAGAGAGACACGCATCGTCAGAAGCTGCTATCGCCTGCAGTCCTGGGGGTATCACTAGAGGATCGCTCAAGAGGGGTACGTCGAGCATGTCCGGACTAGGGTATTCGGCGACGCGGGATGCAGATTCTTCCAAGTGTCTTCCTGGTGCGGTGCTGGGTCTTCCTCGTCTGAAAGAGCCTCTTGATAATGTACGAACATTCAATGGACTGCTCGACTTCGAAGCGGCTACAGGGGAATTAGAGGGAGATTGGGAAGGAGGATCGCCAGATCGAGATTGTTCCACATTGCCCGTCTCGAGAGGTACCGTCATGGGTGGTGGGGAACGGGATGGGAGTACACCATGTCGACCACCAGCGGCGGATAAAGTGATATGATGGGAGTTGGGATCAGTGTGAAGGTGATGAAGGAACGCGGCGGAAGAAACTTGAGCTCGACTAGGACCGGGTGAAGGAGCTTTGCCGATCTTGCGAGTTGGATCGCCTGATGACATGGTCGCTGACGACACCGGTCGAGGAGGATCAGGTATAATCCTGGTCAATCGTCAGCGTGGGTTTTATTTCCGAGAGATGGATCAGATCGTTGGGTACTCACCGTGGGTGGAATGTACCTGCTCAGAAGGCAGCAGTGGGTCTGGGTCCAATGATCGATGCAAGGATGATGACGGATGTTACTCGATGAGCTCGAGTAGAGAGAGCTCGTGAGAGGGAGGAGAAGTAGATGGAATGTAGTGGGGACGATGAGGACAAAGTCGATCGTTAAAGGTAAGGAATGTCGGGACAGACAGGTAAGTGATCGAATGAATTCCCTTTAAGCAGTAGAGGTACCACCACTGTATCACCTGTTTCAAGTGGGGTGGATCGAGAGAAGAGGTAGATGGTTTCTATGCTACAATCAGAAGACTATTCCTCGTGTATGCTGCCGTCGTTCCCAAGACCGTTGTCGTTGTCTGTGGTGGGGGTGGTGGTTGTGGTAGAGAAGGCAGTGTGAGCAGTGAGTGCGAGTACGTTCTTTCAGCTTTCCCCTTCGGCCAAAGTGGAGCCTAGCTTTCAGTTTCCCCGTCGGCCGTCGGAAATAGCGGGATCAAAATTTACTTACAAGTTACTAAATCGATTACCATTCGTTACTAATCGTTCATTCCTAATCTTCTTATCTTGTCACATTGTCAACGATCGATGAGCGAGGGGACACACTCTGTGCTCAGCATTGGTACTGAACTTACTTGGGCACGATGACACGTTAAGGTGCTACTAGTACTACCACTGTAGGTGACAGAGCATTCAATGACCGATTGTCAGTGGGGGCGTATCCGACAGGCGTATCCTCGACCCAAAGCCACTGAATCGGTTCCCCCACCCAACATCTTTGCTTCTTCGGGCGTAAGGTGAGATGCTGAGGCGCTTCGAAATTCGATTCAGAACTGAGCTGGTATTACTCACTTCCCCACATTTCTGCCCTCAAACCATCGAATCATCGAGAAGATATTATAGGTGGGTCCCATCCAACCGCTGATCAGGGCATCTTGAAATGCGACAACGAACTCACCCACGCCGCTCCGTTCGATCCTTTGACAATACCCCACCGTCCCACTGGCCACCGGCCCACCGTCTAGATATCAAGCCTGCAGATCTCAAGATCTGTCAGTCTGCCATGATCCGGACACCCTGCCGCTCCCGAAGACTCGTGACCATATCTCATCCTTTTTCTCGTCCAGACACGCCTCACCTTCCCCTCAATCAGGGGCTCGCTTGGAGCGACAAAACATGTTTCATGAGTACTCCGAACTCACTGTTTTATTCCTCTCAAACGTGGACTGACACTCTAGTTACGGCTCTCATCACACATGTCACAAGATCCTTTCATACCCTTTAGCGAGCCATATCATCTGGGCAATCTGCGAGATATAAGAGGTTCGTCCAGGATACGGGACCCACCATTCCCTCCATCTCTCACAGGTCTTTCCACTTTCATAAACACTCATCAATCACGTTCCATATATCACATAAGCAATCTGACTTTATCTAGCCTTTCACTAATAATCAACTCATACATACCATGTCAGCCCATCAAGAAGCCGAAACCGTTCAAACCGAAGTACAAGATTATGTCCCTCCTTCCCTGATCGCTAGATCCGAGAACGAAGAACATGAAGGATCCCATGTGAGTATCTCATCCAAAGAGACATACTATGACTAACCTACAGGCTGATGATGAAACTATTGTAGAGCCTCATCCGACTACTGCAAACGACTGGGAAGAAGTTCCTTCCAATGTCAATGAACAACACCCTTCCAGTAACCCGACAACGGTTAGGGTAGAACAGAAAACCGACGTTGCCCCCACTACGGTACAACAAGACCAAGATAAACCTGTCGAAACTACCGAAACCAACGTCCAACCTAATCAAGATCATGAAAGAGCTTCAAGCCGCAGTAGGGGTCCGCGGACAATTATCACTTTTGGTCCTGAATACACTTCATGCGACCAACGTTGGGAAACAAGGAGAACTATGACAGCTGATGCTGGAGTTGTTTTCCGTGAAGATTCTCGCGTCTCGCGCATCGACATTCGTACTTCCCTTTCGGTAGCTACAGGGGAAAAATCTAACGCTCCTGATGGTCGATCGAACGAGTCATTTTCGAAAAGGGAAGTGTTGTTGACAGCTCTGTTGGCTAATTCTTTGACCAACAGTATCATGTCCAGTGTCAAGCGGCTAGAAGATTTCAGATTTGATGATGAGGTAGAAGGGAACAACCGTGCTGATGAATGATTCGATGGTTGTTTGACAATGTCAGGGTGACTATGAGATGACGATTGCTAGTTGACTTGACGGACTTTGGGAGGATTTCTTTCGATGTCATGTAAAGTGAAGAATGAGATGCAGGCGTTCTTACTAATGACCTATTCTATTGAAAAATCACTGACTGATGTTGGTCAGATTGATTGACCAGACTACGCTCACAAACCCTCACCGCGATTCGTATTGAGCTCATAACCTCTTAAGACCTCCTTGATCAATCTCATGTATCGTCGCCATAAGTTTCACCCAAGCAAATTACTGCCATATCCGAACTTGTCTTCCACCCCTCGCTACTCGTACAAGAAGCCTTCTTCCTGAGACATCCAAGCGAGATCAATTCCGTTATTCCCTCTAACGACATCCCTTTCTTCCCGTCTTGTCAAACCCCTCTTCCACATCGCTTACGATCATTTTGACTCTCCAAAGATCTATCTTCAATATATATATGACACCTTCTCATCTGATAAACCTCCTATATCAAATCAACTCCAAAAACCTATTCCTATAATAATCTCTGATCGCCGTACAAGACGAAACAAATCACACATAAGTCATGTCCTCTCATAGTGACGTAAACTCCAGTCAAGAGGAAGAGTCAACTGGGTACATAACCATAGGGGAAAGAACTCGTGATAATTGCACTAAAAATGGTTCTTCTGATCATATAACCATAGTTGAGAAACCTCTTCCTGCTACAGAAAGGGAACGTGAATATGTTGAAGAGGTAAGTTGTCCGTCTTTCTTTCCTTCTTTCCTTCTTTCCTTCTTTTCCCTCCAATCCATTCTCCCATTCTCCCATCCTACTCTCCCTATCCTAACCCTCGACCGCCGACTGACGAGTGATATTTCTCAAAGAACAAATATATTTAAACCTTTTTTACCTTCTCACCAAATCCATTTACTCTCACTCTCACTCTATATCTTATCCGGCTAAGTTATTGACTCCAGGATTCATCAGAAGAACATTATCGTTCCCGTAGTCCCCTTCACTCAAACCAAAATCCCACCACTGACACTTCAAACGTTCGTTCGAAGACTAAACAAAAACTCAAGATTGACACTGACATCAACTCCAACTCCAATTCCAATTCCACCAATGATGAGAAAGAGACATATAGAGAACACAGAAGGAAAACGAAAAAATCAAGTAATCGTAAAAGTCACAAAGATGGATTTCAACTTCCGGGAAAAGTGGTGATAATGGAAGATTCTTCTGATCCCGATTTCCAACTTGAAAACAAGGGTTCACTTTGGGATGGAGATTATGAGAGAAGGAGGAAATCAAGGAGAGAAACTGAAGAAAGTGAGTTTCTATCAATACCTTTTTTTGGATCATCAATTTCTCATCCTGTTGATTCATTATTCCTCTTTTGTTAATTCATAACATAATTATCATATTGTAGTGAACCCATCTTATGTTGTTTTTTTTTCGTTTTTTCAGAGATATATCTCTAAGTATTATCTTTGATTTTTCTATGATCTTATGTTCCTATCACGATTATTTCCTTCTATTTGAAGAATATCATCTTCATACCTCTTGAGATTATACTTACACACCTAAATGAAGATTGGGACGATATGATATCAAAATAATTGACAAAGATGTCAAGTAGTAGTCAAAGTAATTTATATATATATGATTTGATCAAAACAGAAAGATTAACTTTCAGTCCCTACTTACTCTTCTAAAACTCATCAGACTTATACAGCCAGACGAGGTGGTTATTACATCAAGGCGGATACAATCACTGAAGTTTCTATTTCCAGTTCAGAAGGTATAAATAAAGTCGTAAAATCATTGAGTAAATTACAAACTGATATGAGTTATGATACAAAAGGTAATATGGAACGGTTCATAAGTTCAATTTCCAACTTTGATAGAGAAGATGATTAACCTCTCCCTCTTGCGGTCTACAAGTAACTTTACTTTATGGAATGGATTCTAACTCATCGAAAACCTTTTTTTGGGTTTGGTTTGGAGGAAGGTGTATGTTTATAGGTTCGTTGTGAAGTGATGAGGGAACATACATGTTTGGTGAGAGGATGCATCTTGATTGTAAGACCTGGATACGGTTGTGGGTTGTCAAGGTAGGACTAATCAAGTCGCAATATGCTAGTCTGAGGAAAAAATAACGCTACGTCGAATGCATGCAGATTGATTTCATTTTGATCCAACAACTCTCACACCCTTTATCGCCTAGGCATCCCACGACCTCTACCTCTCAACGCCCTCTGAGCAGCTCCTCGTGGTAGAGGAGGTCCTGCTTGTTGTTCCTATATATAAGCTTTAAACTGATCCGAGTAGCTGACCGCAACGAATAAGTAAACAAAGTCCAGTCGCGAGCGAGCCATGACCGTTAAACTTTGGTAAGGGAGGGAAAGGAGAAGCGACCATCGGATAGGGGAAAGAAGGGAAGAGAGTTCTGCTGGCGTCTTGTACAAGAAGATCAAGCGACATCTACCCAGTGACTGGTCCCACTGTCAGGGAATATGGGAGCTTTCATGAGAGGATGCAGTGAAAGGGAGGGAAATAATGTCAAGAAGGAAACGCGGGCTCACCTCGCTCTGAGGATTCCGGACAGTCTCATCCACACTCAAAATCAAACATGCCGCATCTATAGCACTTGACAAAGCGTTCGTCTTGACCAATGCTGGTTCCCAAACGAACCTTTTCATATTGTCCTGAACACCTTCAGATTCCACGTCTACACCTGCCCACAGATCGCCTTGAGCGTGACGCATACGAAGTTTGTTCAACACATCCGTCGCGTCTAAACCTGCGTTATCACATATCTGTCGAGGGATGATTTCGAGAGCTTTGGCCACGGCTCCGACTATGAGTTGTTGTTTGCCCATGATAGTACGAGAGTGACCGCGGAGGTATTTTGAGACTTCCATCTGAGACGTCAGCGACGGATCCCTCGCTGGTAAATTTTCCCTGAGACGGAAAGCAGCATCAATCGATCGAACACAATATTCGTGTCAAGGTTCGGGGACAGGGGATTTAGATATAAGCACGGAGAGAAATAATCACCTCGCAAGCACCACCTCCAGCGACGACCGAATTATTCTGAATCGCCCTTTTGACGATCATGATTGAATCATGCAGACTTCGTTCCACTTCCGCAATGAATTGCTCCGCCCCACCACGCAAGATGAGCGTACACGTCTTTGCGTGTGTGCAATCTTCGAACAAGTTGAACCTCTCTCCTCCGATCTGTTTCTCCTCAAACGACCCGCATTGACCCAAATGATGAGGTTCAATGTCCGAGCAAGTAGATTGGATGGATCCCCCAACAGCTTGAACGACTCTCTTCAAATCATCCGACGTCACACGTCCAGCACAAAAGATATCCCTATCGGCGAAATATTGAGTGGCCAGATCCCCAATGGGTAATTTGGACAAGACAACCTTTGCACCTGTAGCCACGATCGCTTCGAGTTTTTGGTAGATGATCCTCCATTCGGCATCAACAATGGCTTGATACTCTGATACTTCATTGACTCGAATTTCAGCATTGTCTTTTTCCGCTTTGAGCTCCAGTTCGACATTGAGACACAGCACTTTGGGGTTTTTGAACGATTTAGGCTGTTGTTCGAATCCGGCATAGGAAAAGGTTTTCTTGAATGCTACTCCTTTCACTAGCAAAGAGTCTTGCATGCCACCTCCCGGAACCTTTTTGACTCCGATGAGGGATTCGTCCAGTTCTGTCTGGTCGAGCGAGAGTACTGCGTCGACTACCATGTTGGCGAAGAAGGGAGTTTGAGAGTGGATGAGTTTAGAGGACATGGATGTTGATGCGCAGAGGTGGAGAAGTTCGCGGAATTTTCTCCTGATCAGTACATATACTGGTCAAGGGAATGAAATCCATCATGATGCTGGACGCGTGTATCTCGTTACACAGGATGAGGGCAAATATATGGCAGGAAAGTAAGATGTCGAAGAGGATATCAGCAAGGAATGAAAGGAAGAGGGAAGAAGATGACACGATCAGACTCACACAGCATCAGACTTATCAATAGTCACCGCTATCTCCTTGATCTTCTTTATAGCCAAATCCCTCGCCTGACGCAAACCTTTGATGATGACATGAACCCCTACACCTTCTTCGACATACGGTCTGACCTCTTTGAGTATTTCCGCTGCGCTGTTCTTTCAGCTTGATATTTGTTCCGATACAGCTGATGACTTACAGTAACACCACACTGGTAGTTCCATCTCCTACTTCTGCGTCTTGGGCACGGGCGATGTCCACTAAAGTCCTCGCAGCGGGATGTACCACGTCAAGTAGTTTCAAAATGGTAGCTCCGTCGTCTGTCCTGTCAATTTCTCTCCACCACACAAGATTTTATCTACTGTATTGTGATACATGAGAGAGTGAGAGGTGAGATTGACTTACTGGAGATAGTAGCTAGTCCTCGCTCATCTACGATGAGCTTGTCCATACCCCTAGGTCCGAGCGTGGTGGCCACCGTCTGAGATACAGCGAGACAAGCAGAGATGTTGGACAACAATTGAGGTGTTCCTTGGGACGTATCGGTACCCTCTGTTAAACGTCAATGATCTGCCAGACAACATCTAACATCGAGTTCCTTGCTTGCAGGTGAAAGGGAAGGAATGGGAAGGGGAATGATCAAAGAAGGATGTTCACCTCTGAGAAGGACCACGGTGGGTTGCTGATCATGTCAGTTCAATCTTGCAAGAGTACAGTGATATCACTCACCATCTGAGGTAATCTACCCTGCATCTTGAGTGTGTACGCTACTGTTCAACCTGTCGAGATGAGATACGAAAAGTTAAGTAAAGTCATCATTCCCTCAAGAGCTGAAGTTCGCGATGGAAGTTGTATGACGTGGCATTTCTCCCCTTTGAACCACTCACCCTACTCTCTCTCCTCTATGAGCCAGAGTTGTATATCCCACTTGTCATTCCTCCATACTACAATGTCAGAGCTTTGTCCACCATGGGCTTACTTCTTCGGGTCAGTCAAAACCTACCTCAATGCCTGAGAACACTAATTGACGGACAGATTCGCAGGAGTGACTTCTGCCGTACCTTTCCTTCCCTTTTCTCTGGTAGTGCTGATTTGGATAGATGGTTCTTTCCACCGTCGGAGCGGCATATGGAACGGCCAAAGCTGGGATCGGAATAGCTGGACTGGGTACATTCAGGTCAGCTCCTGTGCTTTTCGGTGCATCGATAAGCTGACTCTTGTAGACCTGAACTGATCATGAAGGTATTTCTCTTTTCCCTCCATTATCGTTTTCACTAACTCGGCAGTCATTGATTCCAGTCGTGGTGAGTTCTTTCGTACGATAGATTCTCATACAGAAGCTCATGTCAGATGTCAGGTAGTAAGCTCTCAGCCTCCGAGGTATGACCAAAGCTAAAAAAAATAGTCATAGCGGTTTATGGATTGGTAGTATCTGTCCTCATAGCTGGTTCAAGTGAGTCAACTCAGTTGTTGTTTGTCCAGAGGGCTGATAATTAGTATCACCATCTGAGACTTATTCTCTATTCGGGGGCTTCGTTCATCTCGCCGCTGGATTATGTGAGTTTCCCGCGAACAGTAAGTAGGTGAATTGAGGAGGGCTCATGTGGTAGCATGTGGGATGACGGGTCTTGCTGCGGGTTACGCGATAGGAATAGTTGGTGATGCTGTGAGCTCATTTCCTAATGCCCTTCTTCCAACCATACATTAATGTATCTCACCTTCTCATGTTTCCTCAGAGTTGTGTCTTCTCCCACCCGACGCTAGAGCACTCCAACCTCACTCCACGAGCACTATGTCCAAAGAGGTTCGGAATTTGGGAAGTAAGACTTACTCACAGTGCGTTCGAGCGTATGTGTACGAATCCAGAGTATTCGTATCCATGGTCCTCATTCTCATCTTTGCGTGAGTCGTCTTTGTAAATATAAGGGAGATGCTAATTTATAGAGAGGTCATAGTGAGCTATGTCGAGTGTCTTTTGAACGAGCTGACGGTCAGGGACTGTACGGATTGATAGTGGCTTTGATACTGAACACCACTGTACCTGGTGAAGCGGTCTGCGGTTGACTCATGTATACTTGGTATGTGAACTGAGGATGATACTGATCTTTCTTGGTTGACTCGTTTACGTTCCTCTTGTTGATGATTGACATCTTGACGAAGACTAGATGGGAAATACACTCTTCGCTATCAATCTGAGAGCAACAGCTCGGTCTTGATCTCTCATTGATACCCATACGATAACCCCTTGATCGAGCTGCCATCATTGAATTATACATCGTCATGTGCAATTCAATTCCCGATTCCATCAACACAAACACTGATTCTTTGCTGTCACAAGTCATATCGAGTTTGTTCTTTCAGTGGAATTCCAGTAAATTATCTCGCTCCTGCAGATGAAGAGAAAAGAGAATACAAAATAGTACAGTTTTCAACAAATTCATCTCAGATCTCATTAACTCTTCAAATTGTATACAATCTCAATTATACTCGATATTCATTTTCTCAACATCATTCTTCACTCTTTTCATTTTCCCAACCATCCGAGGGAAATAGCACCCGCTCCTCCATTCGAAACAGGATGAACGACACCTAATTCCTGTCTCAATTGTGCGATCTCAGGAGGGACGTTGACATCCGACCCATCGATTAGAGAAGTAGCAGAGACCAATGGGTTTGAAAGGATGTTAGAAATTGAAGAAGATAAAGAACCGGAGTTTAACGAACCGGAATTCGAGATGGATGAGATATCAGAGTTGGAATTGGAATTCGAGTTGGAGTTTGAAGATTCAGATCCGGATGCGGAAAAACCAAAGATTGAAGAACTGGAAATGATCTCTTCGGAAATGATGGTGACGCTTTCGTAAACTACGAAAGGTACGGGTCCTGAGGATTAGCATAGTGAGTAAAAACGAGGAAGGAGGGAATGACGTGCTGAGAGAAAAGAAAAAATGAGATGAGAGTGGAGGGGGTTCGGGGGAGGATTTATAGAAAAAGAGAGGAGAAAAGGAACAAAAGACTGACCAGCTACGATGACAGTTTCATCTTGGATCACAATGTTGACATCTAATTCTACATCACTGGAAACAATGGAAGCGAAGACTGGGTGTCAGTATTGGCGCGATATCGAAAATCATGAAAGCTGGGAAGAATCACGAGCGTCAGACAGCGTAAGGAAAGTTGGAGCCTCATAGAGAATTAGGGGAAAAGTCGAAAAGGATCTTGGGGCATGTGGAAGATTTCATGTAAGACGTAGAGGATAAGGGGTAGGTGTACAGGAGAAGGAAAAGGGGAGAGGAGTAGGAAGAGATATGAAATTTACTCACCTACACCATCGATTTTCTCAGGGATGATACATTTTGACATTGGCATGACGATTCCTTTGGTGTTACTTCCAGAGATGATGTTACAGAAGTATTTCTGGATGTTAAGTCTTACTCTTGACCTACTCCAGACAATGAGTGTAACCAGGGTCATTTCAACTACCACTGTTGACAGAGAATGGAGTGAAGCATTGTTGAGGATACTTCCACTCGACATCGATCGCTTCCTGTTTGTTGACTGGAAAGAAGGGAAGGGAAAAGATGAGAGGATGCAAGAATATGATAGTCGAAGTAAAGGGTATGTGAAGACGTGAAGTTAAGAAAAACTCACAGAAGTATCTTGACCTTGGAAAATAGACATATCGAAAGATAATTGAGTATTGACGGTAATAGTTTCAGTGTTGGTGATCGTAAGTGCTGTCGAAGCTGTTTTTGGTCAATAACATTCTTTTTCCAAGACAAGAAAGACGATAGACTGTTCTGAATACAACAGAGGGAAGAGGAAACAGGAAAGGGAAAGTGTAAAGGTGAAAAGAGGAGAGAGGAAAGAAAAACATACGAGTAATTCCTAACAATCCACCAAGATCACAACCTTTGACGAAAGGACTTAGCATGCCTAATACTTGTTGAGGTTCAAGAGGTACCGCGAATGGTGAAGAAGATGGGGAACTTGCTAAATATATCAGTTTCATGACATTCACCTTTGAAGCCATTCATCTACCATCTCACGCAATCGTCCGAAGTAAATTCTCACTTTCGAACCCATTACTTTTGACCTGATTCAAAAAGTCCAGAAGAAAGATGGTTTCTGACATGGGCTCAGGGGTTTGATAGGAGGGAAATCGTATCTAACTCTCTGGGGAAACAGGGAGGGGGGAAGAGAGTAAGACTGTGAGGCAGGAGGAGGTAAGGAGAGAGAAGAGACCAGCGGAAAAGAATGTAAAGATTCAACTCACCTCCGAGGAGATTGACCATAGAACTATGAACACCTTCCACAGCATGAATACTCAAAGCGGAAATTAACAATTCTTGATTTTCGACTAAAAGAGCTCCACCTTCATATGCTCCAACTCCTACAAGTTCGAAGATCCTAGCCGTCTCGATAAACGTTTGAACAGAGACCATTGCGGAAGAAAAATCGAAAGAACATTGACCGAGGGCGGAAATATCGATAGAAGCTTCTTGTGCGACACTTGTCAAAGTACTCAGATGAATGGATTCTTGTTCTTGAATAACACTGATTGTCAATTGAGATTTCTAGTATGGTATAATTGTCTATGGTTCTCATCCCTCCTTGGCGATTTCGACTCTTTCCTCAAATTTCCCGTCACCCAACATCCCATCACCCACATCTGAGGTACCTTTAGGACAGATGTGACACTTTTGGATGGGAGGAAATGATCAAGAAGGAAGATGTGTTTGATAATTGTGCTGATGTAAGGTAGTTGGTATGGGAGAGGTAGAGGAGAATAAGTACTCACGTAAGTTGTTCAATCACAGCATCACCATTCCTATATCCGAATTGTTCGAAATGATCCGACGAGAAAGTCTTCAAACCAACTTCGTAAAAGTTCGACTCGAGGGTTTCAGCAGCGAGAGCGAACTATTATTAACGATCATCTTTCATCTCTCTCACTTTCTTCCACTCCCAGTTCGAGAACGGAATAGTGGAATAGCGAAAGTAGGTGACTTACCAAGATGACAGTTTCGTCATTTTTCGAAAAGCCACTTCCAGATCCACTTTCGCTGTTACTACTCTCCGAGCTACTATTGCTTTCACTACCTTTACTATCGTTGCTACCACTTTCACCACCACCACCACCACCGCTATTCTCGCTACTACCGCCTTCGCTACTAGTGTTGTTACTCGACGAGTTCGACTTTACATCAACTTGGTTCATACTCGGAAGGAAGAAACAACTCACCTCGGAAGACAAAGTCGAATTGCCAACACTTTCACTACTTACCGTACTATTTCCCCCTTCTCCCATACTGACCGAAGTGTCATTTCCACCTTTACGACCGATAAGGATTGGCGAGGCGTTCACTTGGATCCCTGCCAGCAGGGGAAGAACAGCGATAAGAGTCTTGAAAAGCATTGTGACTTTGTTATTCGTATTATTTCTTTTCGTGTAATAAGATGAAGACGATCACAGACCGAATGGAAAATTAGACAAAGATGAAGAAGATAAGACGAGATCAACTCTAGACTTGGGCCGACCTGCGACGAGTAAAAGGGAGAAGATATTAGAAGGCAAGTAAGTGGATGAGTAGGAGACAGAAGAGTTGAGGGTATTTATACATGTCTGACAGGAGAGGGGATCGTACGAGTTGTAGGGATGAATGAGAGGCGATGAGAGATCGTATCATCAACCGAAGAGACGTCGTTAGTTACCTCTCTAATCCGTTGTCAGATTTTATCTTGACTCCCGATTGGTCGATAGGCACCGATACGTAGCTTGGTGCACTTAGCGTGATATCAAGACTTGGCGACGACCGGAAATATTGGTGAGACGCCGGTCGTCAAGGATGAGCATATTGACGGTGTTTCGGTCGTTCGGTCGTACGGGTGTTGGCTACGTCGCTATGAAGAGATGTCAACTCGTCTTGCATGCTAGGTGAGTCAATGAGGAGACGAGCTGTGTCAGAAGTGAAGTTTTGATATAGGACCATATGTTACATACAATTCCGGAATACCTTTCTCCGGACTCATACTACTCATGCAGACATGTCGAAACTCCATCTCCTGAGTCATAGTTTCGTGAAGGAGGTCGGATCCGGGATCAATCAACGAATGAAAGAATCATTGAGGAAGCTCGAAAACCCTCATGACACCTCTATCCAAGTGAACATCCGCACTTGGTACACCGGCATCCTCCTCAATACCCTGTTGTTGAAGTCCCACAACGTCCAAAAGACTATGTCCTTGGCCCATATCCCATTCGTACTCCTCACCTACCCCATTCTCCTCTCCCATATCATCCCCTTCTTCATTATCTTCCCGTTGTATCTCTCCTTCCCTGTTTTGAGATTCTGACGTTCTATTACGATCTTCATGTTGTCGGATGACCTCCATAAATTGAGCGCGATTATGTTTCAAACGCATTTCTCTGACTAAATATCCCGGAAACTTTCTCGGTCTACCTCGAGCACGTTGGATACCCATGGCTTTGTCTTGTTTCCGTTGTTCGTATTCTGCTTGATCTTCTGGCAGACGGGTTTTAAGAGGACGACCTCTTGGTTTCGAAGGCGGTTTGGGTGGTTTCACTTTGATCTCGGCGAATGGTTTGGGTTTGTTTCTCGAACCTTTTGGTCGACCGCGTCCGCGTTTAGAAGGAATGGTGGAAGGTCCGGCTTCAGCGTTTGAAGAGGAGTCGGGGTGGGGATCTATGAGGTAAGGTGATTGAGGGTCTTGTAATCCTTGAAGCAGTGCGTCTGAGTAATTTAGCAGGTGTTCGCATGCATGAAAGCCAGTGGATTCCGAAGAGGAGAATGCACAACAGAAGTGAGAAACTGCTCCATGAGGGCGATCATGTGCAACGTCGCAGGGGTGGAATGTGGAATGGTGAAATGGACTCACGGTATTCTCCACTGGTCAAATCGTCTAATGTGCTTTGCAGAGATTGATGCAGGGCTTCTTCTTCGACACCGGTGGTATCCTAAGTATCAGTATATTCCTATGGCCCTCCGTCTTCATCTATTATTTCGCAATAGGAAGCAGACGAAGGAGAATCAGAAGCAAAGTGAGGGTGACGATATCCACCTGTTCGGCCTGTTGTTGTTCTCTCCTATGAGTATCCTGCGCCCTGGTCAAAGAATTGACTATTTCCCTCAAAGCAGGATCTATATCTTCTCCTTCCATAGCCAAAGCCGAATGATCTATCCCCGGTCCTATCTCCTCTCCAATTGTCCCCTCCTCGACCCCTCCATCCTGCTCTTGAACTGAAGTAGGTTGAAGCGTGTTCGGGTCCAATCGGCTACCAGTCCGTACATGATTGACGACCTGTTCGATCTGAAAGAGACTGGGATCTATAGGAGGTGGTGGTTGAGGTTTTGAGAGTTGAGCGAGTGAAGGATCTATTGGACCTAATGTTGTTATGTTGAAATGTGATGGTTGAGTGGACATGACGAGTGGAGGCATCTTGGGAAGAAAACGAGAAAAAGAAAAACATTCAAAAGACGGCGGTGAGGGGTTCTTGTGGGACTTAACGCCGATGAATCGCCGATATGAGTATGAATGTGGCAGGTCGGAGGATCAAGCCGGAATCGTCCGTCCATGTTGAAGAACAAGCCCTTAGCGGCGATACGATTTCCCTCTTTTTAACACTCACATTCACACTCTTACTTTTTAACTCTATATCTTACTTTCACAGCGTTCAATAGCCCCAGCGAATCCTCACTTATCAAGACAACCTACACTACAGTCAAGGTCAAGAGTCATAAGGAAAACGTGTTCAATATGCAAGCAGTCCGAGCTACTCCTATCCCTTCTTCTTCACGCACTATCACACTCCCCGATCCACCAGCCGCACCTTCCACATCAAGTACAGTCGGCGTCTTGAAACTTCGTGGAGCAGGAAGGAAAGGGAAAGTCGTTTGGTCAGAAGGTACTGTGGATAATGAACATTTAGGAAGGAAAAAATCAAAGAGTAAGTATCAATCACCGCTCCCTTGTCTTTCACTATTCAGGAAGTATATTCTATAACCTTCCTCGAGTTTCTTTGGACTCGCCACCCTCCTCAAGTCCTATCTGTATACCCTTCTCACTACGAATATCTATTTCAAGGATGACCTCATTCTTGTGAAAGTCATTGTGGATTTCAATGACGGCAATAGAGACAGATCAGATTGAAAGTTGACAAATCAGTATGTTGTATATATCATAAACCCAGAGCATATGATGAATCTTCTTCAGAAAGTTCAGAATCAGATTGTGATTCTCATTCTCATTCTCACTCTCACTCTCGACCCACACCGAATAGTGGAAAGAAAGATGGGACGGGATCGGGACAAGGTACGAAACGACGTGATGCTCCTGGGACACAAGTGGAAGAGAGTTCGGAATCCGAGGGAGGTGCGGGGGATGGGAAAGCCAGGTGGGTCTGCGTTTTCTTTTTGTGACCTCATCCATGATTTATTCCACCGGCTTTCTTGACGTCTTTCCAATCGTCTCGTTGAACGACTAATCTCGTCCTCACTTTTCCTGGTTTTAATTGTCACCTGGTCTAAAGGTCAATTGTGCTTTCCGTCATTGTGATCTCCTTTCACCCGTCTTTTCTCTCACACCTAGCTCCTTCTTCCATAATTCGTCATCTCATACTCTCTCTCCATCCCCCCACTCAGGCAATCCTGAAAAGTCTGCAAATGCCAATCATATTTTGAAAAGCGAATAATACTTCCATTGATCTCTCATATGCTTCTTTCTGGATCAAAACTAACTTACAGACCAATGAAAGGCAAGAACAAACCCAAAAAAAGACCTTCAAACGACCCCAGTCCTTCAAGCGGAGATAACAAAGACGGTCCCAAAGGATCACAACCTCAAGCAAATAAATACGATTATCATCCTCCTTCCCACTCTCATTCGCAAAACCCTCAATAATATCCTTTCGATTTCATACCTCTACTCTCCAGCATCTTTGACTGCTTTCATTTCCCAGACTCGGGTCCTAAAGCTTTCGACTCCGTGCGAGCACTTTGTCCTTGCGCCGTTGAGGCTCGAGAGGATTTGTTGTCTAGGGGGGTAACTTTTGATTCTTTTTCGAACATTTGCATGGAGGTATCAAGTCTCTCGAGGGGTTTTTTGAAATCGCCAGGGCTGTTGGGGTACATGTATCAGTTCATATGATGTGGTTGACAATTCATGCATTTCTTTGTATCCTGTTGTTTTACAATCTTGAACTCAATAGTCATCGATAACCAGTCTGATCTCGCCATGTGTATGTGACGAGTGATGAGTTAAATGGATGACTGCAGAAATCTTTCAAAGACGAATAATTCTATATGTATAATGTACAATACAGCACACCGGCAATCCTTTCGCACCTTCAGACCCTTCCGTACATCATGCCCCATTCCATCAACATTCATATAGACAAGATGAGGAGAGGGAAGAGGAGTGAGTATAAGGAGGAAGAAGAGGATGAGTATGAGCATGAGTATCATGAGGAGTAGAAACAGGTATTCAAACGATATAATCATCTCCCAACAATCCCCAACTTACTTTCTTCAACATCTACCATCAAACATTCCATTCCTAACACTAACCATCTTTCCAACCCTTCTGACAATTCTTTCCCTCTAAACCTGAGGTTCATAGCTTGGTTCAGACGATCTCGTAGGATACGTACTGCCACAAGAGTCTTTGGTGGAAGACGATAACGAAGTTTACGATCTATGATCAAGGATGATGATGGGATCTGAGATATCAACTTTTTGGTTCTTTACGAATATCATCATATCTTTACGGTCTTATCCATTCCCAAGATTAGGTCAAATAACCAGGAAATGTATGTTCACTTGAAACACGGTGCTGAACTGAAAATGGAATGTGTAGTATCGATGATATATACAGAGATAGAGAATACACCTTAAGCACTGACGAACGATACACGCTCAAGCTTTGATCTTCACAATACGATGGAGGAAAGGCACCAAATTCCCAAGGGATAAAAAAGGTGGAGAGAAGGATCAGAAAGGACAAAAGGAACGGAGAATGAAGAAGAACATCGGGGACGGAGAAAGAAAAGAACACACCTTTATATCCAATTGATCACCACACATCATAACTAAAGTTTTCTCATTTATCGGACTTATTTCCCATGCGTACAATTTCTTACTTCTCATCAAAGTGAAATAAATCAAATGTGTACCTAACTCTGAGCGGGGGACGCCAAAGTTTACAGAACTGGGATGCTACGAATCAACTTTATTCATTTTTCTCTCTTCTCTCTCTTCTCCTCAAACTTGTGCCCTCCCTGTCTCTCATTCACTCAACACTTGTGCGCATCTCTCATTGGATCGACCTGTCGCTCTGCCTCTACGATTGTCTTGTGTATCAAGACGACTTGGTTACAAGTCAAGAGGAACCTTTCACATCCCGCGGAACTCGAACAGTCTGTCATGCGACTGAAATTTCGTCGATGGAGAAAAGGGGTATGAGGGCCTACGGGGCGAAGGCTCAAAATGACTCACAATGGAAACAGGCTGTTGATTGGTGATACTTCTCAAACCATTGCCATCCACTACCAACACCTTGGGATATAATCCCGCAGCCAAGGCAGCATTCAATATTTGTGGTTTGTCATGATTTATATTTAAAACAGCAGGGATGGTGATGAATCGGGTTCTGAATGTGTTTTTGGAGAACCTGGCGCTATACATCAGCTAAATCGAATAATCTTCTGTTCTGTTCCACTCAGTCCGACGACGGGACATCATACTCGTGTTGACATGTTTGTCCGGTATAGATGTGAGGAATCAATTGTGTCGTCCATCCCAGGTTACTGGTCTCGTGAAGCTCGTAGTCGAGCGCAAAGTTGTGATAAGAAAGACTCAGATTTGATCAAGTAGCACGCGTGGATGATGAGAGATACGTAAGAAGAAAAATGGAAAGAGCGAAAATGAAAAACATACGAAAACATTTCTATCTTCTTCTCCTGAGATACACTCACGAACCCCGAATCTACCAGATAACCTAATAATTGTTGACGTAATTCTTCAATCTGTTGTAGGTTCTATCCATGAGTCAACGAACCGCAGGGAGAGGGGGATACGTACCTGATGAGATATGTAATTCTTCTTACAAAATGTTCGAACGTAGTTTGTGTTATCGGAAGCTCTACGCCAAGCGTTGAAGACGTTGATGAGGGTGAGGAAGTCGCTATTGTCTACAATGTCAGCGTCAGACGTTTTTCACCTCCCCTAGAAATTACTCCAGATAACTTTATGTGATGCACCCCAACAACATGGAAAGAAATGCTCGGCGAGTGGTCACGAGATCTTGACAGGACAGGCGATGGGAGGGTATTAGATGTAATGTGGTACTCCATAGAAGGGAAGATGACAGGAGATCGTAAGCGTAAGCAATGAGGAACGAAGCGATATGCTAGTGGGGAAAATTCAGAGGAGATGCAGCTATACGGTCAGGAATGATGTGAAAATCAACATGACTCACCTTTGGCAAACCCTTTCTTGGCCGCTCTGGCCTGAGATTCATATCCAAACGGAGTCACAAAAGGACTCTTGGAACATAACGTAGCCGCCAGAGTCAACCCCTCATCCAAACATTTCATCGTAGTAGCCACCAACAAGAACTTTCCCAGATGTACATCCATCGGTAACTTGCTTAACAATCTTCCCAAGGGAGTAATCTCTTCATTATTCGTCAAAGCTTTGACTTCCACCAACGCAGCTATAGCTTTTTGTATATTTACAGAAGTGGGAGGATCTAGAGCCTTGTTCAAAACTTCTTCGATAGACGGACCTAATCTGACCTTGAGAATCTTGATCCTCAAGGCTAGATCTTGTAAGGATAACCTCAACATTTCAGGTATGGAATGTTCGGATAATTGATGATCGTGTCGATATTTCGTGAATAAATGAAAAGCTATACCTTCTCTCACTCTTCCTGCTCTTCCTCTTCTTTGTTTGGCATTAGACCGAGAAATGAAAATTTCCACTAGACGTGATAATTGTCGTTTTTCATCGTACCTCATCTCACGGTGTTTACCTGTATCTATCACACAGGTGATATCAGGTATAGTGACTCCAGTTTCGGCGATATTGGTGCTCACTACTATTTTCCTGACCCCTGGTGGAGGTATGTCGAAGACGGCACTTTGACCTTCGGAGGAAATTGTCGAGTGAAGTGGATAAATGAGAAAATCGGAGATAAAAGAAGGATGAGAATTTATGAGTTCGGTGAGACGACGAATTTCCGCTAAACCAGGAAGGAAGATTAAGATAGCTTGAGAAAAAGGAATTAAATCAGGATTGATAAAACAGATATTTTCCAGCAAAGAGATGATGAGTTCGTAAGGTGTTTGACGTACATCAAGGAGATTGATAGTTTCAACCGTTTCACTAGAATAACGTGTCGAAGATAGTTTCATTGAATTTGATTTCTGTCCAGATTTAGAAGATGTGGAAGAATCAGAGTCTGAATCCGAATCAGATTCATTTTTTGCCGTTTCTTCATTCCATTCCATTTGTCGTTTTGGGTTTCCATTTCGATGTCGGATAGCGTAAGAGGAAGAATCATCAATATTCCAACCTGTCATCTCCACCGCATCCTCCAAATATCTAACCTGCACTGGAAACGTACGTCCAGGTACCGACAAAATCGGACAACCGCCAAAATAATTTGAAAGTTTATCCGAGTCCAGAGTAGCGGACATGAGGACGATCTTGAGATCCGGTCGTTGAACCATAAGAGATTTCAAGACAATAAGAAGAAAGTCGGAATCGATAGATCTTTCATGAACCTCATCAACGATGATATGAGTGACTTGATCAAATGCTGTTCCTTTCGAAACATCCCCAGAACCACTTTCTAACATCCGCAATGCAATTCCATTGGTGACAAATGCCAAACGGGTAGAAGGGGATACTTTCGCTTCGAGACGAATTGAGTATCCCACCAACGAGGAAGTTGTACCTAATGTACCTGGTGCATCTCCGAGTTCTTGTGATACTCGCTGAGCAAGAGAGATGGCACTGATACGTCGGGGTTCGGTAACAAATATCTTGCATGGTTTCCCTTGAGATAATTGATCTTCAAGAATGAAAGAAGGGAGTTGAGTGGACTTCCCACACCCCGTTTCACCTGATAAGACTAAGATTTGGGAGGATGATAAAGTTTCAATGATTCGTTGTCGAAAAGAAGCAATAGGAAGGGTTTCACGTTGGCGCAACATACGCTGAAAGGCGGACGAAGAACGTCGAACTTCGAATTCTGCTTGCAGGTTGGGATCGTATCTGTCTTCGAGGGACATTTCCTTCTCCGTTGCGTCAATTTTGTCAGTTGACGATGTTTCAGCAGGTTGGAGCTGGACGGTGGGTTTGTCGACAGTCTTTTTATCCAAGATATCTTTGACCTTCCCCCACATTTCTCGTCTCTTGACATCCTCAGCAGCCTTCTTCTCCTTCTCCAACTCCTCCCACAGATCACGAAACGTAGGAGGGAACGCTCGCCAATTCACGTTGTTCAGCTGACCACCACTCAAAAGATCGTGTAAAGCGAGAGTAGACACGTAATTCTCCGCCTCGATCATATCCCCACAAGCTGTGTCGTTCATCCGCCATTGTCTTCTCTTTGTGGAGGACCAAGTAATCTCCAGACCTGCTCGAGCAGGCCGGCTATTCCCAGACAGCCGCGCGAACGTTATGACAGCTTGTTTAGCGGCTCGTCTCAGACCGTCACGAAGAATAGTTTTGGGCAAATTGGAAATTGGAAATTGTCGTGGGAGGGGCATTTGACGCACTGGTATGGCCGGCTGTGTCGTGTCGGTCATGTCATGTGTTGGCTCGTTACTCTGGTCCAGGAGATTTCCAAAGAGTCCAAGATCATCATCGTCCAATGTATCATCAGAAGCTATTGTATCTTCTTCTTCAGCCAGTCTGTCTGGAGTCGTAGCTGGTTCAGGACTGATGGTCCCTTCCGCTCCGACGGACAACCCTTTTAACCTAGCTTCGAGAGATTCTGCCTCCCGTTTCGCTTTCAAGGCACGGAAGAGAATGTCTGAAATGTCAGCGGACGCCATTTTCGCCTGTTGCGTGAGCTCACCTGCCTGCTTCCGATTGAACATGTATTCTCTCTCAGCCTTGCCCACTTTCTCTTTGATCCGCCGCATCTCGGGAGTCTCCAATACCACGCCAGCCCCTTTGCCTTTCTTTCCCTTCATCTTGCCATCTCCTGCCCCCAGACGTAGAGTGTCTAGTTCTAACATGAGCCTCGCCCACGTCTCATTTTCGAGGTTCATATTTGGCTCTCCGTCGCTTTCCGAATCTGAGGGAGCCACTGAACCTTGAGACTGAAAGAGCGATACGGGTTCCACTGGCGTTCCTTGGGTGAGGGTTTTGTTTTCCATCGTTGTTTGAGTCACAGCCCCCTGCAAATCGGTGGGGTTTGCCGAAGGGACGGAATCACCGGGCAATTCGTCGGGAAGGAGAGGGCTCTGATCGTTGTCGACTGATGACTCGATATGCTTGGAATATTCACCCAGAGACAGACATTCTTCTTCGGAAAGATGCAGCCACATCTGATTCTTTAGTCGCCGCAGAGACTCACTGAAAAGAGAACTGACCCATTGAAGCGCTTCTTCCCACCCTTCACCTTCACTCATTCCTTCCAAGAGATATTGCCCAATTCGGGCATCAGAAAACCCTAAAGCTGACAGGGTACGGTAGGTGGTAAAAAGTCTCAGTAGTATTCTCTCACTTTCTATTTGACTTGATCCGGCCGAGATGGTTTTAGTCTTGTCTTCTTCACCTCCTCCTCTTGTCAGCCAAAGACTATTGAAGAGGAGGTTTTAGCTCACCAGTTTCCTCTTCGAGCGCAAGCTCCAGGATCCTTTGTCTGATGTCGGTGTTGAAGTCGAGCGAGGGAAATGTAGCAGAAAGTCGCTTGTCATACTCTATGGTCTGTTCGTAAGTACTTGTCATACATAGAGCAAAAACTCTCTTACCTTCAAAATCCTGACGACCTCTTTTTCCCCTTTATCATGAAGTTTGTCCACCAGGACCTGTAGAAAGTTCTCACGAATGAGACTCTCATCTTCCCAGTCCTCCCTGGGATGGTCGTAGTCTATGACGTCACGGGTTGGGCTGGCAGGCTCGCCGGGGCCAGTGGATCTGTCTACCACTGAAGCGGTGGGTGTGAAAGCGAAAGTAGCATCGTCCGGAACTTGAGCTGAAGTTGGTGCGACGCTGGCGATAGGTTTGCTTGGAACGACTGAAGTGGTCACGACGCCTCTGTTCACAGCTAAATGAGGTAAGCCACGTCTTGTATGTATGTAAGGAAGGAACAGTGTGGAATGTTGAGAGAGGGCTGACAAAGTACTGCAATATAGTTAGGAGAAGCCCACGTTTCAGAGATGATTTTTTTTTTCCCATGGTTTCTGTCAGACTTTCTCTCACACACGACCTCCACCTACCACTTTGGGTGGTATGTATCTGACAATGTTGTCGTCTTGCGTCGGCGTGACTGAGGTTGAAATGAAGTAAAGGGAAGAAAGAGGGAGGTTGTAAGGAGATGGATGGGGGGTTTGGGGGGTGAATGTGGGGCTCCGTATTTGTAGTGGAAGTTTCCGACGGAAAGAAGGATGACCTAGGGTTTGCTAAGCAATTCTCACTTTTCCACCCTCGCTCCTTACTTGATATCTCTTATACCTACGACATCCATCTCACTGCTTACTATACTCCGTCTCAATTTAATACCCCGCTAATAGTTTGCTCATACCATCGTCTCTCCGTCCCCTACCTATATCGAATAAAGTCTTATCTCACCCCAACATGCTCTCATAGGCACACAATCCCCCCTCTTGCTAATCGCCACCTCTTTCTGCTCACATCATTCATCCGCTCATAGTGATTGAAGACGAGGAATGAGCAAACGTAAATGTCCCACTGCCAATTTGGCCACCGGTCCACACGCTCTCAGTTCTTTCGACGCCGCTCTCGACCTTTTGGCATGCGAGACATTCTCCCGAGTCGATGCCCTCGCCGCTAATTTTCAGGCCTGCGTGGGGGTCAAGTTACAAGATGGTGTTGTCAGGACTAGTTGGGAGGAGGCGGTGAAGAGGTACTGGCTCATGAAGAATATGGGAGAGTTAACTTGTTCCTCCGCGTTGAAGAAGAATGAGACGGTCAAGGTAGAGTCTGAAGCAAAGGCGACAGACGACTTCCTGATCGCTCTTGATAGAGATTGGGGGGAACACCGAGAGAGGAGGGATGCCGGAGGAAGAGCTCTACCAGATAGTGTATATCCGGGAGTAGTGGTGGTACATGGTTTGTGTCCCAATGAGGAAGCACAGTGGAGGAGATGGCAACCCAAAGTTGGTGATATCGTTTTGGTTGATACCCGTGAAGATGGCCATTGGCCCGGCAAAGTAAGTGTCAAGTGCCGCTCTATCAAGACGTGACTGACGGTCAGATTATCGACAAGAAAACCTTCTATTCCGGTAGATCGCCACCAAGAGGGAATCACTTTTTCCCTGTGCGCATTTATAACGACCAAATGTCACCGTGAGTCATGTCTGCACCGTCCTCTGTTTCATTTGGTCACGTTCATCCCTCGTCCCCGTCTCTCGCTGTTCTGCTTGTCATTGGATCTATAGTATATTCAGATGCAAGGACGCCATATGGAAACTGATTGAGCAGAACCGTGACTATCAAATCTCGCCTCATCCCACTAAGCCTTCGATCCGATCCTCCTCTTCTCGCCTCACCTACCCTTCTTTCAGCATATCATCATGCCGCACATCCCGAGTCCTTCGACCTCAGGGCTTCAGTCGCCGAAGCTCAGGCAGCACAGGATCGTACTCGTTCTGGTGAATGGGATGAGGCTTCTCGACAAAAGGCCAAGGCGGATAAAGAAGCGTGGAATCAACTTGTCAACTGGGTCATGAACGAGCGGCGCGTAGAAAAGCTGCGCGTGGTCAATGAAGAACGGCGTAAAAGACTTGCTGAAGTTTCACAATCGCCTTGTCCTCCTTCCTGCGACGAAACCAAATTGGAGGATGGGATTGAAGATTGTTTCCAAAAACGTGCCCGACACGAATCATCTTTTACAAGTGATACAGAGAGTGTCTTCAAGTCATCTTATCCAAATGGAAACTTTTCGTCCACCTCCTCTGGTTGTGGAGTAAGCATCTTCGGTCCGGCTGCCCTTTCCCCTAGTCCCAGTACAACCACCTCCACTCGTCGTACAGTCTCTCCATTATCTGCCTCATCTTACATCCGGCCTGCACTTTCCACACCTCAAAGACCTCGATCCCCTCGTCGACTGGACAAACGTCGTACCGTCTTCTCCGCAGTCGGAGAATTTTTACCACGAGGAAGAGGAGGTACTTATACCCCTCCGAGAATTCTTCCATCAGGTGATGAAACAGCTCCTGGCTCATCGGAAAGTATATCACCCGTGCCCAGTAGACAAAAATTCGACTTCGTTTCCCCTCTCGGACCGAAGATGAGAGCCAATAGTCTTTATTCGGAAGAGGGTAGACCTCGTTTCACTCGTGCCGATAGTTTGGGTGTTGGGACAGGTTTGGAAGTTGTGAAGGAAGAGCCGGAAGAGGGATGGATGATGGTTGGACAACGAAAAATGGGGAGCAAGAGAGCAGGCTCGGCTCCGTGTAGAGAAGCGGCGAGTGAGATAGGTGGGGAAGGGATGGAAGGAGTGGAGATGAGACGAAGGGGAATGGTCGATGTGGGCATGGACATGTAGGTTGGTGTTGTATCTACTTTTATTCTACCTTATGAAATGGTTCTGGTTCAAATCATATATTTGCGACGAGGCTAAATCATAGCAAACAACCCAAGTGCGTAGTATGGTAGAACAACTGGTTTGAGACGACCTAGCAGCGCACGGAGCTTGACAATGGTCATCCTTTGATACCAGATCTGGTGATTCGGCGTCCGATTCTCACTTTCCAATCGTAAATTTGTTTCTCACCCTTCCCACACATGCTGGCCTTCGCCTCGGTCTCGCGGGGTATCCGACGCCCGCGTGAAACAACGGAGTGGACACCGCCTCCTCAAGTGCCCTGGGAATGGGTGGAGCAACCAAGGGTATTTTAGTCCACTGCAATACACCACATCCATCTTACACATCCCACCATTCCCCCAATCCACCAACCTCAATTGTTGTTATTTCACTTGTGATGTCAGCCCAAACAGGACTTTCAGAGCTAGAGAGTGATGCCAAACTCCTAATAACAGGAATTAGACATTTCCGCTCCTGCCACAGATCAAAGGTAAAACTGGACAAAACGGCCGTTATCCTCAGTTCCGTTCAGGTGTGCGAGTATATTCTCCAGCCTGGAAGAAGTAAGTCAGGTCTTTCCCGGTTGATGGACTGTCTGATGAGAACAGGAGCACCCTCTGAAGCACTGACAAATACTGTTAAGGCTGGGTTTCAAATATTTGATTTTTTGAAGGTGGATCCAAAATTGTCCGAAGAGAGGGGTCTACAGTACCGAAAGAAGCAGCGCATGAGATCTTACATTCTACGAGAGCCTTTAGGTATTCACTGGAATGATGAGTGGACTCAATTGTCAGAACGATTCTTTCGAATTAGTCAGGCATTGATGCAGCAAGATGACCCATATCCGGCCCTTCGCATTGTTGGGGGAAAACTAGTCATCGGTACTGAGCGCCTTTCCTACTTTCCCCTTGGGAACTCTCCTCTGACAGGGGTTTCTGAACCAGAGGAGACACCAAGCAGTGTTGACAATGGGTTCAAATCAGCTTTGAAGGAGGATATTCACAACCTGCGGCAATCAAAAAATCAATCTGTAACTGAGACAGATGTTGTACTTGTAAGTAAAATGTTGGAGCATTACAATAAACCTCTACGCCTGGGAGTTAGTGACCTAGGTGGACCAATCCTCACGGCCGTGCAATTGTCTCAATGCTTATTTACTTCTGCCGGACAATCTTGTAGTGCGTCCCTCATCCTGACACAGTGAGACGGTGTGTGCTGATAAATCTAGACCATATAGACACAGGTCCGACAATACAGGCTCTAAGTGCCATCCTCAGACATCTACTTGTTGATCCAAGATCACAATCAATGAGCATTGCGGCTAAAAGGCAATATCGTCAGACTCGCCGCAAACGATCAATCAAAGTGATTAAGGCCCTGGGGCTCTCCCAGACCGAGGAAGACTGGACACGTGTAGGAAGACCCCCCTTCCTGATGTATGAGTTCCTGCTACAAAATGAGGAACATCCATTTCCAGGAATGCATCTGTACAAATCCCGATTTTGTCTCAATGGCAAAGCAAAAGAAGAATTGGAAAGAGGGACATTAGACCTTGACTTCTTCTTGGAGCCTCAAGCTGCCCAGCTGACATTCTCCAAAAACAACACAGCCTCACAAGATGCTGAGCTGCTTGTCAAGGTGATCGACAATTACAAATCCCATGGCGAGTTTGAGTTGGCAGACATGGCAACCCTCACTGAGGAAATGTTATGTCAGGTGCTTGACACAGGTACACAATCACGTGATGGTGAGTCCATGAATGAATCAAAGCTGAATACAACAGGAGATGTCTTGATAGCTCTGGAAAACACAATCAAAGCTGGTAGGAGACTTGTAGCTTACCTATCATTTGTTCCAGAGTCATATGAGGGGTTCACTGGTAAAAGCAGGAATGTTTACGTGAACAAGATAACCAGAAGGCTCACCAAACTGTACAACGACCAAGACATCCCCCCTCCCCGGTCAGTCACAGACCCTGCTTATTGTATGTTCCGGATCATCTCGGCCTTGGAGGGTAGCGAGAAAGCTTCCTTTCCAGGGCTACAGAAAAAAGATGGACTATTCATGCTTGATTTGTCACCAGTTTCTTACCCCCCTCTATCTGGTCCCGAAGCCACTGGAACCACCGGCGCAATGGGGGTAGCCTTTGATCCAGAGACGCACATTGGTTCTTCTCAAGATGTGTCAACGGCGGACACCTCTAGTGACGAGGAAGATGTGACTTCAGAGGCTTTCCATGAACAGGATATAGTCATGGATCAGGGGTCAGGTGTTTGCCAACCCAATGAGTGCCCAGAGATCCCAACTCCTGATGATCCAGATAACGTGTGCCAGCCTTTGGGGGATACAGATGGTGCCAATCCATTCACAGGACCTGTTGTATCAACATCTCAAGCCGCCGTTGTTCCAATGAGTGAAGCAGAGATTTCAGCAGACCTTATAGAGCTTCTGGAGTGGGCACAGAGGCCAGAGAACCAACAACTTTTTACCCTTGAACCCGGTCCCTTTCCTCCTGGTTGTATGACAGGGGCTCAGCAATCCTTAACAAGTGCTACACATGCCCTGCCTCCAAGTGCTGTTGATAACAGCTCTAAAGCCATGTTCAATCCATTTCCCGCGCATGTGTCACCTATACCGGATAACAATGCTTTTGGGGACAGCATCCACTCATTGGGTGACTCTGCCTCTTTCCATCCACAATCAGAGGCCGTTGGAAACCATGTCCCTAGGGAGCATGTTCCCATGAACTTAGAGTATGTTCAGGATATGTGTACGGGCTTCAATGGAGGTTCAGGAGCTTTTTACCCCCAACCCATGCCTACTGGGTTTGAAGAATATACAGGGCTGCAAAACCAGGTCTTTGAGGGTCATCCAACTCAATCTCCTTATGTACAATATCCAGCTCAAATCCCATCCAAGCAGCCGGGATACTGGCAGGGTTTTGGCCCCTATTACCGACAACCGCCTGACAACACCATCTTGAGGCCACAGTCTGGGCAACTTGGGTCGTTTTCCAGTAGTGTGGGGTACCAAGAACAGTCTTATCTCAAAGCTGGGGAGGCAACATATGTGCAACCTTCCCAACATGGGTCTTTCCAGGGTGTGGCCCAGGCTCCCTTCCTTCCTGCACAGATCTATCAGGAGGGAGATTTGACAACAGGAGCAAGCGGATCAATGTTGACTGAGATGACGCAATCTCAACACGGGTACACAGCAATGTACCCAAACCATCACAATGCATTCTCATCAGACGGATACGGTGGAAGTATGGGTGATCCTCCCCACTTCAACACACAGACATACAATTATGACGGCACTTATGGAGCCTGGTAGAAGACTCTTTCCGTCCGGTCACATTGTTTATATTCTGTTCCATATGTGTAGGTTATCCATGTTTATGACAGTGTGGAGGCTTGATCATCTTAAATAGCGCACCAGATTGTAGATGCATCTCATCTCTGATCTGCATCTTGTTTCCGAAGTCTCGACTATGTTTGATGTTTAAAATTGGGCGGATGTCACGACCAGTACTTATAGTGAGATCAACTCTCACTAGCAGAGTTGATATTGAGCCTTTTAGGACGATATATGATTGCGGGCTCGCTACCCGGTCATGACAGCGGGAGTTACTCTAAGGCGGAAACCTGTTGCGATAGGGGTAATCCACCCTAAATGTGCCCGAAAGGTGGCCATGAAATATAGTCAAAGTTGTAGTAAGCAGATGAGGCCATGATCAGCCGACAAGGTGATGATACCGAGGCGTTTCAATCAGTCGCGTAATGTCGCACGGACCATGCCGTCAACTTTGGAACATTGATCTCGGGGGTCCTGAGACTGCTTGATGTGGGAGTCAGCCCCGATTGGGAGAGTGTTTCCCCAAATGATATTGACTGACTCACACATTTGAGGATCATTCGACTCTATCCCGATTGGACAGGTCGAGATAGAAGGCGTAAACAGATTAAATTCATCCCCGTTGGAAGAACAGGAAAAAGGAAGATTTTCACCGCCCCCGAAGCCGCGCGGAAACGACATTATATGACTTCAAGTACCCCTTACCCCACTTAACTTCTTCTAACTTTCTCTCGTTATTCCTTCATTGTCATCACTTTCAAGTCAATATGTCAGCATCTGTAGGTTCTTCGAGTCTGGAGGAGTGTCGTTTCGTCTATAGCGTGATCTCATACTACGCGCACACTCCTCAGAAGGGAAAGGGTCTTCATCTGGACTTGAAGAAACACGCGACTCTGACTCCTGAGGAGATGTGTTGTGCTAGTCTGATCTCCCCACAAGTCAACTGGTGAGCATCCTCTTATGTGGCAGGTTCAGTGCACTGACAAGCAAAGAATTCAAAGTAAGGCTTGTTAGCCGATAGAATCGGGCCGGGACGGCCGAACCGCCGTTAGAATTACCCCTTCCGTCGAATATTTCTCCGTTCAACTTATCCTCTGAACTTTATTCGATCGTCTCTGGTTTTATGCGTGTGAGTGGAATGTGATAAGTATAGAGACATGTAGAATTGATGTATGCTCTTTTTCCCCTCTGTATTATCATCTAATTATAAGCGTTAACAGATTAACAGTCGGAAGACCACATACCTCTGTGTATAACATAACAAAGGCAAGTTCCCATTTCTACTCTCCTCATAATGACCTCTGTGTCGTCTAAGATCTCTCTTGAGAACCACCCAAAGTTATCCCACGATCCAGCATCGTATGCTCCGTGGAGGAAGTCGATCGAGGTGTATCTACAGATAGGTGACGTGTGGAATATCGTCACAGGTAATGATACCGAACCTGGTCGCGTAGGGGTTAGATCGGCAGCTGAGAGGGCGGGATCAGTACCTCCTACCACGCCCGTCGAAGGGCAAGTGGCTGGTAGAAGGATTACTGGAGAAGAGTGGAAGGAATGGGAAAAGTGGCAAGCGAGGGAGAATAAAGCGCAGGGGATGATCAAGGGAACAGTGTCGGATGCTGTGATGCTTGATATATCTGAGAAGATGTCAGCTAA